TTGCTGTGGCGTCTGAGCTGACTGGTACTTAGAAACGCGTTTGACCGTCCGACTGCGGATATCCTGCTGTCACAGCACCCGTTCTGTCAATACGACCCGGACTACAACTTTTTCGACACAGAGCTGTATGCCAAGATCAAGGGCACGTTCAAGAGCGAGTAGACCTGTACATGATTTTCTGTCATCTTGTTCGCAAATGTGAAGCGTGGCGTATGTGTTTGCAAGGGACGAGCGCATTGATTTGGGTACATTGGCAAAAGCACTTGGGCAGTACTAGTCAGGATATGGGCGCAGTGTATTGAGTCACTGCTGGTTCTGATTAAAGAGTCTGGTGTAGTTCAATTTACGTGAATGGTGACCGCAACTACTAGTGTAGCTGGACAAAAGATTTGCTCAGTAACTGGCCTTTGTAAGCACCCACACTGCTCAAGCATTTCTGTCTGCAAAGCTGGCCCCACAGTGTCAAATCTCACAACGCGATGACATCGACACTGAGTGAAGCTCCCCACACCTTCAACTTTCACTTCATCATTGTGCCTTCGCGTCTCTTTGCTTGACAACAACCCCTTTCTCATTTTGTCCGATGTGTAGTTGAGGCAACCCGATAAATTCAAGCGCCGGCCTTTGAGCCTCTCAACCCTCCCTCCTTCTCCCCAACACTCAACCCCGCCAGCGTGGCAATATGGCCACATCGAAGGCTCAGCTGAAGGCGATTAACGAAGCCATCAAGGACTCCAAATTCGATGAGGCGATTGAAAAGGCCAGGGAATTTCTGGCCAAAGACTCCAAGAACTACCAAGGGTGAACTAGTTCGCTGCTTCAAGACCGGACCTTGCTAACGAATCATGGCAGACACATCTTCCTTGGGTTTGCTTTGGACAAGAAACAGGACTACGAAAGCTCAGAGAAGGCATACCGGGCAGGGGTAGAGTTGAAACCCCAGGAAGCCCAGGCATGGCAGGGACTGGTCAAGATCTACGAAAAGCAGGGGACGAAGAAGCTTGGGCCTTACCAAGAAGCCGTGATCAACTTGGCGCGCATCTTTCACGACGCAGACGACCAGTACAAATCGCAGGATGTGGTCAACAAATTTACAGACTACGTCAGGACCAATGGCGACAGGCTAGAGTATGCCGACGCGCTCTGGATCACCCTTCCTGAGAGTCCCATCTATCCCCTCCTAGAGGGTCGCTTACCGCACCCCAGCCAGACGTACGAAAGAGTGGCGGGAATTCTTGAGGACTTTGAGAAGAAAAAGATCAACACTCTGATTGGAGAACGGCGGACGAGGCTTGGCGCGAAGCTCAGCGAGGTCACTCTCGAGGTCAAGCGCGAGGTATACGCGCAAAGTCGGCTGGAGCACATCTACCGACAGCTCATCAACTGGACATCAGATGACGACATTCGACGCCAATACGAGGAAAAGCTATTGCTTTACTGCTACGAACGTCTCTTATGCACCCCGCCAGGCGAGCTCAAAGACCAAGAGCGACAAAAGGTGTTTGGTCTGGCCCGCGACATGGTGGCGATCGACCACCCACACAAACTAGCCTGGGATATTACCGTCGACTGGCAAGACCACAAGGAAGTCAGCCAATATGACCCTGCGGTTTTGCGGAGCTATCGCCAACATTTCCCCGAGAGTGATCTGTACAAGGTTATCACCGCCTACTTGACCAGTACCATCTCGCCCTTTGGGTCACTCGACGGAGAAAATGACGGCAAGGAAGAGCGAAAGGGTTTCATCTCGAAAGCGTCTGACGAGAGCGAAGACGATGACGAGGGTGGCGTTGCCACGTACATCGTGCCATTAACCGACGAGGACCGCATGACGATGTTGACTGAAGGGGTCACGTTGCTCACCTCCCCCTTTGGTTACAGGCTAGCTGGGCAGATGTTCTTGCACCATGGAGAGTACGAGACGACAGTGGAGTTTATGCGAAAGGCCAAGACTTTCATCAGCCAGGAGAAGCTCAAGACAGGACTATCCTTCAGCAACACTGAAGACTCTTACAATCTGAGTCTCGGCACAGCACTCGTGTACTACCAATCACCGCGACACCACACTGAGGCGAAATCATTATTTGACAAGGTCCTTGAACATGATCCCAGCTCCACGCAGGCCATGATTGGCGTCGGCCTTATCTACGAAGAGGAGGAAGAGTATGATCAAGCCATCGACTTCTTGAGCCGCGCCCTCCAGAGAGATGATGCCAATGTACGGATCCGATCGGAGGCTGCCTGGGTCAAAGCCCTCAAGGGGGACTGGCAAGCTGCCAAGGACGAATTGCAACAATGCATTGAGCTCATCGGAACCAAAGATCCACCCAAGCATCTACTCGCGGACACACAATATCGCCTCGGCTCGTGCAACTGGAACCTGGATACCAGTCGGCAGGCGCGCAAGAAACGAGGAGCTGACAGCGCTTACGCCCTGTGGCTGGCAGCGCTCAAGAACAACTTGAACCATGCGCCTACCTACACCAGACTGGGCATTTACTATGCCGACTATTCCAAAGACAAGAAGCGCGCCAGGCGCTGCTTCCAAAAGGCTTTGGAGCTCTCATCGGCTGAGGTGATGGCAGCGGAGCGGCTCGCCCGGTCATTCGCTGACGACGGTGACTGGGATAGAGTCGAGCTCGTCGCGCAGCGAGTTGTCGATTCGGGCAAGGTCAAGCCTCCTCCCGGGTCCAAGAGGAAGGGAATCAGCTGGCCTTTCGCAGCTCTCGGTGTCGCTGAGCTAAACAAGCAAGATTTCCACAAGGCTATCGTGTCGTTCCAGTCGGCGTTGCGGCTTGCGCCGAATGACTATCACTCCTGGGTAGGACTCGGCGAAAGCTACCATAGCTCTGGACGGTACGTGGCCGCGACGAAAGCCATCATGAATGCGCAGAAGCTTGAAGAGGACTCGGAAAGTGATGTGTCGGGCGACACGTGGTTCACCAAGTACATGCTTGCTAACATCAAGCGTGAGCTCGGCGAATACGACGAATCGATTGACTTGTACGAGGCCGTCATGAAGACACACCCCGAAGAAGAGGGTGTTACGATTGCCCTCTTGCAGACCATGGTGGAGAATGCCCTCAGCTCAGTGGAAAAGGGTCTGTTCGGCAAGGCTATCCAACTAGCAAAGGATGCCATTGAGTTTGCTGGGAAGACTGAAGGGTCGGTCCAGGAGACCTTCAACTTTTGGAAGTCGCTCGGCGACGCGTGCTCCGTCTTCGTGTCCGTTCAAAGTCGACTGGACGAAATTCCCGCCGATAGTGTACAGCGCCTCGTGGGCTTCGTTGCAAAGGAGGCAAGTGATCTTTACGCAACATATGACAAGGTTGTCGTTGAGACCAAGGGCGACGAGACTCAGTTCGGTCAGGGGCTGGCCCATTGCTTACATGCCATGATCTACTTCTTCAAGCAAGCCATCCATGTCTCATCGGTTGACCGGTATGCTCAAGCAGTGGGCTACTATAACCTGGGCTGGGCTGAGCACCAAGCTCACACCTGTCTGCCCGGCGATCTGAGCAAGAAAGCGAGTGGCTACTCCAAGACTTCGATCCGCGCCTTCAAGCGAGCAATTGAGCTGGAGGCTGGTAACTCGGAGTTTTGGAATGCACTGGGTCTGGTGACGTGCTACACGAACCCTGAGATATCCCAACACGCGTTTGTCCGTAGTCTGTACCTCAATGAGCGGAGTCCTGCGGCCTGGACGAACATGGGTGCTTTGGCACTTCTCTCGGGAGACACCAAGCTCGCCAACGAAGCATTCACGAGGGCGCAGTCTACCGATCCCGATTATGCTCATGCCTGGCTGGGCCAGGGCTTCGTGGCGCTGATGTGTGGTGATGGAAAGGAAGCTCGCGGGTTATTCACCCACGCCATGGAAATCGCAGAGGCATCGTCCATACCGACACGCCAGCACTATTCGATATCCATGTTCGACCACATCCTGGCTGCCCCTGCCGGCCTCAGCATAGCGTCACTTGTGCAGCCCCTATTTGCACTTAACCAACTCTGCAGCCTTCGTCCGCATGACCTTGCATTTGCTCATCTCGCAACCATGTTTCAGGAACGCACGCGGGAGAGTGGGCGTGCTGTCGAGATTTCCGAGAAGATCTGCTCACAGCTCGAGGCGGACTACGAGAAGACCGAGTCCGCAGAGAGCTTGGCGCATTTCATGCTTGCTAGGACGGATCTGGCCAGAGCATACCTTGCAGACGGCGACTACGAAAAGGCCAGCGAGTGTGGCAGTATGGCTCTTGAACTGAGCTCTGACGAGGGCGATAACGAGCTTTCGCGCGAGCAGCGCAGCAAAGCCAGACTATCAACTCACCTCACCGTTGGTCTCGCAAAGTATTATCTCAAATCCTTTGACGAGGCGCTGGCGAGCTTCGAAGCTGCCTTGGAAGAGTCAGACCAAAATCCAGATGCCACATGTCTGCTTGCGCAGGTCTTGTGGGCACAGGGCACGGACGACGCAAGGGAACGAGCTCGTTCTATTCTCTTCGAGGTCATCGAGACGCATCCCGGCCATGTCCAGTCCGTTCTCCTGCTCGGTGTCGTCGCTCTCCTAGACGATGACGAGGACAGCATTGAGGCCGTCGTTGAAGAGCTCCAGGGACTCCGCACAAACGATAAACTCACGGCCAGTGAGCAGTCTCACATCGGCGAGGTATTACGTACGATTGCTGCCGTCAGTGGAAAGAAGGAAGACATGACAAACCAGGTACAGAACGACATAATGTTGTACCCCCATCTACCACACGGTTGGTCGAGTCTTGCCGAGACATCAGGCGATGAGCAAGCGGCACAGATGGCACTCAAAGTCGCGACAAGGGGGATTCCGCCACGCGGTGTCCTCGGAGGTGAAGACGTGTCGAGGGCGTATTCGGGCACAGGCCTGGCCGGCGATGCCCAACGTGCTGTGCTGCTTGCGCCCTGGGAGAAAAACGGCTGGAGTGCATTGAGTGTAGCAACAGAGGGTATCTAGACTTGAACAATAAGAAAATGGGTATCGCTATTCTACTGTGTCGGCCTATCCTGACCAACTTCTGCTTTTAATCTCGCTAGCCGTCCCTCCACCCACGTCCTTTGCCAGGCGTCAATCTTTCCACCCAGAAACACACACTTGTCAGCCGTGAGCAGGACGGTCCCTCGCGCCACGACTGTGCCCCTTTTGAGAAGGATCTTTTCCCCCATCATGGTTTTGCCAATGCCAATCTTGTCTATGCGTCTCAACTCGATGGCGTACACTTTGTTTCCCGCACGATCTTGCAGTGTGAGTCGGTGTATCGCATTCTTCCCTGCCTGGGTCGGCTGCGCTTGTGTCGCTGGCTGGGACTGTGTGCCCACATTCTCGTTCTCCTCGCCTGTGACTTGAATGACCTCCCTTCCCCGTGTCCGCTCGCCACGCTCAATGGCCTCTAGCTCCTCGACTTGCTCCCAGCGGCTGACGCTGAGGTTCTCAATGTCCACGACCTGGACGTGGGTGTCTCTGCCGAGGACAACTTCCTTTGCCGCCGGACTGTCGATGCCGGCTGGGAGGGTCGGCAGAGAAGGGTTGATGAGGGGAGACGATGTGAGGTCAGAGGAGAGGATTCGTGATTTAGCGGTTGCGAGAAGTGAGGGTAGAGGAATGGACGGAGAAAGGGAGGAAAGAAGATTTTGTGAAGGGGGTGGGAATGATGATGCTTGTAGAGCGGATTTGATCTGAGAAGGGACGTCCATTCCGGGATGAAGGCTTGACTTAAAGTCCTCGCTAGTTTATGGCGTTTAGAACAGCAGCCTGCTTGATGTGAAAGGGAAATATGCTGATGAGTTGCAGAATAGGTGTGGTATCGGGTAGGTCAGCGGGCTGCGTGCCGGACCTGACAAAAAGGGTCCAGACGATTCCAATGTCACCCAAGCTGCTATCTCGACCAGAGCTGACGTCGACGACAGCACGACGAGACCTGCCACAACCAGCACATTTGCCGTCATCACCTTCACCGGCCATCATGTCCACAATAGCCTCTCCGCGACCATCGTCGCTCCGTCGAACACCTACCAACTCTACTCGTCCGTCGATCGACACCGTCCGGTCGGCGGTGACATCCCCGACTCTCGCACCGACCACCAACCCGGCACCACAACCTACAAAGCGTTCCAATCGAGCTGCGCTCCGAGAGTACTATAACCTGCGCGCCGCGGCGGCACCTCCACGCATCGAGCTTCCTGATTCCGAAGTGCCGGCCAGTGACATTGACGCTGAGGACTTCAAGGCCGAGGAGTATGTCGACAAGGTGGTAGGTGAGAGCACGCTCGAGGAGCTGCTGCGACTGTACACGCGCGTGCTTGGGGAGGTCAGGGCGCTGGATGCGGAGAAGAAAGCTCTGGTGTACGACAACTACAGCAAGCTCATCACAGCCACTGAGACAATACGAAAGGTGAGCAGTGGCAGCTGGGTTCTTTGGCACTATAGTGGGCTGACTTGAGCAAAGATGCGTGCGAACATGGACCCATTGAATCCTATGGCGTCGACGCTGGACCCGGCGATTGCGCAAATCTACACACAAGCTTCGTCGATACGAGAAGCACTACGTCGGGATATCCCGCCACCCGAGTCGGAAGAAGGAAAGAAAAGAGATGCCGAACAACGGCGGAGACGGACGAAGGAGCTTGCCGTCGAAGCGCTCGCCACACCAGACAGAATGCGTGCATTGGTGGAAGAGGGGAAAATGGACGAAGCGAGGAGATTATGGGAGCGACCCAGGCAATTGCTCGTGTCGTGGAAGGAGAAATGTGTTGGAGGAGACGAAGTGCAGCAGTGCATTGATGAGGGCGACGACGCCCTGCAGACATCGGAGGGTACACAGTCCTCACGGCCTTCGAAAGACTCTATCCGCATTACCAGGGAGGAGGTGCCATGAACCATCATCAATTAAATTATACAGCGAGATACCCCTTTAGATTTCTAGAGATCCTTCACATCGATAATGGTGAACGGGTCCTTGTCGTATTTACTTACCACGACTTCTGCGTCCTTGACTTGTCGTCTTAAGTCTTCCTGCAGTCTGGGCTTGAGGACCTCCTGGAGGTAAGCCCTCTCCGAATTACTGTGAAAGACAGTGACAAGAGTCCTGCCCTCCTGGATGGCGCGCAGTGCGGAGTGGTGGCTGGTCTCGCCCGTCACGATCAAGTCGACGTCGGCCTTTTTGAGGACGTCGTAGCCACTGCCGGCGCAGACGCCAAAGGACTTGACCTTGGCTGTTTTCGGGTCCGAGCCCACGGGCGAGGCGATCATGATGTGCTGCAGCCCACCCAGTTTCTCGGCTAGTCTCTTCAGAATCTCATTAAGGGGGACTTCATCGGCAAAGTTGCCAATGGCACCGTACCCAGCGGGCGAGTGAGACTCGGGTGCTGTGTTGCAAGGGACAGCGACAGATCTCTCTGACTTGTGCTCGCCGGAGATGACATTGGCCAACCAGGTGTTCAGTCCCTCTGGTGCAGCGTCCACAGCTGTGTGTGGGCAGTAGACGGCTACTCCAGCCTTGGCCAGGCGAATCAGCGTTGCTTGCTGGGGATCATTGTGGGTAATGCTCTTCAAGCCACTGAAAATAAAGGGGTCTGTTCTCTTAGTTTTTGAGGTCTCCGCGAGACGCAAGGGGTAATAGTAGACTCACGATAAGAAACAATCACACTGGCTCCTTGATCAATCGCATCGACAGCCACTTGGTAGGTCAAGTCATTGGTCACCATAACCACTGGCTTCCGCTTGTCGGTGCCGTCGTCAGTGTTGGACAGGAGCAAGCCAACATTGTCCCAGCTTCTGTCTGCCAATTCCTCGGGATATCTGGTCTTTTTAGCTTTTGGATGCCACTTGAAAATCTGAAAAGACAAGAAACATACAATTTCTTCATAGAGTCCACTACCGACTTTGTGAAAGAGGATGGTTCGACCTGCCACGCGCCCCAGGCAGCGCCAGTGGATGCCGGCGAAGTCATACTGGTGTGCTGGGGATTGTAACGATATGAACAAGCCCTCGTTTGCTGTAAGCTTTGAATTGCGGATGCACTGGGTGACAAATGTCGCGTAGGGATCTTCGAGCGAGAAACAAAGCTTCTAGTCAATCTGAAAGATCTCATGGCGCATATGCAGCTCCCAAAATGCCAGAACGAATTCCGAATGCAAGCTAGCCCAATGAGCTCATACCGTGCAAGGTGCGGCCAAGCGCACTGTCTCCGCAATATCTAATCAATCAATCTAATAACGACCAGCGAAAGACCCCTCCAAATCAAGGACCACCATCACCGAAACGCACCAGACATGGCTGAAGCGTTGACCACGGAGTCTCTCAAGGAGATCATTCTGTCCCGACTCGACGCCACTCATGTCGAGGTGACCGACATGTCCGGTATGTTCTCTCGCGCGACCACCGCAACCCGCCTGCGCCGCGCATAAGCTAACAAGCATGTTTCCTAGGTGGCTGCGGCCAAGCCTTCACCACCGTCATTGTGTCTCCCCAGTTCCAGGGGCTCAACTCGCTCAAGCGCCATCGCCTCGTGAACGGTGCCTTGAAACAGGAAATCGCGGCGATACACGCCTGGACGGCCAAGTGCAAGACACCGGACGAGTGGCAGCGCGACCAGGGCGAGGCGAATCGACCAGACTTGGAGGGGACCGTTGGCGGCAAAGTAGAGGGCACAACGCAATAACAAGGAGGGATACCAGGGAAAAATGGCTAGCAACGACACATTGGCTATACGGAACATGTATGCGCGGGTCAATTTAGAGAAAGTCGTGCAAACAAAGTGATTGGGTACGCCTTTGGGCCCTTTTTTTCTCTAGAATACCAACCAAATGCATGCTACCATATCTACTACAGCCCTGACACTAAAACAAGCCGAGCAAGTCATCGCTATCCTTCTTTTGCCCCTGCGGTTGCGCCGGCTGCCCGTCCTGCGCATTCTGTAGTTGTATGGCGGCGGGCAGGGGCTCCCCGGACGGCTGGCCGCCAAAGTTCAGGCCCTCGAACCCGTTCATCAGGTCATTCATGCCGCCGCCGCTAGTCTGCTGTGCAGGCATGGGTGCAGGGGAGGATGTAGATGCCGGCGCAGGCGCAGGCGCGTCAAACATGCTCATCATGTCAGCCATGCCACCAGATGCCTGCCCGCCAACCGCTGGGCTGGCCGTCCGTGAAGGCGCTCCGCTGTTTTGCTGCTCCTGGCTTGCTGGCGCAGCACCGTCAAAGTCGATATCCAGTAGGTTTTCGACATTGTTCTGCTGGGACGCGCCGGGGGCACCGCTGGGCGCAGATGCCGCAATAGGGTTCTCGGCTGCGTTCTGGCGCTGCTCCTGGATGGCAGCGCGTTGTACCTCGTCAGCGCCGAATCGGCCCTTGCCGACAAAAGACTCGGGGGGCTTGTGGTAGACAGAAGCAAGTGTCGATAGTTCTGAGAGCAGCTGCTCAAGGAGTTGTGGGGGAAGGCTGGTGACAGTTGTGGAAATGGTTGGCTTTTCGGAGAGAACGATATTCTGCGTGGAATAGTCAGCATTGATACATTGGCATGGCGCATGCGGGACGTACCTTGGCAACGTCGAGATCGCCAGACAGAAGACGCCAGTAGACATAAGCTCTGTCACGAATATCCGGGTTGTCGTTCTCGGCGGTGGCAGATTGCAGCACCTTCTGCACGAGCCCTTGCGCACTGCTCGGCTTCTTCAGGAAAAGCTTGACCGCAGCAGTGAGGATCTGCAATTGCGTCTGCGCAAATTCCTCATTAAACTCATCCACAAAGCTCGCCAGGATCTCGTCGGCATTGCTGATCCTCTCAGCGTATTCTCCCACGATCCAGATCAGCGAGGCCCTCGCCGTCGGCTCGTCCAGTTCATCAATGTGCTTGCAGAGTGTCGGAATGACACCCTCGAAGCCAGGGTATTTCCTCAGAATGTCCTTGATCACCACTACCACCTCCTGAACCACGTAATTGACCTTGGTGGCCAGGAGATCCTCCAACGTCTGCACACATTTGGCGCTTGCGCTCTCGATCTTGATGGCGACCTGGCCGATGGCCTTGACGGCCCTCTTGACAAAGTCCATGTCGACCTCCAAAGCATACTCGGACAGCTCCGCCAGCAGTTGCTCATAGTTTTTCTCGTTTGCTATCCTCACCATGATTTCCAACTTCTGCAGCTTGACGTATGGAGGGTCGTTGTACTTGCAGAAGAAGACGCGCATCTCCTTGCTCAGTATATCGGGCTTGGCCTGTAGGAGGAGATCGATGTTCCGCAACGCAACGTACTGCACTTCGGGTGCCGACGCAACCAATGTGACCAAGGGGGGGGCCATCTTCCTGAGGTATGTGGCCACAACCTTTGGCTGGATCGACCTCATGTGCGTAAAGACTACCTTGACAGCGGCTAGCACCACACTTGGGTTGACGTGCTGAAACTGGGGCGCAACACGCTCGCAAATGTGCTCGGCCTCCTGGACATCCGTCGCACGGTAATCGGCCAGCGTCGTGAGAATGGTAACGCGACCCCACTCGGTGCATTCGTTCAACGCCATGAGGAGTTTCTTCAACTTGGCCGCGTTGACCACGAGGGCGTTCGTCTCCGGGGCTGTCTCTGAGATTTCCGAAAGCGCCTGTACTGAGTTTGACACCACCATCGGGTTCGGGTCGCCGATAAGCTCTTGCAGCGACTCCAAGAAACCGTTTTCGATACACATGGCTGGGTTCAAGTCGAATAATTTGGCAACGCAGATCGCAGCTGTCTTGCGCACGTATGGCGACTCGTCTCGCAAGGTCTTTCTCAAGGGTTCTTCCATGTAGTCCACCATCTTATCGACACGAATACATCCCATCGTCCGGATCGCAAGAGCTCGTATCAGCGGGTTCGGGTCTTCTGAGTCTTGGACAAACGTGTTGACGGCGAGAATGCAGAGGTCGGGATGCGATTTGGCGTAATTCCTAGGCTTGTCAGTTCCGCCGTAGAGTCACAAGATCATGGCTTGACTGCATACATTAGATATAGGTACACAAGCTTCTTTTGGTCCAAGTCTCCTGTCGCAATGTTCTTGAGCACGTCAGGGAACAATGCCGAGACATCTTTGCCAAGCGTCATGGCCATGATGGTCTTTTGGATCGATTCCTTGCGCTCGTAGGCATATTGAGATACCAGGCCAGCTCGCAGCTCAAAGGTCTCGCCTTTGCGAGGCACCTGGAAGGCGCCTCGGATGCGGTTGACCGCCATGTTTGCTCAGTGATCGAGGTCGCGGTTGGAGGGGCAAGGGGTCGCAGGGACGGTTGGCGTTGAGGCTCCTGTAGAGCCGAAGCACAGAGAGAATTGACAGCTGCGCTTGATGATTTCTGACCTCCAACAGCAATCTCAGAAATTCAGCTGCATCTGGGGTCTCGTAGCTGGTCGTGTGGTTGAATGCGCAGACCAGGAGACGAGAGCACTGTTGCTGCCACCTCTTGTTCGGGGGCGTGGCTGATTACAGTGGCTGACTGTGGCGTCAGCCGAAGGCGGGTATCCACCTTTCTGAGTTCAAGTCTCTACCTACTCCTGAGTCCTGAACCTCAGGCAACCGAGGAGAAGACTACAGCACAATAGTCAAATCACAATGAGCAGGAGAATTGATCATCTTGCCATCATCCCAGTAGTCTGCCACTGAAGCTTTGTCCCGTCAACATGGCCAACTTTCCAAATCTGCGCCGTCTCTTCATCGAATCACGCACCGACAATGAAGAGCGGCAGGTCTCTCGCAAAGCTGTACGTTGACTACCCACACGCGCACGTGGACTTGGGTGTTGACCGCGTCCAGTTTTACAATGCTGTCCTCTTCATGGGATCAGTCGCAGTCTTTAGCGTTATTGCACAAAAGCTCAATGCTGGGAAATGAGCAAGGGACGTGACACGAGATGGGCTAATTAGGTAGCCTTCGATGACATCAAGCCAACAAGATACCCAACACGGAGCTTTGCTATCTATGATTCATCCTCTACATCGTCTTTGGTTCCCTCTGCGGCCCCGTTTGCGACTGCCTTGGCCTCCTGTTTCCGCCAAAGTGAGGCCAGAAACTCATTCGTGCTGGCCTCGTCGATACCCTTATCGTCCCTCTTCTTCAAGAACCGCGGGAAGCGCATACTCAATCCTCGCTCGTCGCTCACAAGCCCAATAGCGGCCGTGTATGTCGGACTGAGCGTGATATCCGCGAATGCCATCTCCCAGACCTCTTGGGGCTCGAACCATATATCTGGACTTGGTCCCGAGTACTCCACAAAGCTTGGCTTCTGAACGTGCGTGTTCTTCATCTCGCCACTTTCCTCGCCATTGTCGTAGAACTCTTTGTTCGCCTTGTAGAACGCATCGGTGAAACCCGACATGCATTTCGTCACAACCTCCAGCGAACCGGCATCTTCGTTGCGTACCGCCATGAGGATGGGCGACCACCACTTGGCCTTGCGACCTTGACCATGCCAGCCTGCTACCGGTATCATATCGAGGGTATCGAAGTTCGAGTTGTAATCCTTCTTGACTTTGAGCCATGAGTCAAGGCGCTTATCAGGTTCGTACGTTGCTAGCAGTGGTTTTCGACGTGATTTCTTCTCCCCGCCGTCATCAGCACTGCTCTTGGCTTTCGACTTTGCTCTTGTTTTGCTTTTCGGAGTGGTGGGTATGTCATTGGTGACATCGTCGCCGTTGCCAGCATATGGCACCGTCACAAGATTGTCCAGAATCTTGACCATGATACCCTCACACTTGACATCTGTCGCTTGCTTGAAGAAGTCGAGGACAGTCTCTGATTCGCTAGACGTGGCGTCTAAGCTTTGCACCCACGTGAAGTGATGGGGTATCTCGACAAACAGAGATCGAAGGAGCTCTCTTCGCTCGCGGAATGACCTGTCAAGCAGCGGCTGTCCATTCAGATACATGAGGTCAAATGAGAACAGGCAGACGTCAATCGCAATACTGCCTATCGCGACGTCTTTCCTTGCTCGATTCGCGAGCGTCTGAAATGGCTTGAGCTCTCCGGTTTCTCGGTCGACCGCCACAACTTCTCCCTCCAGAATGAAGCTCCTGACACCGTCGCCCCGTATCTTGGGCACCATCTCTACGAGATCCGGGTACTTGTCTGTCATGAGCTCCAAATGTCGAGAAAATATGGAGACTTTCCCCTCGTCATCGCAGTGTATTTGTGCCCTCTGTCCATCGTACTTAAATTCACAAGCAAAATCTCGCCCCTGGAGCTTGGTGAGCATCTCGGACAGGTCGCGCGTAATGCTTCCCAGCATCGGACGCAAAGGGATGTGAAGTGTGAGTCCACATCGGACCAATAGCTCCTCGCAAATGCCAATCTCGAGGAGCACCGGTATGAGATCGTTGTAGTTTGGGCGCTTAGCAAAGCAGGCCTTGACTATCTCCTCGGGGCGACTCCATACTTCCGCCAACTCCTCTTTTCGGAGTTTTGCCAAGTCCTTGGGAAGCTTGACTGGAAAGTCCGCTCCTGGTGGTCGTGACAACAGGAATGCTCTCGAAAGGGCAATGAGCATCGTCGTTTTGACTGCGCCTATACGGAGGTGCTGACACAACGTCCGTACCACGAAACGACTTTCTTCGCCACCTCGTGCATCTTGAAGCAATCGGTCAACGAGCCGTTGCTTAGCCTCGCCGCTGCCATGGCCCTGGCTGTTGGCTATTTTGACCAGACTCTGATACACCCCTTTGATAGTGAGGGGCTTGGGCTTCCTCAAGGTAAAGCTTTGTTTCTTCTTCGCTTCAAAAGCAACATCTCCCGCGTCGCCGTACTTGTCGTAGATGACCTTTAGCGATCGACTGTCGAGCCCGCAGACCTGTTTCAAAGCCTTCGAGATGGCTGATCCGCCAAGTCCAAGCTCAAGTGAGATGTAAGGTGGCGAGATGGAGTTGGTCGCCAGCCAGACGGCTGGCAGGAGACTGGACGGGTCTGTCTCAATGAGGAGTCTCAAGCAATTGACCAAAGTATCTACAATCTTGATCCGACTCGCTGTGGCGCTGACAAGAACAAAGCACCTGGTAAGGAGTGCGTATGTCGCGTCACCCCCTTCACCAGACCAAGCAGTCTGCAGTTCACGAGCGTACTTGGACGGGTCGAACTGTAGAGGTGATTCATCGAACGGTACCGTCGAGGTTATAGAGTCCTCTGCCAAGCCTGCTGACTGCAGAGTCAAGGTCTTCTTCCGACCACTTGCAGTTGCGGCTGATTCATTCTCTGCCCCGGGTCCTACCTTTGACTGTTCTGTAGGCGCCACTGAGCTAGAGACAGCAGTAGCTGTCTGCTTGTCGGCTTCTGAAACCCCGCCGGACTGGTCCGCGTCTGCATTTGAGGCCTCTTCTTGATTCCATTCGTCTTGCAGTTTCCGTGCTAACTGCTCATCTGTGAGCTCCTGATCCGATGCCGCAGCCTGAGGCTGTTGTTGAAGAGTCTCCGTCGGTATACTCTGTTTCTGCTTGTTGAAAAAGAACTCGAGGCCCTTGGAGGCCCCGTTGGCGCTTTTGGAACCGTTGTTCAGCTTCCTCTTCTTGGCGGGACTTGACATGATCGCCTCAGGTAAGCCATGTGACCATTGGTCATGGCAATTTCAAATAACAAGATGGCATGCTTCGTCGACTTCTGCAGTCTCGGAAAGCTTAAGCCAGTCGGCACAAAACAGCCGTGATTTTTGCTGTACTTCACGACTACACTTTCAACACGCTAGTTGAACCGCGAACCTCTATGACGATACTCGACGCGGTGGCACGTGACCTTTAAATTCACACGTCCGGCGCGGAACATTACGACCCCGACAGCCCCTCCAAACGCACAACCACACAAGCACTCCGTCGAAATCTTCCCTGCGCCCCACCATCGCGAACCTCCCCTCCAACTCCTCCCTATCCCCGGCCAACGAACCCCCTCAACGACCGGCAAGATGAACGGCGAAGACCCGCCCGAGAGGCCCGAGTATATCACCAGCATTATCAACGGCCTCGAGCGATACAACCCCGAAGCTGTTGGGTCCCTCGAGACCTATGTGCAAGAACAATGCGAGCAGAAGTACACTGATTGCAATGCCAACCGCACCCTGCTGAAGCTGTATGTTGGCCCCCCAATCGATCTCTTCACACACGGCGCATATACTCTGATGATCCTTCGTCAACGTTTCCTATTACCTGACATGGGGCCTTGAACAGCCTTGCAACCCATGAAGTCAGCTATAATTACTCTGAATCGCGCACCAAGCCACCCTTGTTTCATACCACGGACCAAGCGCGCGCTAACATCTTGCGATGACAGGTACCAGCTCAACCCCGACCGTCTCAAGGATGAAGTCGTCACCAACGTCCTCGTCAAGGCCATGACCCAGTTCCCGTCTCCCCAGTTCCACCTCGCCCTCCATCTCATCAACCCCTCCGCTGCCAACCAGGGCGAACTCCACGAAGCCCTCAGCAAGTTGCGGACACTCAACTCTCAGCTCGAGGGTGCGCAGTACGCGCAGTTCTGGGCGGCCGTGGACGGCGACGACTTGTGTGCCGATCTCATCGCGGACATTGCCGGCTTCGAAGACATGATCCGTCTCAAGATCGCACAGCTCGTGTCGCAGGCTTATCGTGAGGTCGACCTCGAACTTCTCGAGAGCTGGTTGGGTTTCAGCGCGGATGCGACGAAGCAGTTCATCGAGGAGGTTGCCGGGTGGACCGTCGAGGGCGATAGTGTCAAGATCCCCTCCAACCCTGACAACGAGGCCAAGAAGACCGAGATCAGGGAGGATGTTAACGTCGAGCAATTCGCGCGGGTGATTCGACGGTCGTGGGAGGACACCATTGCGGTATAAGGTTGGGGTCCTGCTCAGGGATAATCATGATGGAATGAAGTTGTATCGGATCACAGAGGGTCAAAAGGCGTTCATGGGCATGTCATTGCAGCGATATCAAATACTCTAGAGGGATGGTATCCAGATTTCACATTTGGTCATTCACGTTGTCGTCGTTATTGTTGGTTTGTCTACTCTTTCGCAAGCTCCTCCCATTGCACCCCTGCCCATTCCTCCAGATACCCTGCTTGTCCAAGCTCCGTGTCTCGTGGTCTGCAGTCTCTTTCGCAGACACCGACGATGATTGTCCCCCACTCCATACCATCAAGGCTCATGTCGTCCCCTTCCAACTCAACGATGGCTTGCGGTGTGAGCTGTACCTCGAATGTCCTTCGGCCACCGCAGTTAGCGCATCCTGGGATGCCTCTGCCCGAAGCCAGCTTCTTGCCGATCGCATCTGTTTTGCTGTACAGTAGCGGTGTTCCAGCATATTCGTATCGAATCACCTGCTCGGGGTTCTGAGCCAGTCTGTCGGCAAACTTCTGGAACGCAGCGTCCATGCTTGATTCGAAGGCCTCGCGATCAATGGCGGACGGCTCCTCCGCGTCGGCCGCTTCCACGCGTGCATTTGCGGGAACGTTGGTAGGTTTAGGATCGAGCGTCTCGTAATCGGCGTCGGCTAGGAAGAGCGTCGGGTAGGGCTTCGGCATCTTGTCCTCCGTCGGCCAGGGCTCTGGTGGTGGCGGTGGTTGCGCAGGCGGGACGTTGAGTGCCAGGGTCTCGGCAAAGGACTTTGTGAGTCCAGCCGTCGAGACTTCTTGTGGTTTCGGTTTCTCCTCTTCCTTCTCCTCAGGTTCGCTGGGCTTGGCAAATGGGTTTGCGCTGCCAGTGCCACCACCTCCCCCAAAAGGGTTGGCAGAACCACCTCTCCCGAAGCTGGAGGCTCCAAAGAGTGCGTCACCGAGTGCTACTGGCTTCGCTTCCTCAGCCTTTGGCTGCTCTTTCTTTTCTTCTTTTGCGGGGTTTGGGGCCTCTTGCTTGAAAACTCTGACACCCCTCAATACTCGCACTGTTCCATCCCGTCGTCTACAGTTCGACCTGCGACAGCCGAAGACATGTAGGCGTCGTTCGTGACCGGGGAACTTTTCAGGGAGCTCGCCATTTAGTTGCAGAAGCTGCACCATCATATCACTGCAAACTTTGCATCGCGCCAGGGCAGCCGAAGGCGGCTTCTCAGGGTCTAGCCAGTCCTGTCAAACCAGAGTTAGGCGAAGGAGAGGTCTTCGTGTGGTTGTGTAGACGTACAGGTCGGCCACCTAGACGGCTGATGATATCTTCATCGTCAGCCTCTTTCGAGGCGTAGCCCAAGAGCACATTGGTCTCTTCAAACTCGCCTTCCGAGGAATCTGAATCGTAGTCGGCCATGGTTGCTATGCGCCTGGATGAGAGTGAAGCCGATGGCAATGGTGGGGTCGAAACTTTTTTTTCTGGAGGTTGAAGTGAAATCAACAATGCGGGGCATATCAGTGCCCGATAAGGACAAGCAGCACAAGCTTCACCAAGAGGGACGGACAGGCGGATACAATCATGACATGAGCTGACTCCCATTTTGTCTAACCCAAACATCTACTTTGATTCCGATGCTTTACATGTGATCATTAGGACCATCCATACCAGGCCCGGGCCCGCCCTGTCGACCCATTTGTCGCGCTTTCAGGAGCTCGTCGCAAAGCAACAGGTTTGAAGCGATGCTCGAGCTGGAAGCGACAGAGTTACGCAGCACGCGGAACGAGTCGAAGATGCCTTCAAGCTCCGGGTCCATCGGGTCACCAGTCTCGAGGTTGAGACCGACAACATCGCCATCAGCGTGCTCGTCTTGGAGCGCGGCCACTGTATCCTAGTTAGCGTCATGTTTCACGTTCAAGCTCAATGTGTCACTCACAAGCATCCTGCACATCGTGGCCAGCGTTGGCAGCCAGGGTCTTGGGAATGATGAGAAGGGCATCCGCAAACGCCTCGACTCCCCACTTCGCCTTGCCCTTGACCTTCTTGCCAAAGGCGTCGCTCTTCAGGTGAGCCGCGCAGGCAACCTGGAAGGCACCGCCGCCCGGCACGACACTCTTATCGACAATCATGTTGTAGACGCTCCTCAGGCCGTCCCTCACCGCGTCGGTCACCTGCGCAATGGTGTGCTGGTTGGGGCCCTTGATCATAAGCGTGACTGACTTGGGGTCCTTGACCTCCTCCACGAATGTGTACTTCTCCTCGCCCAGCGTCTGCTCGTAGACCAGACCAGCCCATCCGAGAACATCTGGCGTGAGATCCTCGACAGAGTTCTGGGCAACACCACCACAGATCAGCTGCAGACGCTCCATGTTCCTCCTCTTGGCGCGGCGGAGAGCCAGGATACCGTTCTTCGCCAGCACGTCCAGCGACAGGGGGTCGATGCCCTTCTGGTTAATGATGACAAAGTTCTTCTTTCCGTCGTTGCCGCAGAGCTCCTTCTTGAGCTCGACAATCTTCTTCAACTTGGCGTCGATGAAGCGGCGCTCACTTTCCACGAGCTTCTCACGCTGCTCGGCGCTCGAGTAGAAAAAACCAGAGTTGATCTCGGTCTTCTCGTACTCGAGGCTGACGTTCATGGTGAGAATGTAGCAGTTCTCGAGACGCTTGGGCATGTCGGGGTGGCGGGCGCCGTGGTCGAGAGCGAGTCCACGAATGAGCTGTGTGTCGGCGGCCGTGCGGTGCTGCATCTTCATAATCTCAACCATGTGCAGGTCGGGTTTCGCCGGGGCCTGGTAGATGGCCAGAACGGAGTCGACAATGTCGGGCGTGAGCTGGGCAGCGAGAGTAGAGTTGAGCTTGGTGGCGAGAGAAGTGCGGGCGACATTCAGCAGAAGCTCGCGGTCAACCTCCTTGTCCAGCTTGAAGTCGTCGAGGAACTATGGAGGTCAGTCGCCATTGTTGACACGATGCTCCGTGTAATTTACCTTGAGAGCCTCCACTTTGGCGATCTCGAAGCCGTCTGTGATGATGCGTGGGTGCAGACCCTCAGAGATGTATCGGTCGGCCTGCTTCAGGAGCTCTCCCACCAGCAGCACGACGGAGGTGGTACCGTCACCGCAAATATCATCCTGGGCAGTAGCGGCTCGCGCAATCATGACGGCGGTAGGGTTCTGGATCTGCATCTCGCGGAGGAGGACATTGCCGTCCTTGGTGAGCTTGATCTGTTGAAGGATGTGAGTATGGCGGTCGGATCGTGGGGCATTTCGAGGGGCTAATTCGTACCTGACCGGCACCGTCGACAAGCCTAAACACTGTCAGTATTTGCATAGAAAAAGGAAAAGCTTGTGCTCCTACATCTTGATGGTGCCCATGGGGCCCAAGTTGGACTTGAGGACATCCTGAAGACCTTCACCGGCACTGATGTTGACCTTCAAAGCTTCGCCCCTCCTCTGCGACGACGGTTAGCTCGAGCTCCCCACCAAGCTAATCCAAAGACAAATTTCAAGGTCGACATACGCGGGACTCAGCCTTGGGGTTGAGAAGCTGCGTGGCGGACATGGTGGCAGTTTCGTGTTCGTTCTTTTCGGGGGGTGAACGTTGGCGCCGCTGCTTTGGAAGTGTAGGCGTGGATTGACCGTTGGTGGTTCCGCAGGCTTCGCCCACCGTCGCTGCAGGAGGTGAACAGGCGATGTGGGCTGCCCAACTTTTTCTGCCATTAGGGAAGGCGGTGAAGTGGGGGCTGCCTGGGTGACTGACTGATTTACCCTAAAGCTGGACTCTGGTCTACGATATTTCGACTGACTGTCATCCACAACCTTTATTGACATCAATTGGATTCTTGATGACATTCTGTTTGCAACGGCTAAGGAAAAGAGTCGTTGGGGTAGGTAGAGCAAGATTGTTACTTGGGTACTCCGCACAGAAAACCTACGTAGTACGCAGGACATATAAACAACTTTCGATCAAGGACAGGCTATGCTTCATGTTCTACACCTAACATCCTAAACTCCCTTTGTCTTTTCCTACTTCTTACAAATCCGCTTATGCACCTTCCAGTCCTTCCTCTGACATTCAGCTGAGCAATACTTCGCATCGTGGCACCCTTGGCATGTCTTGAGGGTGCCCCCATCGGCGCCTCTCCTCTTAGAACACACTCGACATTTGTCAACTTGTGACTCGCTTGGTCCCCCATCAGGCTTACTGCTGTCCGCTTTTGTCAGTGCGACGTCAAACGCACTTTCGACATATGGCACCGCATACGTCGGACTGAAAGCTGCGCGAACCGCGTGCCGCCGACCGACTTCCCAGCTCGGAATAGTGATGTGATCCTTGGGAAATTCACCATTGCCACACGAGCAGAGGAATGTCTTTCCATCTTCCAGGGTCAGGGGAACCGTTGCGCCCCTTTTCTTGTATTCGCAGCTCCGCTTGTGGGACCAAGTACGGCAGCGCTCGACCGAAGCCGCAATGACCTTTTTCCACAGTATTAGCTCGGCGTCGTTGACGTTCATGGACGCCATCTTGAGTTCCAGGATCGAATCCAGCAGAGGCCGGCACTTGTGGACCAAATCCAGTGTAAGGGGCAAGACGGCAGCGTCGATCACCACACCTGCGGCGTCGCCGTCCAACCGAATCGCGGACACGAGGAGTAGAATGTGAATGCCCCCCTTTTCGGGGTGGTTGATGGCAAACAATCCAGTTTGATCACCTTGAAGACCAGTGGCGAGCATGAACATGGTAAACAGAGACTCCTTGAGATTGACGCGTGGGTCCTCGGAGATGCCGTCCGTCTTGTTGGCCGATTCACGCAAGGCTTTCTCACGCTGTGAGAACTGAAGTGATGTGTGAGTAACTAGCCATTGCATGTCCTTTGATTTTCCAACGTCGAGGATTGGCAAGCTGTCCAAGTTGACGTGGGGAATGTTGACCGCGGCAGGGAGGCCATCGCCTGTGAGCATCACAGGGTACACAAAGTCATCCAGGCAAGGAGACACCGTCGGCTGAGCAATAGGCGCAATGACCTCAACATACCCTGACGTTCGGGCGATGCGCGTTTTGCTTCCCTCCTTGCTCACTGGAATAGGGAATCGGACAGGACAGGAGAGGGTGGTTTTCCCGAAGACAACGTCGATGACAAAGGGGCTGCTTTGGCGCAGCTCGATCGGCGCCTTGTCCTTCAGGAGTTGGAGCCCCTTTTCGGATGTGATATCGAGGTGCCCGGTCAGCTTTGTGATGTAGTTTTCCGAGGCAGGTAGGTCAGCGACCATCTTCGTCTCAAGACCACTAGCACTGTCATGTATGGTATTTGGGAATAGTCGCGCAGCACCACAGACAACTGGATATGCCTCCTGACTGGGGGCAAGTCGAGACACCCATACATTGGATGCTGTGCTTGCAGATGTTTCGTACACGTTCAGCTCTGGTCCCAGGACGGGGCCATATACTATTGTGGACTGGATGGTAATGCCGACGAACAGTCCCACCAGAAGTCTCTGTGGCTCAAGTTGGACACACGATGCCGGTACATAGAACGATATAACCAACGGTGCCGATCCGTCGAACCCCAACGCATCTTGCTCGACAGCGAGTGTAGTCTGGTCCAGACGTCCTGCTTGCTTCACCTTGCCAAAAGTCACATGAATGTCTCCATACATGTTATGCCATTGGGTATCTGCCCCAGGACCCGATCGCAAAGATCCAAGGAGCAGAGGCGAAGCCATCTTGCGGTGATCCGAGCCCTCAAACAAGCGGAGAAAAGCTTCCCTTGGCACCTCGCACGTCACAGCGATCATGTGTGGAATATCGGTCCAATCCTTGAGGAGTCCCTGTCGAGCATGTTGACTAGCATCATTGACGATCCAGGTTTCCTTTGTGCCGCTGAGCATGTATCTTTGTCCACTAAGCTCTTGAATGAAGTTGCTAGACATGGCAAGAGTGCGATCAGTGGCGATGTTCGCCACTAGGTCATGCAGAGCGTCGTGCCAAATATCAGTGGAAACACGCTGCTGCACCAGTTGGAGCAACGCCGCAAAGCTCCCTCGGTGAAAGTGGCCGTAAACAGCATCTCTCTTGTGCATTTGCGACTTCAAGGTCTCGAAATGTAGCCTTTCGTTGCTGAAGATTTGCAGATATATCTCCAGCAGAACTCTTGACAGCGCCTTTGCGTCGATATGAAGACAGCCACGGCCATGAGGTTGATTTGAGAACTGGTCGTCTTGCTTCCATGCGATACGGTTGTGTACTTGCGTATCGTTGCCGACCCCGGACTGGTTCATCATGCCGAGGAAGACTTCGTCGGCGTGCGACTCTGCCTTTGCATTTGTCCAGAACTGAACGGGGGAAACACCCAGTAACAATGACATTGTGGCCGGGTGCCCGCATAACAGCTTCTCAAAGGACTTTTGTTGAGTGTCTTCCGTCTTGAGGAGAAGCTCAGTGTAGATGGTAGCCCATGGACGATTTGCGAGCAACGGCGCGGTAGCCACGAGGATATTCAGGGCCCCTACATGATCCGAAAGATTCGATGTGTCAATGACGTCGAAGCTCGCCGGCCTCGTGCTGGCACTGTAGATTTCAGCATCAAGGCGAAGTGGCCGGGAGTCGAACAGCCGCCTGTAAAGGTTTGCGGAAGTCTGACCAGTCGTTGCAGCATGTTGAAGGCTGTGGCAGCACGCAAAGACATCTGACACGATGAACCGCACGTTGAATCTCTTCAACAGAGCGTTCTTCAGGGCAGCTGTCCATTCCTTGAATTGCGCTTTCGCGGCGTGGGCAGCTCTGGAACCATGCCTGGACGTAGGCTTCAAGGGAGACTTGTCTCCCAGTGGCGCAAAGGCGGTAGCAAGATGAAAGCCGAGAATCGGATCAGTACCGTAGTGAAGGACAGAGTTGTCGCTCACCAGTGCGGAGAACATGGGGTTGGGTACGTTGGTCACATCTCGATCCCTGCTCGTGACGGTGCCATCCTTCCAATACTGGTCAAAAGCTTCTGGCAATTCCAGCCGCGATTTCATAGCAAGAGGCGCTGCTGAGCGCATGGCGGTCGCAACAGTGCCATGGGGTCCCAGGGCTCGTCTTCTCATTCCAAGCGAGCGTTCAAGCTGCCTTGTCAGGGCAGAGCGTCGTTTGTCGAGGTCAACGTCGCTGGCTTCTTGTACCATGCGCTGGCATACGGCGCGAACATCATCAAGAGTATCCTGGTCGCAGAAGTGAAGCTTGATTCCGTACTGACTCTTCTTCCAAGACCCCAGTGACGCAAGCAGTGGTAGGAGCTCGCTCAGCTGCTTCTGGACGAGTGCGGCATCGCCAGCGTCGAGGTAGAGGTGGTAATAAATGTTCCACAAAGCATCATCAGAAGCTTCGCCGTCAATGAGGAACGTCAGCAGTAGAATGTTGCGGGCTTTGAAATTGTCAGTCATTGCATCAACGTAAACCCGAGGGTGGAACTGACCGATGACCTTCTCGTCATAGTCGCAGCAAGTGATGTCCAGGTTGCGAGGAGCTGAGGGCACGTCAGCTGAAAAGCACGATACTTTAGAAGTTTCATAAACTCACGAAGGCCCTGGTCGACATAGGCAGTATAAAAGATGTTTCTCAGGTCGCCGCAGCCCAGCGACAACACGGACGCATCTTGGCCGTGAGGCACACTTCGCGTCAAGTTCGTTGCAGGCGTGTTACCCACGGCGTAGAAGAAGGTGAAACGAGCACCGACCGTGGGCACAAGCATGATAAACTATGGTTTAAGGCACCAGACTCGAATATTATCCTTATCTGACAGCTGCAGGCGAGTCTCCAGGAAGTTGCGCGAGTGCAATCTGTAGCAAGATCAAAGAGTTGAAAATCGAGGTGGGCTGTGCCAGTTATACGCGAGAAGATGCCCGCACCAGTGACTCGTCAACAAGTCGCTATCCGACGCCACGCTTTAGAAAAGCTCACAAGTTGGTATCACTGGAAGCAAACACAATTTGATTGGTAAATTCTCAGTATTGTTATGTCGGAATTGTCCATTGTATTACCAAACCTCCCCATTTGTGATCCCACTCAAGTTGATATACACAGTCAATAAACATCGCATCATGCACGGGCCAAAATACACAAAATCGCAAAAGGTGCCGCATCCAGGGCTTCCATCCATTTGACTGTATCCGAGTCGAAGATCAAGACCAAAACCAAAACCATATCCTTTTCAACTCCGACAGCGGGGGGCTCTTGCGTCCCCATCAACTGTCCCATCCTCCATAACGCCACGCTGAAGCCGACCAAGTGTCACCCAAAATACAGGAAGAAGATTCGTTTCGTCGTTCGTAGGGTCGAAAATGGGGGGTTCACTTGTCGCTCCACATCGCGTTAGACATTCCTCCGTCTTGGAAACCACCGAGGGCTTGATCGAGTCGCCATTGCTCAATGTACAGGTTAGCGTGGGCATCCCCATTGCTACCAAAGAAGGTCTCCGCAGTCATCTGTGCCTGGAAATCATCGAAGCTGTAGAGCTGGTCGTTGATATCGTCCAGCGAGCCGAAGCTGCTGCTTGCTGTGAGTTCCGGCAGGTCGCCAAAGCCTTCAGGCTGACTCAAGTCCATGTCTAATGACAGGAAGGGCGTTTCAGGCCCTTGTGAGTGCTGACCTGAGGATACATCAGATGGCGACGTCAACACTCCCGGGTGCGAGTCCATGCTGGTAGGGGTGACACCCATGAGCACCGCGGGCGAGACGCATGGCTGCGGTAGCGGGTCGCTCATCAGAGTTTGCTGACTTGGGGTACTTGATGCTGGCTGAAGATATGGCTGAGGACTCGAGAAGGACGTAAAGTCCACTGACTCCCTCTTGACCATTGATCTTGACCTCACAGGTGTTGAAACCTGCTGGCTAAAGGGGCGCCCGGTTGGCATGGGCGCCGACGAAGTTGCGCTGTTGTCGAATTCCGGAATCGTCATCTGCTGAACATCGTGCGAGAGGTGTTGGAGGTTCACCATGGAGTGAAAGTCGAGCATCTGCTCAGGTGAGGCGGCGGCGGAACTGTCGGTATATGTTGAAACGGTCGACACTGTCGACACGGAGCTGATCGACATGTTGTTCTGCCGCCTCGTCCTGGCCTTCCTCTCGCGTCGGTCACCATCAATCTCGGGGTTCTTCCTTGGCCTGCCACGCTTGGCAGACTTCCTCACCACGCCGTCCAGTGCACCCTCGCACATCCCTCTCTGTCTGTGCCTCGTCAAAGCATCTTGCCTCGCAAAGGCCTTTTGGCAGGGACAGATGTAAGGCTTGTCTGTGAGGTGGATGCGGGCATGGCGCTTGAGATCGTGCGCGCGCACGAAGCACTTCTTGCACTCTTCACACTGGAACTGGCGGTCGTTGAGGTGCGTCTGTACATGGGACTTGACGTTCTCTTTGCGAGAGAACTCTTTCCCACAGTTCTGGAACGTGCACGTCCACAGTCCCGTCGACGTGGAGGGACCGTCAATGTAGGAGTGGACCTCTTCGGATGAGATGCCAGTCTCCACCTTTAGTTCTTGATAGCTGTCGAATGCGTTGGTGAGCGTCTCGAGCGAGCGGTCGACGCTGTTTTCCTTTCTGCGTATCGGTCGGATCGTCTCGGCTTCGTTCTCGTCGACGGCAGAGCGGTCGGTCGGCGAGCTATACTCGCGAGGTGTGCCGGTCATGAAGGAGCCATGGCTCGTTGCTGAGAGCGGCTCGGGGTACGAGGCAGTCTGCTGTGAGGTAGTTACATCAAAAGGCGCGAAATGAGGCATCTGCATGATATTCGTCCGCTGATGTAAGTTGAGGTGCGGCGGCCGACGGGCACGAATCGTCTGTGTGTCGTGCTGCATTGTCAAGTGAGTATCGGGCGAGGCCCTGCTAAACACTGCGTAGCTTGGTAGTAGTCAGTTCTCTCAAAAGCTCAAGGGTCTTCTTTATGGTCAGTTCTTCTGGTTAGGAAGGGCTCGATGCTCGCTCAATACGTCGCAATACTCTGGGGGAACACAGAGAGTAGGGTAGCGTTTTGAGGGCGGCTGCTTGTCAAAGAGGTCCGGCTGGAGGAGTACTGTGAAAATATTGAAGATGGTGTATTCGATATCGAATGTCAAGTTCAACGTTGGATCGTTAGACGGTGGGTTCGGATGCAAGATGTTGAGATAGCGGCGGCAAGGAACGGTGTAAGTCGGCTGGGGGGCATTATTTACTTCCTTGGCGCTGTTGTCATGGCGACGGCACTTTTTCCATGGCCGCTGAAGACCGCTGTCCAGCAACGTCACAATCACCCGCCGGCCCGCGATCAAGTGGGGCGCTGGATCAAAGTCACGAGCTGATCATTCGAAATGTCTTGAAACTGGCGATGCCTAGTTTGTTCCAGGCAAATCCTGACTCACGGATCAATGACCGAACGACTCTATTCGTGCGAGGAGATGACGAAGAGCTGTGCAAGCGCCGCGACGTGGCGGCTGTCTGCTGGATCTCGAAGACTGCGATGGACTCCATCACTGAGGTGATTGTAGTCACAAGGGCGAGTCGATCATTGTTAGACATGTTGCGAAGATTAATTGACTATAAACCAAGCTATCGATACTCAGAGTGCTGTTGGTGATCAAAGTGAGGCTTGTTCATGAAGGTTGAGTCAAGCCAAGCTGTGTCCCCGAGAATCAACAAGCTGGTTGCCCAGCAGAGAACAGAGGGAGTCAAAATAAAGTACATTATGCAACACAGTGAGTAGTAGCATCATTTCATGCCCGAGATCTCACCCCCGACTAAGAAGCTTTCACGGCTCTTGAATCGAGCTTGCCATCGGATTGGTACCTTCACGACTTTGCTGTGCAAGAATAATTGCACCTTCTGTACAGCAGAAATGCACAATGCCTGGATACAGCTGCAAGTTGTGAATGAACCCCTTTTATCGTCGACAGCAAGCTGCATGGCACGTGCACCAAGCATAGCCCATTGCTCGGCCAATAGAAGCAGCTGCCTTCCACAGCAGTGGACCCCGTGATTATTAGTCTCCAAATTCCCAGGTGGATAGCCAGCAATCGGGGCCCTCGACGCGACATCTGCCGATTGCCCAGCTCAACTTGACTCCGTTGGACCTCATCATCCCTCGAGCCGCCGTTTGTCTTCACCTCTGCGTCGGGTTTCAGGACGTTGGTCAGGCTTTTCTCTCGCTACTGGCTGTGCTGAACTATCGTTTCCGCTTCCCACGGAGCCCAACTGCAGCTTCTCCAACCGTTTGAGCCCATTGCTCGACACCGATTGTCATTGTTGACAGTCGACTCTCGCCATGTCGTCCGGCGGAACCATCTCGGGCAACACCCTTCGAGGGACTCCCAACAGGGATCGTCGAGGGGGCATTCCATTCCAGCAACAACAGCACCCGCATGCAAGCCCTGCTGGATCAGCGATTCCTCGACCTGTTCTGGAGGAGAAGCCCAGCGATGCGGGTTCTGCTCTGAGTGCGAGTCGGCAGAAGCAGACTAAGCGAGATGAGGTAGGTTGGAACTTCCTGACTGGCAAGCCAGAAATGCTAATAAGCAAAGGCAATTCGACGTAAGCTCGAGACCGATCTCTCCAAGAAGAGCAAGCTGGCCGGCCGCACACGCCAGAGCCGCAAGGCCCCCCCGGGCACCGTCTTGTCCCTGAAGCCCAGCCCTGCTCTCCAGATCAAGCCTTCGACTACAGTCTCCGAAGCTGCTCAGCTTATGGCCGCAAAGCGAGAGGATTGTGTGCTCGTTACCGACGACGATGACCGCATCGCTGGTATCTTCACCGCCAAGGATCTGGCTTTCCGAGTCGTCGGAGCTGGGTCCAAGGCCTCCAATGTCACTATTGCCGACATTATGACCAAGAACCCTCTTTGTGCCCGCACCGATACCAGCGCCACCGACGCCCTCGACCTGATGGTCCGCAAGGGATTCCGCCACTTGCCAGTCATGGACGAGAACCAGGATATTTCGGGTATTCTCGACATCACCAAGTGCTTCTACGAGGCTATGGAGAAGCTCGAGCGTGCCTACTCCTCATCCAGGAAACTCTACGACGCTCTGGAGGGTGTGCAGTCCGAGCTCGGCGCTAGTCAACCCCAGCAGATCATCCAATATGTCGAGACCTTGCGCAGCAAGATGTCTGGACCGACTCTGGAGAGTGTGCTTAACGGCATCCCTCCTACCACTGTGAGCGTCAGGACCTCGGTCAAGGAAGCTGCGGCTTTGATGAAGGAGAACCACACGACGGCTGTCTTGGTGCAAGACCAGGGAGCCATTACCGGTATCTTCACCAGCAAAGACGTTGTTCTTCGCGTCATTGCCCCTGGCTTGGATCCCGCCACCTGCAGTGTCGTGCGTGTCATGACACCTCATCCCGACTTTGCACCCATGGACATGAGCATCCAGGCCGCTCTTCGCAAGATGCACGGTATGCGAAAGTGATGAATGTATTAGGGCAATTTGCTGACCAGTGTAGATGGCCATTACCTTAACCTCCCCGTCATGAATGAGGGCGGCGAGATTGTGGGCATGGTGGACGTGCTCAAGCTCACCTACGCCACGCTCGAGCAGATCAACACCATCTCGACAGGAGATGGAGAGGGCCCGGCTTGGAACAAGTTCTGGCTGTCCATGGACAACGAAACAGAGTCCATGATGTCTGGCGACGGCGGCAGCCACAGCCACCACCACACCAACCTTGGTTCTCGCATGATGTCTCCTGATGTGACGCGCGAGCGCATTGGCGACAGCGTTGCGCCTGGCGACTCTGCGTCTCACGTCGGTGCTGAGTCACCCCCTCGCTCCATGCTGCAAGAGACGCCTGGCGTGGTCCCGGCAGAACTGCCGTTCCCCTTCAAGTTCAAGGCCCCCTCAGGTCGTGTACACCGCTTGCAAGTCATCGCGTCGCAGGGCATTGAGACTTTTGTTGCGGCCGTCGCCGCCAAGCTCGGTAACGAGGTGGAGGGCATTGGAGGCACTCCCGTCGTTGAGGACGGCAAGATGAGCGGCACTGGCTTTGCGCTGAGCTACGCTGACGACGAGGGTGACACGGTGTCCATCACCACGGACAACGATCTGCTCGAGGCGATTCTTCTGGCTCGCCAGAGCCTTCGTGAGAAGGTTGATCTTTACGTGCACCATCCGGACACGACCCCTGTCGTGGCGCCTCCACCCCCTCCTCCTGTCGTCGAGACACCAGTCGTTCCCACGCCCACTGCTTCGTCTGCTGATGGCCTCCGCATGCGCCGCCGCGACTACGACGAGGAGGACGACGAGGATGACGAGGAGGAGGAATCTACCGTGCGTCGGTCCAGGCGAAACCGCAATGCACCCGTTCAGGACCAGGTCATTGCCGGCGTTCCCAACGAGCTGCTGCTGCCCGGTGCCATTGTCACGCTCGCTGTTGTGATAGTCGGTGTTTTCACCATTACCAGGGCTACCAGTAGATGAACTCAAACTGCCTTGCGTGATTGATAGGTTGGAGCAGGTTCACATCCTCATGAGCCACCAAGGCAGCTGTACATGTTTCAGCATTTCGTACTCTTTGCATATATAGACCTGTCGTAATCAAGCGAATATCAAATTTTAATCTGCCATTTTACTCTTCGCACAGCCGAGACTCCATCCATCTTTTCCGAGGTGACGGACCTCGACGCGCTGCGCGTCGGCCGGCAGCGGAAAAACCCAGGGCCCACTTTTGCTCTCGCAGTGCTACGAACCAAATTTTGGACGACTCGCATCTGCGACCATCACCAGGACGACAAGTGACAGCAGTTCGGGCAGCCGTCATGATATTGAGAAACGCCGCTGTGCGGCATGGTATGTGGCCTCCAATTGATTACATGATGCAGAACCTTGACATTACAGGCCGCCGGACGCTGGCCAGCCCCATCTCACGATCCGCCCTACGCCAATTGTCGACCGAGAAGACCGCGACACCGACGGCCAGCACGGAGGCCCCCGTCGAGTCGTGGCCCGAGGAGCAGAAGGCACATGCGCGTGAGCTCGCCAGCACGGTCCCCAAGAAGGAGCGATCCGCCAGCCGAAAACAGACCAAGTACATCCAGACCAGCGTCTTTGGTCTCGGGGTGAACGCAGCCACAACGCGCCACCAAGGCCGCTCATGGACGCGCGAGCACCAGATCGGAACGGAGACGCTCACGCCCGAGGAGCAATGGCAAAAGTTTCAGCGCCAACAGACCGACACGAGGAAGATTGGTACGCATGTCGAGAAACGGTACTCCCCTACCGAGCTTCTGCAGAACCCGCCCCATGCCGAGGACGTCACGCTCGAGCTTCTCATGGCGTCGCAGACGCACATGGGCCATCACAAGTCTGTATGGAACCCGGCCAACGCTCGCTACATTTTTGGTGTGCGCGAGCAGACGCACATCATCTCCCTCGAGACGACGGCGGCGCACCTGCGACGAGCCGCGCGCGTGGTGGAGGAGACGGCCTACAACGGCGGCCTGATCTTGTTTGTGGGCACGCGCCGCGGGCAGATGGAGATTGTGGCCAAGGCGGCCGAGTTGTCTAAGGGGTGCCACGTCTTCACAAAGTGGGCGCCCGGCACGATCACCAACGCCGAAGTCATGCTCCGAGGCCACAAGCTGCAGATGCTGGATCAGAACGACAAGCAGCTCGGCGGCTTCCAGCTGTTCAACGACAAGCCCCTGATGCCGGATCTGGTTGTCTGTCTGAACCCGCTCGAGAACTGGCCCCTCCTCTACGAATGCGGTCTCAAGACGATTCCTACGATTGGCATAGTTGACACGGATGCCGACCCAACCTGGGTGACCTACACAATCCCGGCCAACGACGACAGGTATGTGCTTTGAGCTTGTTGTAGTTGGTTTTCCAACTGACTGTTTCTAGTTTGCGATCGGCTGCCGTCATTGGAGGTGTACTTGGTCGCGCCGGAGAGCGTGGTCAGCAACGGCGCATGGAGCAAGCCAAACTAGGAAACGTCACATGGAACACGTCCCCGCGCGTGTACGAGTTCATGGAGACGCAGAAGAAAGAGGCTCTCAAGAAGCGCAAGCAGGTCATGGGAATGACACAGCAATACCACGGCCTCAACGACGAAGAGATGAAGCTCCTGGAGAAGTCGGAGCCCGTGCAGAAGGAGGTCACAGAGGACGCCATGCTGGCGATGATGGGGCAGATGGTGGATGGTCAAGCGCAGGCGAAAGCCGATGTTGGCGAGGCTATCCAGCAGCCTGTCGCTGACCTGAGTGCGGAAGATATTGAGAAGAGCATCCAGGCACTGGCGTCGGGCACCAAGGAGATTGAGGCAGCTTTGCGCACCTCTGGCGCCGCCTCGAGACGGTCTGGTGTGACTGTGGAGAGCATCGAGAGGGATCTGGCGGCTGTTGGCGTAAGCGCCAAGGAGATTGAGAGTCTGCTGACGGCCTCCACCGCTCCCAAGGCGTGAGCGTGTACCATCATATAGCGTGTATACTACGAGGGACGGTGTTGTATCCGAGAGATTAGAAATGTATATTCCGTGTAGTGAGCGCGCTTTCAGATTGACGGTTCGTGTTCAATGTCGTGGTCGCCGGGCCGGAACAACGATAGCCCTCGGTGCATAGGGAATTGGAGCCGTACGGCCCGTACCTCAAACTTCGCACCTGCGCACTTCCCCTCACCACGCAGGAACCCTCACGACCGAACATTTCAGTACGCGCGGGACTCGACGACGCAATCTTACAGCCATAGCGCATCTCGCGTGCAGCCAGCCAGCGAGTAAGCCAGCGCGCCATCACGGCCAGGCACGAGGCGACGCTGGGCGTTGACCAAGTTGGGCACTCGGATCCTCCCGACTGGCCGAGCGCAGTTGCTACCCTGAACGCGGACCCTTGTGGGGCCTTGTCTCAGCACAGGATCTACTGCAAGGGACACATGCCCTGGTGGCTGCCCGACATCCATCTTTAGTTGCTTGCTTTTCTCGTCGTACGCGCCCGCCTGCCATATCTGTAGTATCTGTGGCATGCGGTGCTGACTGTTACCACAGAGTGCTTCCTATTCCCACAAGAGTGGCAGGCGCGCGCAAGGATGCCTGCCATGCTGGAGGACCCAGCCAGTCCGACTATCCACCGTCGGTCTGGCGAGGCCCCTTTTCCAGACCCCAACAACCCTCAGCTGCCCGTGGACATTTCGCCTCGTCAGGTGACGTTGCGCGATCGCCAGACGGTGGCCACCATTGTGCCCTATGCCTCTGCTCAGAATGTACCTCCCACGTTGCTCGCGTACCTGTGTGACCAGTTCAACAAGGAAATCGAGGGCGGCGACACCTATCCCATGGTAGACACTTTCACCGTGGAAGGCTTTACACAGTACTGGTTCCAGAACATGGCCGCCATCATGCTTCTAGGAAGCTTGGACAGCGCAGATGAGGTCGTCGAGGGCAAAGACTGGAGTAAAGAGTGTCTGGGGAGCTTCTACATCAAGCCCAACTATCCGGGCCGCAGCAGCCATATCTGCAACGCAGGGTTTTTAGTCACTGACGCTTCGCGGAATCGCGGCGTGGGCCGTCTCATGGGCGAGACATACATCATCTACGCACCACGACTAGGCTACACCTACAGCGTCTTCAACCTGGTGTACGAGACCAATGTCGTCTCCTGCCGCATCTGGGATGCCCTGGGCTTCAAGAGGATTGGCAGGGTGAAGGAATGCGGTAATCTCAAGTCGTACCCGGATCGACTGATTGACGCCATCATCTACGGCCGTGATCTCAACCCGGACGAGTCCGAGGATCTCGTCTCGGAGGAGCGCTTTGACAAGATCAAGTACTATCTCAAGTTCAACAAGTACCCGGCCGGGGCTGATCGCGCGGAGAAGTCTCGGCTGCGCAGCGCGGCGACGCACTACAAGCTGCTCGAGGGCGATAAGCTGATGCTCAAGGACAAGGAGGTCATCTCGGATCCGCTGCGGCAGTACGCCATCGCGCGGGAGGTCCACGTGCAGAATCACGGGGGCATCAACAAGACCACGGCGACAATTGCGGAGAAGTACCACTGGAGCCGAATCAAGGAAACGGTGAGCGATGTGATACGCGGCTGCCGGGAATGCAAGGAGCTGGGGAAAACGACAAACTCACTTAAGAGAGGAGCAGCCGCGTCTATTTCGGCGCCGAACAGCACAGGGAGTCCGCCTCAGGGGAGGGCTGGCGAGCCTGCACGACCTACCCGGGACACAATGGATGTCCTGGCGTTCCAAGACGGATCGCGGGCCATGATGCTGCCTACGTTGTCACAAGACAGCTCCGGTTCCAGTCCAGCGACTGCGAGCTATGAAGCTGATTTGGCGTCGATACAGCCTTCTCATACTTTGCACGGTGTCGGTGCTGGGCACGACTTACATGGACAGCATCACTTGCTGCCTCCACACCAGCAACACCAATACCAACCCATCGACCCGCAAATGATTGACCAACCTGGCTCTGACGTCAATTTTGATCAATATCGCGATGATAGCCATGTCGCAGACTTTCAAGCACTGCTCGACGCGACCGAGGACACCAGCACGGACAACGACACAGCAGCCGACGCAGAAGCCGCCGCGGCCGCCGTGGATCGAGACCTGGACATGCTGATAGAACACGACGCGGACGGTGATGGCGCAGCAGATACCAAGAGGAACGAGAAGGACGAGACTGGGCTGTACGATTGGGATGCGAGATGATAACACACGATACCCCCCTGTACGACAGGCTTGATTGCTCACAGATATATATACCCGGTGATACATACACATACATCATTACATACATATTAGAACCCAAATGACCCGCTCCAAGCATCTCGCCAACACGGAGAGAAAATAAACGCCACCGCAATGTGAACCCATCATTTTTTCTTTTTGACCCTCCCCCTTCACGACTGCTCCCCCAAGAACGCCGTCTCTCGATACAGCTCCGCCTCGAACCCAGCGGGACAGAGCTGCTCCCAGCCGGTGTACTCCCAATCAATGTACGCGCCCCCGGCAATCTCGTAGCGCCCTTCCTCCTCGGTCTTCTTCATGAGACCGTCGAGAATGCGACGAGCGTGCGGCTGCATCCACATCTCGGGCCAGTCGCGGTGGCGGTTCTCCTGCGGACCATTGTGGTTCACGACCACGGGGATGGTGTCGAGGCAGAGGTTCGAGTACAGCGGCATCTCGTCCCAGCCGCGCGCGGGACTCCAGAGCGCGGCGTCCGAGACGATGGCGCGCGGAAGACGGGTCGTGCTGTTGAGTAGGTCCAGGGGCAGCGCGCCGTCGACCTGGGGTACGCAGATACCTGGTCGTCGTCCGATGAGCTGCGGGGGGATGTCGTGCGCGTACGTCAGCCAGCGACCGTCGTCCTCGTGGAGATCGGTCTGCGTGGCCAGGTCGGCCCAGTAGTCGACCGCGATGCCGAGGTCGGGGAGGCTGCTGATCGTGTCCGGGATCTCGTGCGGGAAGTTCGGGTTCAGGGGGTTGTGGACGAGGGCGCCCTCGACGACGGAGAGGTCGGCGGGTCCGCCGTGGTGGCGACGGCGGAGGGCTTCGCGTCGGTACTCTTGCTCGCCAAACATGTGCTGGAAGACGGCCTGGTCGCTGCCGCTGATGGCGTAGGCGCCGTTGGTGCTGTTGCGCGCCAGGTCGATCTTTTGGCTCGCGCGGGTAAAGACGCGGGTCATGTCCTCGACGGAGCCGACGATGAAGTTGGCGCTCAGGTAGCGGTTCAGGTGCGCCGTGTGGTTGAGGCGCATGTCCTCCGTCCACGGGCCGTAGATCTCCTTGGGCAGGGGACTCTCGGGGATGGGGTAGCAGGCGACGCTGGCGGGGTCGGCCGGGGTGCACATCTTGTCGGCGCCAAAGACGACGCGCTGTCGGATGTCGTTCTCCTTCTCAAAGGCGACGCCCATGCGTTCCGCGAGCCGGCGGTTGGACGATTCGAGGTTGCCGCGGTAGCGCTTGAGGAGCACGTCGAGGGGGAGCTGGAACCAGGCCTCGCCTGTGGCGTGCGCGGTTGGATTCGACGGGTGGTGGTTGAATGCGCCGTAGGCATCGACGATGACGACCGTGTCGGAGGCGTGCTCGGGGGGTTGCGAGGAGAGCCACTCGAGTGTCTTTTCGATCTTGGACAGGTGGCGGCCACCACCGATGAGTGTCTCTGTCCTGTTGTCAGCGTCCTGTCCTTGTGAAGCTGGGGTCCTTGCTGGATGGGTGTGCGCACCGTCATGTTCGCCCTCGCCATGGCCGAGGATATGGGGTATCGGATACCCCATGACCGTTGCTGAGAGTATGGTCTTGCATGTGCTCACGTCGCGACTGGGCGCGGGAAGCAGGACGTGCACTTTCTGAAGGTCCTCCTTTGCTACCGGTAGCAGAGGAAGCCGCTGATGTGGTTTCGGAACGAATCTCGAGTCGACGAGCAGTCGCGGTACGCGCAGGTCATTGTGCTAGAGGTTTCTCTCTGTTAGCGCTGGAACGATGGTGGTGCTGAGTATGGGAGGCGTTGCCACTCACATTGTAGAACAGAGAGCAGAGCAGAATGGCAAACACGGCGAGGACGATGAGGCTCTGCCGCCTGGTGCCACAAGTAGGCAGCATGATATGTGGTATGTACGTGGGAAACACCCGGTGGAAAAAATGCAGAGGCCAAGCAAGTGGTACACGAGGGTAACGAGCGTAAGTGAGCGCGATAGCGACGGAAAGCCAAGGACGATGGCGGTCAATGATTCGACATTCTTCGGCGACGAGCTGCCTACACCGAGTGATCGTCTCTTCGTTTGCTCAAGCGTTCACGTCGGTGGTAGGTTCAGGATGCTGAGGGTTAGAGATGTCACGATGGATGGTGGCTCGGGATCGCGCTGGGCTGTCTGGGTCCGGGTCGCTGAAAGGGGGCAGGGGCCTGCTATTAAAGGCTAGGGGCCTAGACGGGGCCTGGGGCGGTACCTGACTAACGTTATATGGTAGGTTGTTTGAGCCTCGGTCAGTGGTTGTGATTGATCTGAGCTCTCAATCTATCAGCTTTCAATCCGAGCTCTGTTCTCCTTCTTCTCTTTCTGTTGAGACTTCATCATCAAGCTCTGCTGCTTCCGGCACGCGAAGAGCGCGTGAGACATCTCGGTGACAGCAGTACCAGGGGTCCAAGCCAAGCCAAGCCAAGCCAAGCCAAGCCAGGAGAGGAATGTGGTTGCTCCAATGATGGGGTCGTCCAGCACTCCAATTCCATTTTTTGCTTCCCGTTTCTGTGGTTCATAAAATGTTTCTTCTGCTGCGAGCCTGCGACGCCGGAAAAGGGGATCGAAGGAATGCATTTATGCTTATGGCGATTGGTCGAGAGCGACGCCTTCTTACTCGTGCCAGGGGCAGCTTGAACTTAGTGATCTGCCTGCTTGCGGGCAGACTTCGTGCCTCTGCTTATAGGAGTGCATGCTCAGTCAGTGTCGTTTTCTGCACGAAATTCCATGTTGCCAATAGTGTCCCTCACTTTTACTATCCAAAGAAACTGTCTCCTCTTCACAGGAGTCAGGACTCAGGAGGGCGCAGCTTTTGTGAGAGATTACGGGGGCCAGTCGCGGGTCTAGGCTCGGGTCTACTGTCTCTGGATCGCAGACCCCTGCTGCCGGTAGCTCTGGCGTTGGTCCGTTATGCTTGGCGGTACGGAGTGGGTGCTAAGTTTGCCGTTAAGCATGCTGTGGGATCGACCTCACTGGCTTGGCCCTGGGGAGCTTGCTTGTGAGCCTCCTCGACGCTTGTTCAATATGCTTCATTGCGACTACGGCGCCGTCGTCATCCTCATGTCTACATACATTGGCCACGTACAGGTTCCAGAGTATCGTGCCGGATATTCCCAACGCCTCGAGAGAACCCCCCCCCTCGTGTGCGTAAGTGTGTGTCAAGTCATTGTAACCTTCCTCATGTGTTTCACCATTTTTTTTCTTTACCTCCTCGGCATGCCGCGGCCGCGTCCGCGCACCGCTCGTTGGGCCGCACCCGGCGGCATTTGCCCGGGCGCTTGGGGCTTCTGGCTCTCCTCGTTGCGGACGGTCTCGTCGACGCCCAGGATCAGGCAGCTCGCCTCGGTGGCGGCCTGGATGGCGTTGACCTTGACGAGGGCCGGCTCCCAGACGAACCGCTCCATCATGTCGGCGACGCCCTCCTCCTGAAAGTCCACGCCGGCCCACGTCTTGCCCTTGCGGTGCTCGACGCGGAGCTTGTTGAGAATGTCGGTCGAGTCAAAGCCCGCATTGTCGCAGAGCTGCCGGGGCACCACCTCGAGCGCGCGCGCAAACGACTTGATGATGGCCTGCTGCTTGTGCGGAATGTTCTTGTCCGCGAAGCTGTGCAGGTACGCCGACACCTCCATCTCGGTCGCGCCGCCGCCGCCGACAATCGTGTTGTTCTTGATGGCGCGCTTGACAATCATAATGGCGTCGTGCAGCGAGCGGTCCACCTCGGCGATGAACTGCTCGGCGCCACCGCGTAGAATGAGCGTGCACGTCTTGGCCTCGGGGCACGCCTCGAAAAAGTTGAACCGCTCACCGCCCATCTGTCTCTCCTCAAAGTGGCCGCAGGTGCCCAGGTGGTCGGGCAGAATGTCGGAGCACGTCGACTGGGTGACGGCGCCCGTGGCCTGCACGACGCGCTCCATGTCGTCCGAGGCAACACGGCCGGCGCAGAAGATGTCGCGGTCGGCAAAGTACTGGGTGGCCAGGTCGCCAATGGGCAGCTTGCTGAGGACCACCTTGGCGCCCGTCTTGTGGATCGCCTCGAGCTTCTTGTAGATAATCTGCCACTCGGCGTCGACAATGGCTTGGTACTCGGACACCTGCTCGACGCGGACCTCGGCATTGTCCTTCTCGGCCTTGAGCTCGAGCTCGACGTTGAGACAGACAATCTTGGGGTCCTCAAAGCTCTTGGGCTGCTGCTCAAAGCCGGCGTAGGCAAACGTCTTTTTAAAGGCCACGCCGTTGACAAACTGGGAGTCGGTCAGGGAGCCGCCGGGGATCTTCTTGACGCCAATGAGCTTCTCGTTCAGGTCGTCCTGGTCGAGGGAGAGGACGGCGTCGACGACCATCTTTGTGAAAAAGTCCGTGTTGCGCTTGATCAGCTTGCTCGTCATGGCGGTGGCGGCCAGCTTGGTGAGCGTCTCGCGGCGGTTGCCCTCGTCGGTGCTGACGGCAATCTCCTTGACCTTGTTGACGGCCATCTGGGACGCCCGCCGCAGGCCCTTGATGATGACCTGCGCGCTGACGCCCGACTCGACGTGCTCCTTGACCTCCTTGAGGATCTCGCCGGCGAGGACGACGACCGAGGTGGTGCCGTCGCCCACCTCGGCGTCTTGCGAGCGGGCAATGTCGACGAGGATGCGGGCGGCCGGGTGGATGATGTCGAGGAGCTTCATGACCGTCGCGCCGTCGTTGGTGATGGTCTGCCGGCCATTCTCGTCCACCATGAGCAGGTCACCACCGTAGGGGCCGAGTGTCGACTTGATGGTGGCCTGCACGGCCATGCATGCGTTGATGTTGGAGATGATCTGCCCCTTGCCTTGCGACGTATCGGTGCCTATAGAGTGTGAACGTTAGCACGGGGGTATTCCAGTCGTCGTAGGCTAGCTAGCCAGCCCTCCAGCGGTCGGTCGGTCGGTCTGGTCTGGCGGGCGGTGGGGTAACGCACCCTCTCTGAGGACGACGATCGTCGGTGTCTGTCCGCCGAACGACATTGTGAGGTGTTGTCTGGGTCGTATGCGGTGGGATCCGGGTGTGAGGAGAGTGCAGACCGACGGAGAGTAGAGAAAAGGGTCGTCGTCTGGGTGTGAAGGTGGTGAGACTGTCGTCGTTCGTTGGCCGTTGGAAGCTCCAAAAATTTGGGCGACCTCCCACCTTCCCCTGATGTGGGGCAGGCAGCCGCCTTATCGCCTTATCGCAGCTTATCAGGAGCTGGCTGCTGGAAGCTTCGACTTGGGGAGGCCAGTCTTCTCTAACTTCACATGAAAGGATGACCTCGTTCACGAAACCCATTGGATGTGCTCTTCTATGATGATGAAAGGCTCCCGACGCTGCTAACATACAGACCTGACATGCTCTCCTACTTGGCAGCACCTCGCCTTGCCTGGACCGCACCTACGCGGCCTACCCCCCAACCTCATTGCCTGGCACCGCCTTTCCTCGCCCAGGTGCCTCATCAAATTTGGTCCTCCATGTCTCCTCCTGCTTGAACATCTCAACGCACTGCAGAGCATTGGGCTGCCCATACTCTGGATCCGCACCAGCTTCGAGAAGCGCCTACGTCATCGAGTCAGCAAGTGTTCACAGAATCCGCCAGAATTGACACACCTCGATCACGGCATCCTCCTTCTTGAAGACTGCCCCTGCAAGGGGGCTCTGTCCTCTGTCATTGAGTCGGTTTGGATCGGCCCCGTGCTGGACCAGCAACCTGACCGTGTCGGCGTGGCCGTGATATGCAGCCAACATGAGCTGTCCAGCCTGTCAGTACATGCGATGCTGGATAGAGGTGAGAGGCTGCTTACAAGTGTATCGCCCTTCTCGTTGGTCATGTTGGGCGGCAGACCTGCCGGTAGAGCTTGCCCAAGGAGCGCCATGTCGCCTTGGCGCGCTGCATTGTACATCCGGCCCGCCAGGGCTATGGCTTCCGGTGGGATGCTGCTTGGCTCTTTCGCTGTGGAGGCGTCCATCGCAGATATGGTGATGGTCTGTGGGATGAAATGTAGGTGATGGTGACTGGAGGCTGCTTTACACACTGTGCTCAATTACGCGTACATTTCTAGCCAGCGCTAATTCCGGCCTAGCGAGCTGGGCATTGCAAGCCAGAATCATGTCTCGGATGGACCTGGACGATGCGTTGATACGACACCGTGACCTGATGGACACCATCTGACATTTAGAGGCACGGTAGTGACTACGACCATTGTGGATGTCTGTGTGATCTCGAATGTAAGCCAAGATCTTGATAAACAGAAGAACCAGATGTTGGCACCACTTGGTCATCGCGAAGACAGCAGCGAGGAGTTGAGGTGCATGCGGTACACTTGTGCTCACGATGACAACCTCGCTCCTCATCGGCTAACTCATCATCCTTCTTACGGCTGGCTAGTGGTGCCATTGGCGCTCTAAAGCTCAGCGCAAAGCTGAACCAGGAGCGCGAAGGTTGGCCAGGCCAACACAGCATCAGGATTCAGGGCAGCCAGACCAGATGCGTCTGCCTCACTTGCTACCAGTATCGCTGTCACTACGGACGCCGACACGCCATGAAGCGTGGCAGAGAAGGCGAGAACGGCAAACCGACACAAACCCGAATCAACTCATACGTTTCATCACCAAGCCCATGGCTGCGCCGCACTACAAAGTGGCCACGAGTGGAAGCATCCTAGTGGCAGATATCGTGCCTAGTCTGACATTGAAGCTCGAGTCTAGCATCTAACAGTCTCCCTTCCCTGGGCGCACACCTACAAGTAGATGTAACACAAGGGATCCCCTCCAAGCGTGTCGAACATGTCCTTGATGGGGTGGCTCTCGCCAAGGGTGCCCATGTCGAGGACATCGTCCACCGTCGCGTTCCGGCTCGGGGGCCTGTCCTGCAACGTCAGGGTGCCAGCCACCTCGCGAGCCTCGGCGGGGTGCAGGATCTGGTGCATCCAGTACAGGCGGTCGAACATGGCGTGGTGGAGGAAGAAGGCGGGATCGTTGGGGGACGAGTAAAGGTCCGTGTTGTCGCCATTGATAGAATAATGGCCAGTGGTGTGCAGCCCGAGGAACTGGTCCGGGTACCGGCCCTGGACCTCGGACCAGAAGGCGCGGTGCGTCCGCGAGGCGGCGCCAATGGTCACGTTGAGCAGGTTCGCGGTCGTGTACCATTTGCCCATGGCGTAGCTGTTCAGGTCGCGCTGGATGCAGCGGGGGTTGTAGTCGGACAGGTCCAGGACCACGGGGCCGAGGCCGTCCATGGCTGGGTTGAAGGGGCCGATGGAGGCGGAGGCACTGGCCGGAGGGTTAGCATCATTGACTCGTGCGACAGATCCTATCACTAACTTTTTGAAGGGACCGCTCTTGATGCAACCACCGCCCGCGCCGGACGGGAGGTAGATGTGGCGAGCACCGCCGAGACTGCCATTGTGCTGGACAAACTCACCGTCGCCGCCCAGGCTGGTGTCGCTGCCGTCAAAGACAGGGCTCTTGGTCAGGTCCTCTGCGTCGGCGAACCAGTTCCAGTACTGTGAATGGTGTCAGTCGCGTTCCATGGTCTCACGGTCAAAAGGGGGACGCACAGGCTGTGTGCCCTTGTAGCCACACTCATCGCGAAGGGCAGTCTCGTAGGACCAGACAAAGGCACGGTGCCAGGTGAGAAAGAGACCGCTTCCGTGGACGGACATGGTCAGGTTGACGTGGAGCGCCACAAAGTCATCGTACCGAGTCTGGGCCGCGCTCCATTCCTCGGGGCCCTTGGAGGGAAGACTGCGCAGGCACTGGGCGGCCTTGATGTAGTCCTTTCTCTCCCGCTTGGTCAGGACCGCCCTAGATGCATATGTCAGAATAGTGACACCTCTCCATGGTTATGCCAGACGTACCAGTCTTTGCGAACCCGCGCGGTGGCGAGCGTGCACTTTTTGGGCCCCCTCTTGCAGTTCTCGTGGGACATGGCCTCCTCGACCGCGGACTGGAGCTCCTGGAGGGCATCGACAGGGTTCATCGAAGGATCAATGTCTGGAAGAGCCACCTCGCCATCCTGACGGACCTCGACGGCGGCACTCTCGAGAGGAACGGCGAGAACACGGCCAAAGGAGGCCAAGGCGGTGGCCGCAACAACAAATGTCCTTGAGAAATACATGCTGCCGGAAAGGGGGGATTCGAGAGGTGATCCCGGGATACCACGAGGTGAAGGCGGCGTTTGATGCTCTTCAGCCTGCAGCGGCAGCACGATTTATGTACTTGCAGTCTTCGAGCTCGGTACCAAGGCAAGCATAGGTTCAGGGAGGTCCGTTACATGGGAGGGGCACCGACGGGCAATCTCGCGCGCATCGATCATGCCAATGTTGTGTTCAATCGAAAGACCGAGTTCCGACACTTTTGATGGAACGATTGGGTCATTGGAGGCATGTACATTCACGTCTATTACCCCCATGTACAAGCCCGGAAGGCATGAGTTCGGCCGCCTGGCATCGGCGCATCCCTTTGTTCCCCGTGGTCCATCACCCCTGTCCTGGTGTTTAGCCGGAAGTTGGGAGTCCGGGAGGTGGAGAATCAGCCTGATGTATCATGTAAGTCTTCATCCAAAGAGCGGCTGCGAATGTACTTGTGCTGGCTCATGTTTCGTACAGGCAGGCATCGGGTAACCAACCGCGCCACGATGCAGGGCAGGGATCCTTGATATAGCAAGATCGCAGGGCAGCCACTCACAGGCATGCCATTGAAGATGCTTACGGGCAAAAATCACGACGTGCCGTGTTATGGGATTGGGGAGACTCCAGATGCAGGCCGCGCATGCCCCATGCAGCAATCTCGCTTGCTGCTTCATGCGTTGGGAGAGCACACTGAAGCAGCACCTTCACCACGAAAGCCATTCCAACACTGTCGAAGGGCCTCTTCCAAATGTCAACGATCATCAAGTTGAGGATGGAGTGTCGACAAGCAACGTGCTGGCAACACGGGGACGACGCAGCGAAGAACAGAAGTGGAAGCCTTGTTTGAGAGTCGGCTCTGGGAGGCAAAGGACGACATGGTTATTTTAACCGTAAAGCATGTAAGCATTCCGTTCGGCACTCGCTGGACAGGTATAAGTCTCCGAATGCGTGCACCTTGGCGACGCCCTGATGAGAGTGTCCCCCTTCGGCCGCCTCGCATCCTTCTGCCCCTGGATGGAAAGGCAGAAGCCTGAAGGAAGTTGTGATTTGCGCCGTCTTCGCCTCTTCTGTACAGTGTCAACCAACCCGATGGAGGGCTACAGTCCCAGGGGTATGCCAGGAGCCAGTTGGCTCCAAGATGTCTGGAACGTGGAAGAGATCGACCCTGGCGCTCGCGTGCGTCCGCTCCGTGTCTCGAGGGCGGCTGGAGGTAACATTGCGTGGCAACCGTGACCGCATGGGGATGCTCCTCGTAGAAGGTTTGTGCAGAGAGATGGGAAAAGGGGACAGTTCTTATGAAGCGTGCGTCGGGCCTCATCTCCAGATGGCACGGTGTATAGAGACATTCCGCTCTGCCCTTTGTCGTCTGTTTTAACAGAGAGCCAGCCCATCATGTCGACTGCTGGCCATGAGATGAACACTGACCCGGCACGGGCTGCGCAGAGCAACCTGGGCTGGATCCTCGGTGTCAATGTGGCGTTCCATGCCATTGTCATTGTGTTCGTTGCGCTGCGCGTGTACACAAGGGTGTTTGGGGTCAAGACATTTGGAAAAGATGACTTTCTAATCCTCATCGCCATTGTACGTGGTCTCAATTCTCTCCCCATGTCTCTGCTTGCTAATTACCAACAGGCTTGCGCCCTGGGAGGCGGCATGGTCACGTACATTATAGCCGCACAGTATGGCCTCGGTCGACACAGAGACACCATCCCGAAGGAGGACTACAAGATGTACCTAAAGATGACTTTTATCCAAGCGCTCGTCTCGACAATCGGCAGCCTCCTCTTTCTGAAGCTGTCGATTGGGTTCTCCTTGATCAGGTTGAGTCAACAGAAGGTGTACACCCGCGTCATCTGGGGGTTTATTGGTAAGGACGTCCATACTTGAGGTTGACTGTGGCTGACTGCGCTTTCTGGATAGTTTTCGTCGTCCTCTACAGTCTGGTCTCGTGGATCGAGTGGTTTCTCGTCTGCAAGCCGCTCGCAGGGTTCTGGGACAAGGACCTCAATCCTGTGTGCCTGCCCGTCAAGACACACAAGGCGTTTGCCTTGCTGAATACGTGTACGTCTGGGGGACTGGATTGGAGATGTATTGAGCTAATATTAGTAGCCTGCAACATCTTCACCGACATTGCGTTCGCTACGCTTCCGGTGCCGATCATCTGGGTTCTCCAGATGGCGAAGAAGACGAGACTCTATCTTATCGGCGTGCGCTTAGCCTCGGTTATTTGCAAGTCCACCATGGAGATAGACCTTAGAAGGGGGCTAACGTGAGCATAGGGCTGTCATGGTGGGCATCCTGAAGACGGTCTGCCAGAACGTGTTCCGCGGACAGTATGATCAATCATTGTGAGAGATCCCTTGGACACGGCCGAGATGAAACTGACACTTTGCGATAGCTACAATTGGATCCAGTTCTGGGGCTTGTGAGTATTCTCAGAAGATGCTGTCTTGACACATGAACTAACCCACGACAGCCTCCAGATCAACATTGGCATCATCGCTGCGTGCGCCCCGACCCTCCGACCAACAACACCGGCTCACGCTACCCAAGTCACAGCAGGTACGGCAACGGCTACGGGGGCTCGAAGAACACGGGTCCCCGGAGCCAGCGGAACAACAGGAGCAACGGCTGGGTCAAGGTGGACAGCGGCCCCGACGAGTACGAGATGGACGACGGACGCTTCGGGGTACACGGGGGCGGGTATGGCGATCAGATCCGGACAGACATTGGTGTCGCGCGCGTGGGCAGCCGATCCGGCAGCGAGGAGATGATCATCCAGGGTGTGAAGGGCGAGGAGCAGAAGGGGATTGTGCGCACGACGGTGGTGACCCTGACTTGATGTGCCCTGGGAGTTGTCGTCTGGCAATTGAGGCTAGGCGTTGAGGATATTGGTGGCAACGAATGGAAGGCAAGAGTTACGAGACCAAGACATGGCGGTCAGTGAATATCGAAGCATGTCAATCGGATATACACTCTACAGTCACTCACACGGGTGAGGTGAGGATTGTGAGCTGATTGTCCCAGGCTGACAATGTCCTGCAGAGACGAGCTGCAGAAAACAGGATTACATCACGGATTCTCGAACGACTATTGCATAGCGATGCAGATAGATCCCCGCACGGCTCGGATACTCGCGTCCTCGATGGCGCTTTGCTTGTTGGAGACTGGACTCGCGAAGCCGCCGCATCCGGAATCCGACATCACATCGTCGTCAAGAGTCCCTTGGACAACGTTCGCTAGCTGCATCGGCGCATCGGCGTCCCTCTGCCCAAGAATGCGGCGCGTGCAGCCCGAGCCAGCGGTCTGGGCTGTCTCTCATAAAATAAATAAGCTCTGATCCCACGGTCTGTCGGTCTGTCCTCGACTCCTTGTCCTCACCCACACCCAACTCGAACGCAACATGTCTGACGTCGAGTCCATCAAGGCCTTTGGCCCGGCCCGGTCCACCGTCCAGGGCGCCCCCCTGAGCGCGGAGGAGATCAAGGACTACAACGACTACTTCAAGGCGAGCTGCTACCTCGCGCTCGGCATGATCTACCTCAAGGAGAACCCCCTTCTCCGGGAGCCCCTCAAGAAGGAGCACCTCAAGGCCCGTCTGCTGGGCCACTTTGGCTCCGCGCCCGGCCAGATCTTTACGTACATGCACTTTAACCGGCTGATCAAAAAGTATGACCTGGACGCCTACTTTGTTTCGGGCCCAGGCCACGGCGCGCCCGGTCTCCTGTCGCAGTCGTACCTCGAGGGCGTGTACTCAGAGGTGTACACAAACAAGTCGCAGGACGGCGAGGGCCTGCAAAAGTTCTTCAAGTACTTCTCGTTTCCGGGGGGCACGGGCTCGCACGCGACGCCCGAGACACCTGGGTCCATCCACGAGGGCGGCGAGCTGGGCTACTCCATCTCGCACGCCTTTGGCAGCGTCTTTGACAACCCCAACCTCATCGCCCTGACCATGGTGGGCGACGGCGAGGCCGAGACGGGTCCGCTGGCGACCTCGTGGCACAGCAACAAGTTTCTGAATCCCATCACCGACGGCGCCGTCCTGCCCGTGCTGCACCTCAACGGCTACAAGATCAACAACCCGACCATCCTCGCCCGCATCCCCCACAAGGAGCTCGAGAACCTGTTCCTCGGCTACGGCTGGCAGCCGTACTTTGTCGAGGGCGACGAGGTCGAGAGCATGCACCAGGCCATGGCCGCCACGCTCGAGCATTGCGTCCGCGAGATCCAGTCCTTCCAGCGGAAGGCCCGCACATCCGGCCAGGCTGTCCGTCCCCGCTGGCCCATGATCGTCCTGCGCTCGCCCAAGGGCTGGACGGGGCCCCGCAAGGTCGACGACAACTACCTGGCGGGTTTCTGGCGGGCGCACCAGGTCCCCATTACGGATCCGCAGAAGAACCCGGAGCACCTCAAGCTGCTCGAGGCGTGGCTGCGCAGCTACGAGCCAGACAGGCTGTGGGACAGCGAGGGACGACCAGACGCGCGCTTCCGCCGCATGTGTCCCGATGGTAACAGCCGTATGACGGCGAACCCAGTAGCCAACGGTGGTCTTCTCAAGAAACCCCTCCGCATGCCCCAGTTCACCGACTACGCGCTCGCGGTGGAGCGGTCGGGAGGCGTCAAGGCGGCGAGTATGAGCAACATGGCGCAGTTCCTGCGGGACGTGATGGCGATGAACATGCACAACTTCCGGCTCTTTGGGCCCGACGAGACCGAGTCCAACAAGCTCGGGGCCGTGTACGAGGCCGGCAAGAAGGTCTGGATGGGCGAGTACTTTGAGGAGGACGCCAACGGGGGCAACCTCGCGCCCGCAGGCCGCGTGATGGAGATGCTGAGCGAGCACACGTGCGAGGGCTGGCTCGAGGGCTACGTGCTCAGCGGACGACACGGTCTGCTCAACAGCTACGAGCCCTTTATTCACGTCATTGACTCCATGGTGAACCAGCACTGCAAGTGGATCGAGAAGTGCCTCGAGGTCGGGTGGCGCGCGCAGGTGGCCTCGCTCAACATCCTCCTGACGGCCGTCGTCTGGCGCCAGGACCACAACGGCTTCACGCACCAGGACCCGGGCTTCCTCGACGTCGTCGCCAACAAGAGCCCCAAGGTCGTCCGCATCTACCTACCGCCCGACGGTAACTGTCTGCTGTCTGTCATGGACCACTGCCTGCGCAGCGCCAACTATGTCAACGTCGTCGTCGCCGACAAGCAGGAGCATCTACAGTATCTCGACATGGACGCCGCCGTCCAGCATTGCACCAAGGGTATCGGTATCTGGCCGCAGTTCAGCACCGACGCGGGTTACGACCCGGATCTTGTCATGGCCAGCTGCGGCGACGTCTCGACGCACGAGTCTCTTGCTGCCGTCGATCTCTTGCTGCAGCACTTTCCCGAACTCAAGATTCGCGTCGTCAACTGCGTCGACCTCTTCAAGCTCATCCATCCGATCGACCACCCGCACGGGCTGAGTGACCGCGAGTGGATCGCGCTCTTTACCGACGACACCCCCGTCGTCTTCAACTTTCACTCGTACCCCTGGATGGTCCACCGCCTGACCTACAAGCGGCCCGGTGCCCGCAACATTCATGTCCGCGGCTATAAAGAAAAAGGCAACATTGACACACCGCTCGAGCTCGCCATCCGCAACCAGACGGACCGCTTCAGTCTCGCGATCGATGCCATTGATCGCATTCCCCACCTCAAGAACAAGGGGTCCGCCGCGCGGCAGACGCTTCTCAATGACCAGATCGTCGCCAGGACAGAGGCCTTTGAGACGGGTATGGATCCGCCTCGTCTCACAGAGTGGGTATGGCCCGAGGGCGGGTTGTTGAGCAAGATTAGCCAGGCGGCGGAGGGCAAGATGCCAGTGCGGACAAAGTAACGGGCTTGTACTGCGGGACTACACAAATACATAATCAAGAATGAAGATTCGCGTCCCTCTTCATATGCCAGATGGCAATGTCCTCCCCCAAATGCGTCTCCTCCACCGTCTGGAACCCATGTCGCGCATATAACCCCTTGCCCGCGCGTGAGGCGTTGACATAACTCGCCAGACCCTCCTCATCGACGCGCGCCAATCCGTGGCGCATGAGCTGTCCTCCCACGCCCAGACTCTGCGCGTCGCGGTGGACGACAATGATACTCAGATGGAAGTACGGCGGTTGCATGTGGCGAAACGCGGCGTCCACGTTGGCCTGGAAGAAGCGTCTGGCGAGTTCTGGATCGCCGCTGGGGGGGAAGTCTTCTGCGCGGACGACGTGGCGGGTCGTGTCGTCGCGGCGCTTCCAGCTCATCCAGCCTAGTACTTCCTTAGTGGTGCCGTCGGAAGAAGAGTGCTCGAGGAGGGTGATGTGGGCGAGGTTGGAGGCGATGAGGGCGCGATGTGACTGGTGCGAGAGGGGGTCGGCGTCTGGGAAGCAGATGGTGTTGAAGGCGGAGGTGGAGAAGGCGGAGAGGAAGACGGCGAGGAGGGCGGGGATGTCTGCTTCTGTAGCAGGGCGGATGGACATGGTTTGAATGGCGAGGCGAGAGTGAAGGTGGACGTGATGCCAGCTTGAACATAGTTGGCGACAATGAGGAGATGGAGGTGAGTCATTCGCCGCGCCCACTTCCTGTATCATGTAAGCAGGGTAGACTTAATCATTACTCTATATTGCGATTTCCGCCCGGCCTGTAGCTTTCTATCTTGGTATTACAAAGTCCTCTGCCTCTTGAGCCTACACCTTCTTCATCTTTAGTCCCGCCAGCGTGTATCGCGCCCCCAGGATGAGCAAGGCCCCAACCAACAAAGCGCAGCCGCAGAACAGCTGCAGACCGAGATACTTCCCGCCCTGCGCAGACACAATGGCGCCGCCAATGGGGCTGCCAATCAGCCCGCCAAAGCTCTGCACGGCCAGCGCGGCGCCCACGCGCGTGCCAATGACCCTGATATCCGAGATCTGAGCGATCAGCGAGGGGCCCAGCGACACGAACCCGCCCGAGGTGAAGCCAAAGAGGACGACAAAGGCAATCAGACCGGCCGTCGTGTCGGCGGGAATCCAGACGGCGAAGCAGAGGATGGCGCTGAGGAGGCTGATGATCAGCGTCATGTTGAAGCGACCGTACATGTCGGCCACCAGACCGGGCAGGATACGTCCGAATATGCTGGCCGCGTTGAGCATCGACAACAAGTAAGGGATGATCCTCTCCGGGGTGCCCGCCGCCTCGGCCTGCAGCAGCACGTAGGTGAAGGGCAGGAAGAGTCCAAGGTACAGCGCGAAAAAGCCCGCGACAAGCAGGACCATGGTCGGCTGCCGAAAACCCTCGAGATACTCGGCGAGGACGAATGGCTTGGGACGCGGTGGCAGACGTGACTTGACCGTCACGCAGACGATGAGCTGCAGGACGAGAAAGACAAAGGCTACGGTCCGTATCATCCACGGGAAACCAATCTCGTCAATGAGCTGTCGCATCATGATGGGCAGGACGACACCACCGAGCGACGAGCCTGACACGACGATGCCAAAGGCCAGAGCGCGCCTCTTGAAGAACCACGTCGACGTACTCGACAGGCAAGCGTTGAAGACGGCGCTAGAGCCCATACTGCCGACGATGCTCTGCGCCAGGAAGAACTGGTAGTATTCACTCGACAGAGAGACCATCATGAGGCCAAAGACGTAGGTGAGCGTGCCACCCCAGAGGAGGTACCTAGGTCCATACGAGTCGTAGAGCCGGCCAAAGACGGCGCCGCAAAACGTCATGATGAAGACCTGCGTGGACATGATCCACGACACGGCCGACGAGGAGTAGTCGGACAGCGGACCCTGCACGTAGTACTGCTGGAAGACGCCGACGCAGTTGATCAGGCCGAAAGTGCAGAACATGGCGAACCAGCCGCCCAGCACGACGAGCCAGGCCGCGCGCCCGCCGTCGGGGAAGTCGGACGGCGCGGTGCCGGGGGCGGTGACGGGAGGTGAGGCATCTTTGGTGGTGTCCTGGGCGAGGGAGGCGCGCTCGAGGTCGGCGGCCATGACGGTGTTGGGCTCTACGGCATTGGCCGTGGGCTTGGCGCTGGGGATTGGGTCGGATTTCTCCATGGTTGTCGTCGAGGAGACGGAGCTTGTGGGTGGCATCGTGGACTTTCTTCCAATTGTCCTCGTGATTGGGAGAGGAGTCGATTGGCGAGAATGGTCTGTATGGGAGTTGTGTGTATTGTCATGCCGATGCAGCGCATACAGACTCTTATATCGATCCGTCAACACATCGAAAACCGAATAGAGCGAGCGCCGACTGACTCATCTCGGGAATAGTCAGCGTGATGACCTGAACAGCGGGTGGGATGGCCAAATGGCCGGTGGGAATACGGCCTGCGATTAATAAAGCGACAGCCGCATCGACGGGGCCCCGCTCAGCTCCAGCCAGTACGATCGCTTTGTTCGCCGCCTCCTGCAGGGTTCAATTGTCGCGGAGTTAACATGGAGTGGACAAATCTTCTTGTCTGGCTTGCAGCAAGCGACCCTCTTGACCACCTTCTCCTACTGTCTCCCTTTACTGGGAGCATGTCGAACGTTTCGAGGATCCGGACTACATGCGTTCCATCAACAACCCACGAGAAAAACGCCGAGATGCGCCTGCTGACGGTCATTCCAATTTGCGGTCTCTGTCCGGGACCAGGAACCGGCCCCTGATTGATGGCCCGCTTTTCTCGGACTTTAGCGTCGGGGTTCGGGGCTCCGGTCGTCGCCCGGCCTTTTGCTACCCGATTCCAAGTCCCGGCTACCCTACAGCTCTCGTTCAGGGAACAGTGTGTTGCATATCAACAACTAGGCTCATGGAAAAATCACCAAGTATATCAGCAGACTTTCCAAAGCTCTGATGACCTGTGTTGATTTCATATTCTGAGGGTGGGTCGTGCTCAAAGGAACTTCCTGAGAATTGTTCAATTCAGGTTTGCTCTTAGAACAACGTGGCGCTTGCACCCCTGAGAAGCCGGATATTCAACATCGAAATCATCAGTGCCCGGCGCAAAAGTTCCCTACTGCTCCACTAGACCACCAGGAACTTGAAATGAGACAGGAAGAACAAGATCGCATCGATGCTGGCTTGTCTAAGTCATGCCGTACTTAGGGGGCTTGCAGCAACCACACTCTTGACGAAAAACACCATCATTTTAATACCCTCGCAATATATCAATTTACAAGCACAAATTTGCCGATATTCCAGGGTCCATGAAAACCCAGGGCTTGCTTTCTTCAAAGTCAACAAGGCTCAAAATAATATCATACGCTTCGTCCTTGACTATATCTTCAACTATAGAGCCGAGTAATGGGAAAGAAAACCTGCGTAGATCACAAAAAGGACCGAAACTAACTATGTATATCTCGCTGCAAGTGCACAGTAAGAATGAAACATTCCAACAGGCCCTATCTAGGTCAATACCACTGACCAGCCATGCCAAGTGACGACTCGGTCGGTGGTCGTTGGTAACGTCCAGTCTTCATGTTGAGTCTTGACCCTAGACAAAGAGCCAAGCCTGCCCCAGATCATGCCATTCTTCTACCCCGAGACACGTTGCAACCCTCTCGTGTTTTGGTCACTCCAGCTTTGGCCTCATGGAAGCGTTGAGTGGACTCGCCAGAACAGATGACGCGAGTCATCGAACCATGGCCCGTGTGGTCGCTCTCTTGTCCAAGTGGATGGGGAAATATGCGGCTCCAATAGATATCCTCAGCCACTCTCTGGTAGTCGCTGGGGTTACGTAGGTATTACATGTTTTTGGAGCAGAATGTGTGTCGGGACATGGCGGCCCCCGAAGGGCCAAGTTAAGCTTGAATCGATCCGGCAGCCAACCCCTGCTCACACAATCCTCCCATTGGGGCGAGTATAGGTCGTCTCGACACCCATTCCACGCTCGATCGCTGCTCAACGTGCTTGAGAGTGCAGAGGTATCGCACTTGCTTCGTGTGGGATGGGCACTACGTACTACATAATCCTTCGCTCTGCCTGTTGAGCCACGCGGTCCGGCAGTGGACTGGACTCCCAGGGAGAAGCTTGCCTCCAAAAGACACCCGCTGATCAATGGACTTGGCTGGGGGATTGCCGGAAAGACACATCGTGTAAATAAAGTGCGTGAGTCATCTTGAGCCTGGGGACTGGAGCTCTGCCCATGGGGCTGGTTGGATTGGCCAGGCCTGGCAAGAGTCCCTAAGATTGGGTCCCTCTTGAGCTGGTGCTGGAGGCAACCTGCTCTTGACGACCATCTTGCCCCTCCACGGCCATGGCCATCAACGACAAGATCTCAGAGACACCCGCACACGCGCCGGTGGCACACGACAATGATCGTCGAGGCTGTCCCCTCCCACGTCGACGAGAAGGCCCAGCGCTCAACCATATCGAGCAGCTAGGACTCGCCGCGGGGAAGCGCTCAACAGGAAGATTGTCCGTCGACTGGAAATGACGATGCTGCCCCAGCTATGGATCCTCTACGAGTTACAACTACCTGAACCGCAACAACAATCCGCAGGCCCGACTGAGCACGTTCAACCAGGATCTCAACCTCAAGGATGGCGACTGTCAGGTACTAATCAGCCTTTGTCTATGGTCGTGTGAACAGCGCTGACCAAAGCAGACTGCTGTCGCCGACTTGACAGCCGGCTACATGCTGGCCCAACTATCGTCCAACATGTTGACCACCCGCGTCCGTCCTGCCCTCTATCTCCCGACGGCTGCGATGCTCTGGTCGGCCATTTCCGCCGCCACAGCTGCGTGCACGAGCGATGGAAGCCTGATGGCCGTCCACTTTGTTCTGGATATCATTGGAGCACCATTGTTTCTCGCTGTACGTTTCTCAGTACCTCTCCGACTAGTCAAGGACGTACATCACACGCAGGCCGTCTTTCTCATGTGGTGCTGGTACACGCCCCGCGAGCTCGCTTGCGCACGGCCGCCCTCTACTCTGGCCTCGTCCTGGCCCAAGCCTTCTCGAGAGCAGTGGAAGAGACTTGAACCCCTTTGCGATGTAAAAGATGGAGCGAGGAGGTGTCTGGAATTGGGAATTGTCTAGTGTCTATGTCTATACTTGCGTGAGGTCCGCGTCCATGTCTATGTCTAAGTCTATAAAAATGACCTTATGAAGCGTCAGCCCCCTCTTTACTCTTGCCCTTCCATACGAGCCACCCAAAGGCAATCACCAGCTTGATCCCAGCTGCAATCCACAGCACGCCACGCACGCCCACGACCGTCCTCTGCAACCATCCACTAGCAATGCCCCCAATCATGAACAGCACCACAGACAGCGCGCGCCTGTTGCGCTTCGTATTCGAGCTCTGCAGCACATTCGGATCGGACACGAGATCGCAGTACAGCGACGTCAGCACCACCGAGGGAATCTCACCCAAGCCCAGCGCGCGACTCAGCACAATCTGCCCGCTCGACTGGAACGCGAGCAGCGCCACCGTGAGGTAGACCGCCCACTGGTCGTCACGGGCCTGCTTTTCTTGCAAATCGACGTGCGCAAAGGGGTCCACGTTGGCGATCCCGAACGCGGGCGCCACGTTGGTCTGCGCGAGGCTGGCGCACACGACAAGCAGCAGCGTCTGCAAGAAGAAGGACGCGAACAAGGTCGAGCGACGGAGGGGCCCCAGCAGACGCGACATGCTGGCGAAAAAGGTGCAGCCCGTGAGGAACGAGGCGACAGAGACCAGAGCGCGAAGCCATCGTCTCGCGTCACCCGCTGGGAGGCTGGCAGCGCCTAGAGCGATGAAGACGGTGTTGCCTGGGGGTGTCAGTAGCTGAGGGTCAAGATGTTGGACATATGGAACGCACCCGTCTGCATCGAGACAAAGACGGCGGCGGCATTGAAGGATGCAGCGTCGACAAGCCCGGAGAGGAAACTGCACATGAGCATGGGCAGATCTGCGAGATTGGGGTTGATCTCGCGCGAGGCATGCTGCATGCCGCGCCCTGCAGGTCGCTGCTGAGACGGGCTGTCCTTGGCCATGTTGGAGTGAGCGCGCGTACGACCTTCAAAGAAGCGCGTGTCTACAGGAAAACTCCTGGGTTGGAATTGATATCCATGACTGGACACTGTCGAGCAGCGAATTCCGGAGCAACACCATTGCGACGACGAATTGCGCAATTTCGCTTGGCAAATTTCAAAGTGGACGCTCACGGCCGAGTCTCACGGATATGATCCGAGGATAGTCGCCTACCCTGTACTGGAGGGCGGTTGCATACATTTATGCACGTACTCCGTACTGGGTCCATCGGTTACATGAATATCGCCGGACTTGTGCCTCACGTAACTCCGATCTGACTGTGCTTCACTTCACCACTTCTCAGCACCTCTCGCGGTGGCATCCAGCACACTTCAGAATGCAGGGCACTCGACATGGCGACGCAGTTCCTTTTCGTCGACCAAGGAGCACAACATGACCGCATCGCGAAGCGGCAGATACGCCAGCATGTGATGAAAGGCAAGAATGCAGGACGAAAGATCAAGCGACCCTCACGCCTGGACATTGTGTCCCATGGGAAAGAGCAAAAACAGTGGTACCCCGGTGCGGCAGATGAGACCTTCAGCATAGCCTTCCAGCTGGTCGGCCTGCCCGTGGAAGTCTCGCCTCAGTCTCTGCGTGTGATCCATGAATGTGAGCCGGTCTCTTTCGCGCGTGCGTTTCAAAACGATTGTTACTAACGCGCGGCAGTCTTTCACTTCACCACCGAGCGCATGTATCCCATGCAGCTCGGCCTCTCCCTCGACGACAGCAAGCGCATGTGGCTCAAGCTGTTCTTTGCCGATACAGAAAGTCTGCGCCCCGGGGACCCAATCTTGCACTGATCAAGGCATGCTAACAAACGTAGCGTTCGAATGCAACTTGGCCATGATGCAGGCTGCCAATGAGACCTACCTCGGTCGCGGCGAAACCTCCCCCAGAGCCCTGACAAACCTGGCCAAGACATTTGCGCGCGTCCAGCAGCGCATCCTCAGCCCGGACGCGCTGGCCGACTCGACCGTGACCATTGTCATCTCCCTTGTCAACCAGGAGCATCTACGGGGCGATCTTTCGGGCGCTACGATTCACATTGCAGGCCTGAGGAGGATGGTCGAGCTGCGCGGGGGACTCGACCAGCTCGAGCATAATCCCCCGCTGCTCATGAAGATCTGCAAGATGGACCTGGTCTATGCGCTCCAGTATGGCGGACAGACGGCTTTTTTCCGAGACAACCTGGCCGAGGTCCGGCAGACGCTGCGTCGTCAGGGCTGTGCGATGGACCGCGAGGAAGCTGCGGCCATGGTGCGGCATCCAGAGTCGGACCTGGGCGGTGCACTGCGTGAGGTGCTTGTTGATGCGCTGAGCCTGGGCCACCTGTTCAATCAGGACCGGGGCGCAGGCTCGGTTGGGCTTTTTGCGTTCCAGGAGATTTTCCTATCCATTGGCTTCCGGCTCTTGCGGACATGCCCCATGGACGGTCCTCCTCTGGTGTCGCCACTCCGTGCGACGTGTCACACGGGTCTGCTGCTCTTTGCGATGAGTATTTTCCTGAGGCACGACAGTAAGAGCGTGCTCGACTGCACCTTGGCCACACAGCGTCTGAAAGACACGCTCGCTCGGACCATCTGTGACGAGGCGAGTGAATGGCGACTATGGCTGATGATGATGGGGGCTATCTGGACGTTGGGCGACGATCAAGTCGCCGCGTGGCTGCGACCCATGCTCTCCGAGACAGCGTCCTACTTGCGCCTCACCACGTGGACCGAGGCGCGCGCCAGACTCCAGCGATTCCCATGGATTAACAAGCTGCACGATCAACCCGGACGCGAAGTATGGGATCAATTGCGAGGGAATGTGTAATGAGGACATATCTACGTGCTATCTATCTACTGCATCACCAAGAAAACGTCTGTCCCACCAATTTCTCCGACAGAGACCACAGAATATCAGCATTCTGGCTCGACACCGCTGCCGGGCGGGCTCTATCGCTGATTTGACAGTCCTCGAGGTACACGCCATAGTTCTCCTGGCCAGGCTTGCTCTCGACTTTTAGTTTCGGATCCAACGCGGCCACCAGACTGGTGGACGCGCCCATGGAAAGCGGCCTCTTCTTCGTCTTGCCCGACGCGAACGCGGCCTCCATCGCCCTCTTCTCGGATTCTGGAAAGGCGCGCGCCAGGTCGGTGCCGATGATGCCCGGATGCAGGGCAATTGACAGGATGCCGTACTTCTCGTACAGCCTGTCGGTGGCGCCGACGCTGAAGAGCACGTTGGCGACTTTGCTGCGGCTGTAGCCATCCAGCGGCAGGTAGGCCTTGTCCATGATGTTCTCGTACCCCCAGAAGCGGAACATGGCCTCGTCTGGCTTCTCCTCCTCGGGGAGATCGCCATTCTTGACCTCAAAGTTGATATCGCTGAAGCGAGGACCGGATCCCGTCGGCGACCGTGAGCTGACGTTAACAATGCGCACGTCGCCCCTTGGGCTGGACTCGGCTGCCTTGATCAGCTTGGGCATGATGAGATTGGTCAGGAGCCAGTGGCCAATGTGGTTGGTGGCAAAGTGCAACTCGATGCCCTCCTCGGAGAGGGTACGCTCGGGGACGCACATGATGCCGGCGCTGTTGACGACAATGTGGACGGCGGGGACGTCGTCCCAGGCGAGGAGCGTCTTGGCGGCCGCACGGACGGACTGTTGGCGGCTGAGGTCGACCTGGAGAGAGCGGTAGTCGACGGCGGGGAACTCTGCCTTGAGGGCGTCGATGACGGCCTGTACCTTGCTCGGGTTGCGACCGCACAGGATCAGCTGGGCGGGCGAGCCCGAGGCAAAGGCCTGTGCTGTCGAGAAGCCAATGCCCTCCAGGTTGGCGCCCGTGATGAGGATGGTCTTGCCGTGGATGCGGTCGGCAAAGTCCCGGGCCACGGTCAGGCCCTCGGTATCTATGTTGTACTCAGGGTGTGTGGTGGCGGCCATTGTACTTCTCTGATTGTGAAGAATAGTTGAGTGAACTGGTTGGTGATGATAGTCAGACGCGAGGAAATTGTCCTTCTTATACATTTCGAGGGCACCGTGTCTTTGGTCGTGCTCACCGTTCGTCTCCTCGTGGCAGAACGTAACCAATGAGAGACTTGTTACCACATTCGGAAACATCACTCTGGCATCTCGACGTGTGTCGGCATACGTCAAGTATTACTTGTAGTATGATGCTGTGGAAGCTCGGACATAGGGAGTTAACAAGGCCGTACGGAGCTAGAAGATCAAGCTGACCAATGGCAGACTCATTTCCTAATATGGTAAGAGATCGCTCGGGAAAAATGGAGTCAAATAAATGGACTGGCTAAGCCATATTAGGCAAAGTCGGTATTCTGTAAGTCCTCGCTGGATGTGCGCCGATGCAAAGTCCCACGCCGCATCTCCATGCCAGAGACAGCCTGTAGCGGTCCCTTTTCAGCCGCTGTTGTGGGCGCTTGCAGCTCATGCGTCTCCGTGGCCTCCCATCGTCTCGTGATGGTCTCGTGCTTCAAAATCCGCCCCAGCTCAGGCTGGCTCCGGTGTGCCCAGTCGAATACGGGGAGCGCCGCATATACAAATTTCTTCCGGCCCGAGTAGCTCCTGTACTCTGTGATAGCACAGAAACCTAGGAACCACAGGGCAGAGAATGCGATGATGCTCAGGGAAATTGTCGGCACGACGTACCAAGCTGCTGGCTTCGCTGCTGCTGCGGCGGGCGAGCGAGGTTTAATCCAAGGCATGATGATTAGGGAAAGATTCCCCACGAGGTAGAGAAATGAGCATACAATGCTCAGTTTCGGGTTGACTGTATCGCTGGTCATTTCAGCCCAGGTCTTTGTGGCCGATGGCTGGCCAGGACCCTCTGGGCTGTCCAGGTTTGTTTGTGGTGGACCCCTGAAGCGCAAGATGAGAATACCAAGGGCAAGAAAGACTCCACAGAACGCGGCAAGAACGTAGCACAAAAGCCTGCTCAGCAAAACATACGCATTGCTCGGTGTCATGCCAAAGGTTGTCAAGATCAGGATGACGCAGGTCGCGAGGTGCAGACACAGAGCCCCCACGGGTGTTTTCTCTTGGTGATTAGCTGGTTCGAGGAATCCAAACCTTCGATTCTTCCTCTGTTTATCGTGTTTGCTGCCTTCGAGCCAGAGCAGCAGTCGACCGAGGCTGAGGTCCTTGTTTTTGGCAAAGAAGCTGGCGAAAGGGATGAAGCACTTCTTGGCAATCTCCTGCTTCATGCGTGCGGCGGTAAACGTCCAGACGACAATGTTGCCAAAGGACGAGATGGCGAGGAGGATACTGATGGTTCTCTTGGCAGCGACGCTGTCGTCGAAGATTCTCGCAAAGAAGGCTTGGGCTACGTTGTTGTTCAACTGCGCCCGTGGCGGTACCACAATCATCTGCGATGGTCAGTATGTTGGGGGAGGCCATGATTGGTGAAAATACGCACATAGCAGACATTGACAGCCAAGTAGAGAGTTGACACGATGCCCAAACCCCACCATATGGATTTGGGAAGATTCTTCCGAGGATTCTTAATCTCGCCAAGGACATATGTGGGCTGATAGAAGCCAAAGTAGGCGAAGACTGTTCGTGTCAGCTCTGAAACCAGCACAACGCCAACGGAGGCACACGCTCACGTACCAACCGTGTAGAATGCTTGGGTATAGCCGCTTTGATCCGTGCTGACCTGCGCATCGACGTCGACGTAGGTGTCGAAATCCTTCCGAAACGCCCATATTCCTGCAGAACCACCAGCCTTGATCCACGTGGAAAGAATAATCGCGAGCAGAAAGCAAACTTTGACAAAGGCGAGAAAGTTGTTCAGCAGGATCCCCCCTCGTCGGGAAAAGGCGTGTATGAAGCAGGTCAAGGTGGCAATGACGATGGCGATGCCGTAAATGGCCCCTTTGTTCAATTCCAGCTCCGTCTTTGTCGGGTTGCCGGCCTGCATGATACGCAGGGCGCAGTCCAGGCAGTTGCTCGCCATGTTGCCCACGCAGATGAAGCTGATGCCAAAGAGGACGCCGCTCAGCAGGACGGTGCCTTGGCCGTAGCTCGGGCTCGGGAAGACGAATGACAAGTAGTGCAGCTCGCCTCCGGAACGCGGGACGGCCTGCTCCACGCCGTCAATCACGTAGCGTGGGACGTTGAGGCCGTATTCGATGAAGACGTGAGCGCCGGAGATGCTGTAGATGGACCCGAGAACCCACATGAGCATGGCCAGACCGGGACTCTTGACGCCCTTCATCACCTCTTGTGGTCCGCTGAAGATGCCGGTGCCTGTCCGCGAGGTCAGCTTGAGTGCAGTGGTTGAGAGACTGGACGTGTGGACCAACCAATCGTTCGGTTCACAACGAGACAGAGAGCATCTATGAAATTGAGACGGAAGGGCTCCTTTGGGGCCCTCGTGACAAAGTCGTTTTTGTTAATCGGCGCGCCTGTGACGCGTCGAATAAGGTCATTGTCGTTGTCGTCGTCTTGTGGCGCCAGGAACATGTGCGGCTGCTGCGTGTGGGCAACATCTTCTCTAGGAAGCCACACAAGCGGATCAGCCATGCTATGTCTGTCTCACTTGTAGCGAGAATAAGGGGAATAATCGTGGAGAAGATGCTCGATTGTCCGGCGGTACGGTGTGCAAGGAGCCGAAGTGATCGTCAGCGTGTCTCACAACCCAAGACAAACGTGGACATGTGCGCGCATGGAGTATTATATTGGACAGAGTACAGACGGGAGCTAAGCCGATAAGCATTATAAGTTCATAACGTGCTTGGGGATGACTGGAGACGGACAGCCTTAAGGCTTGGCGAAGGCAGCTGCATACCTGGTACGTACTAGCAGTTTAGCTGCGTGTGATAGCAAAGGTGGCTGCGCACGCGACTATTCACTCAGCTCACGACTCCATTGCCAGGATGTGGATGCAGCAAGCTGCAAGACTCCTAGAGCTGAAAACAACATGGCCAATGGGCTTGGCTCTTGGCCCTTGGGCTGCATTCTGCCTTGCAGACGCCTGCACGCCACATCGTGGTCCGCTGATCCCATCCCGCCGGAAGCTCGAATGGAGCGGGAGCAAGCAAGCGAGCAAAGGGCGTGAACATGTTGCTGGCCGGAAGAGAGAGGTTGGCACGCGATGCGACAGACCGGATAGGACTCATAGGAGGCCCCCACGATTCGAGTCGCCATGCGCCTGGCACTGGCAGTCTGACACTGCCCATTGTGAGTTCGTCTGGACTGGCGATGCCTGGCAATCAACGAGAGTGAGGCGCAGTCCAGTAGACCGGCTTGTCAACTTGTCTGGTCACGCCTTCCCTCCATCTGTACTTTCTTATCTTCACCCGTCACTGTTGGTCTCACCTCGATGACAGGCATCTCCCGTTCCTGCAGTCAAAAGATAGAATAAATTTCCAGGAGCTTCCAAGTCGCGTCTGCTTGCGTGTCTACGTGTCTGCACTGCCCGCGTGACGTTGTGGTGGACGAACTCGACTTGCTGCATGAGTAGCTCACGCCCATCTCACCCGCGACTTGATCTTCCAGACTTTCATCCTCCTGGGCTCCGACAGTCTCCCACGGGCCAGATGCGACTGCGCCTAATCCCGCTCGATTGACGTCCATCATGGCCGGACCCATCCAGATTGGCGAGGTGGTGAAGCTGGCCGAGTTCGCATGGACCGTCTACGACTACGGCTGGAGTCCTGAGCACAATGCCGGCGAGAATTACAGCGCGTTCGGGGCCGATGTCTATACCCTCCACGCGAGCCTCCGACAACTCGATGAAGCGATTACGAGAGCACTGCAGTCGCCAGTGGCACACGGCGCGACCAGGAACGGTACGACGATCGGCGACAGAAGATCTCTCAACGAAATCATTGGCGACTACAGCGACACTTTGCGCGCTTGCATGGAATTCCTAGTCGAAAACTCTCGCTATGCCCAGACGACGGGACCGTTGACCAACATTCACTGGAACCTCAACGCCGTGCCGCGTGTTAACCACCTGCGCAGTCGCATCCAAATGCACAACATGCGGATTGAGCATGTCCTAAGGCCTCTTCAAATGTACAATCACCTTGTAGCGAGACGCGCGCCGAGCTTTGGCTGATTTGTCGGCAGTGATCTCATCACCAACCTGCACAGCCACCTAGATCAGAGGTTGACAAGCATAGACTCGAATATCCTATCGATCGACAGGCATCTTCAAAGCCTGATCGAGCAGAAATTTCCCGAAGTGGCCTCCGACTTGCGACGACGCGCTGAGGAAGAAACAAACCCGATTGTTATACCAAGCCGGCTCGCGCGTACGCTTGACAACATGTTTCAACATCACCAGATGGGGAGACCGCCGACTCTCTCCGAAATGGTGGACTGCTTTCTCAAGCATTTCAAGAAAACGCTTGCCCATCTTTCGCCAACGCCTTCGGTCCGGCTTGTCAAGTGCCAGTACTTGATCAATCTCATGAAGGAGTCGGACGAAATGAAAAATGCGTCGCGACTGTCGCACTGGCCTGGCTATATCAGGGCGCTCGAGGCGGTAAGATGGATCCAGTGCGACCGTTTTCGATCATCTGAGCTGACAGTGGCAGGATCTATCGCACGAATGTCTTCAGTTCAAGGACGAGCTGCAGTCTCCCAGTGTGTTCGACCTCGATGATGACGCCTTTATCATATGGCCGACGGACAGTGTTCTCGGACCTACTCCGCCTCCAGCAGCAACGACAGACTACGAGCTTCTGATCAAATTGTGAGTTCTCATGTGCAGCAATGTCGCCGTGGAAATCAAGCCCTAATGTTCTTCCCAGGTCAGTCGTGGCCGATGCAAAGGTGGGAGGTTGCAGTACGCTCTCCCTGCACAGGCACTTGAAACTCGGGCATAGATTCCGCATTATGGAGGAATGTAGCCCTTTTGAATACACGAGCAGCACACACAGCCCTCGGCTCGTCGATCTTGACATTCGCACCGCTATTCTCATTCCCATATATGCCGACCCTGTCCCCGACGGTGCCCATCGCCCACCACTAGCCCTCGTGCTCGAGAACGGCTACGGGTCTTACCGGTATACATTTTTCAACTTGGAGAGCCTTCTCCTGTTCCAACAGTATCTCACAGGATACGAGGTCGCCAGCGCCTGTATGGAGTAAGTCACGCCACACGTTCTAGGGGGATGCCAGCTAATCAGGCACAGGTCACGGGCTCGAGCCGCGTTCGTAAGGGGAGGGAACAGGAAAACCATTGAAAATGTCACAGTGCAGATCTGGATACCATTCAACAGCCAACGGCAGTCACAACTAGAGCCAGAGCCGCAGGGCTTCCGACGTAGGACTAGCTCTACCTCCACAGGGTGGGCGCCATCTATAACTTCCGTCAGCAGTGGAGGTAGCTCTGGCTCGGACGATACCGTGGCGGTCCGGCTGGACAACAAAGCCGCCAACACAGGCCTAGGCTACGGCATCATGCGCCGGCTTCCCAGTCCGCCGCTCCTCGTCCTGTTCACTCGGTCCGATGACGCCAAGAGCCGATCCATTGTGACCATTATACTCAACGACGATACCGACGTGAATCCAGACAGATGTCAGTGCCGAGAGAACCCCGACTGTCGGATCAGCAGCCTGGAGAAAAGCAGGGGCTTGTTGAAACTTGGTGCACTCGACGCACACAAGCTGGGAAGCGCGTCCGCATGGAACGTGCTGTCACTGCCCCGCGCAATGCCCAGGTGGGATGACCTGCTTCGTGTCAGCATCATCTTCCCCGACTTGGGGGCCCGGCACAGAATGATGGGCTGTCTGTGCGACTGCAGCCTCCGCACCGAGGTGGACGTCAACGCGTGTATCGGGCGGAAACACCAGGGGCTGCTGGGGATCGTCAAGGTCCTGTACAGGAGATCCATGGTGGAATACCATCGCCACGGAGATGGGCTAGAGCATCTGCGCAGATGATACTGTCAGGCTTTGTCGTCGCTTCTCGCGCCGGTTGGTTTTTGCCACGATGAGCCGGCGGATGCTATGAGAACGTGAATGGGTTCCGGCTCCGCTCCGTAGTGCTCGGCGGCTCCAACGTCAACACCTTCGTCAGCTCGGCTTTCTTCCTGCTTCGAGCTGGGCCAGCTTTCTGAGACGAGCCTCCCAGAAAAGATGAAGCTTTCCCTTGGCATCACGGGTTTTGGCCTCGCAGAAATGCGTCCAGCGTTGCTGGCTTTTACGACTTGGGTCGCCGTCACCCCCTGGACGTATTATCTGTGCTTTGTGTCCCAGTCGCATATAAGGTGGTACCGATAAGGGGCTAATTCCGCAAGGATGAGCTTTTCTGCCATTTGCTGCCGCTTCGTCGCACCCACGACTGTTAGTCAATTTTGAAAAATACACCTTCAGAAGCGTCCGTATGAGACATGGAGAAGACGTAATTGAAGTCTTCTTCCGCTCGTCCAAGGATTCCACGTCAAAGTTACGGAGCTCTTGTGCCAGTTTCTGATCAAATTTAGCGTGGGTAATCAAACTGCCCATGATTCGTTTCATTCGACGCGAGGGTCTTGTAGCGACATTCGGTTCGGAATGAGATGCGCGCAGGATGGCGGGTTGGGAAGGCTCCGTCGTACGTGGTGGCTCTGTTGTACCGTATTCCCGTCGACTTGGATCATCGTCTGGCTCTTGAGGCAATGATCGTGTGCTGCCAGCTGGTGAGTGGGCAAAAGAGGCCGTCGACACGGCTCGAGTCTTACTCTTGGACTACTGGCAGCGTTGAGCTGTCTGGGTTGTTGACTGGGGACGCAGGGCTTGCTCGCACAATCCGCTGTCGCCTTGTGGGGAGGATAAGGGTGGTTGAAGAAGCTTTCGGAATTTTTTTTGGACAGAATTTGTCTCATCTATAGTTGGAAGAGGACATGACTTGGGTATATTGGTGGGAGTAGGTGTCGATCTCATCACAAGTGCAACGTGTACCTCTTGAGCATGGATTAGAACGCAAGGCTGACTGGGTACTTGTACACTCATTCGCAAAGTCACGTCTCCGAGGTGACGTCCGAAACCCAAAAGAGACTTGATAAAGCTGACTGAAGTATGCCTTGGGCGGACTTTGGGAGGGGTCCATATGCGTCGCACTGGACACAGCCCAGAATCAAGGTCTCAAGTACGATGTAACCATGGAGTGCTCCTTGAACCGCGTATCTCTATGGTTGGTAGTCGAGCCGTCGCTCCAAGCCATCGAAGTTTGAACTACCGGGCACAGGTCGACGACGATCAGACAAGGATTCACGATGAAGTATAGCTTAAAGAAGACGGATCAATTAATTACCATGCAATGACTTACTATGCAACCTTGCCTTGAAATTCACGATATGTAGCGTAATCAAGAAACCTTTTTTTCAGTCTGGTCAAACTCTCACCTTATAAACAGGACAGGACCAATGTTTCAAAGACGGTAACAACCACCGGGATTCCCGTTCTGCAATATGACTTTTTACTCCACTGCCGACGGGCAGGACTCACTCAAGGGGAGCTGCTTGTTGACCGAGGCGTGGAAGATAACATAGTAGGTTGAACAGGTGCCATCAATCGCAAAGTTCTTGACGTACGAAGTGTCCGAGTCACCACTCAGATTGTCGTCCTTGAATGTATACTGTCCGGGGGCACATTTTGTGGGCGATGCGCACGAAGCATAGACATGTACCGAGGACAGATCGAAATGTTCGTACAACTCATACGCAAAGCTGAACTGGGAACCAATGAGTTGAGCTGACCAGGTTCCCACAGGGATTCCTTTGTCGACGTCGTTGCCACCGGCACCGACAATCAGTGTTCCAGTGATGCCCGAGCTCAATGTAGCTTTGGTGGGCGTGAAGTACCAACCCCAACGATTGGCGCTACACACAGCTGGCCCGACAGGATTTCCGTTGAGGTTTTTGAAGTCATCACCATAGCCGAATGCGGTGCCAATGTCGCAGGTGTGTGTAGGAGGTGGCGTGGACGGGCAGCAACACTGATCGACGCAAATCTCTGGGCACTCGAGGTTTAGCTGGACGTACATGAACCAGTTACCGGAGCCGATGGTTGTCCCCTTGTTGAAGCAGGTTGCAGAGCCAGAGCCTGCTGTAGAAATAGAAACGCCAACTGCGACATAGATTGTGCGATCGCAGAGGGACGAGGGATTGGGGTACGGGAACGTAGCAATGATGCTATCGGTTGGGACCCAACACTCAGTAGGGTTGGTTGTGCAGTATTTGTTGAAGGCCCATGTCCCCAGCTTCGTGTTGAGCGTAATCGGGGCATCGTCTACTTGCAAGTGGATGTCCGTCACCTGCACACCAGCCGCAGGGCTGATGGCAACATGAAGGCATTTCTTCCCGGCGTATGCTCCGTTTGCGGGGCAGTCCTCAATCGTGTAAGTGACACCGTTGGTGACATCCTGCTGATCGTCGCCGAATTTCTTGCCGCATTGAAGATCGGCTTGGCTCGTGTCTTCTGACACTTGCAGTGGTCCAGGTCCATAGTGAGTGCAGCAGCTGGGTGTGCCATCAGGGCATGAGTCGCCCGTTCGAGGGAACAGAGACTCTGGGTAGGTGTAAGATCGCGCCTGGTATCTCTTGACAGCAGTGTTGGGACAGTTGCAGGTCGTAGCATCCACACCCGAACAGGTCCCGGTAGTAGCTACCACTTGACCGGGGAGGCTAGCCAGGAGCAGTCCTGATAGGACAGACAACGTGTTAAACTTCATCTTCTCCGGGAGAGATAGGGATAGATAAATTGAGTCAATGGAGAAGATTGCAAGTGCTGCAGCCAATGAAAGAGGTTGATAGGTGGGACGCGGATATGGGCATCAAGCGTGTTGGCTGAGAGAGACGGGAAAGTAGATACTTGGATGCAAGCATTGGCTATTTATCTTGTTTGTGTGATAGTTATGCCTCGACCAAGGTAGTGGAGTGTCATGTAAGCGTTCAGCAGCTAACTCGCGGCAGCCATCTGTTCTGGCCATCTTAACTTACGCATCCGTAGTGCGAACAAACTCGGTATATATTAGGTAAACCTTCACTCAGCTCATCTGCCACGCGAGTGTAGTCACCCCACGAAGAGAGTCACCCTTGAATGTAACATGAAAGCTGGGGAAAAGCGTTCGGCAACACTGCTTTAGGAGAATCAATAGTGTCCTTTATAGCGGCCGGGCGGAGAGTCGAGACTGCCGTTTTGCGCTTGTGACCTCGGGAGGGAACCTGACTCGCAACACTTCGGTGTACGCCACATTGAAATCTAGCGTAGTTGATAATTGATCCTTCAATAATGCCAACTTTATGTTTCAGCCGGTCTGTCAATTAAAGGGCCCGTGGCTCAAGTGGAAGACGCCTGGGCTGATGCAGACACCTCGCAGGACGGTCTGGGGCCTCTGGGCTGCAGATGTGACGGCCGTGGTTGGGTCACTTGGGCGAATTGAGGCTTATCTACTTGCAAGGACTAATAAAACCCTCCTGATGTCGAAGATGATTCAAGTGACGGCGCCCCCAAGTTTCTGGGACTGCGGACATTGGACGAGTATCCCCGAGGGCTCGAGACTCGAGTCCTCGACACTCATTGTGCAGATGCGCAGGACTTGGAAATGGTCATTGTGTGATGGGTTGTCAGCCTGCCAGGCATTTGCAAACAGCGCAGCATTCATGTTCAAAATCTGCCTCTGCAGAGCCATGTTGATCATGTAGTCGCTCTCGCGTATATATACCCCGGACTCCTCGCGTTCCACGGCATGACACAGAATGCGATCCCGTCTGGGCGATGCCCAAAATCGCGTTGGTGTAACTTGTCTGACCACGTCCGGTCGACTACAGTCGCGTGGCGGGCGGAAATCCGTGTAATCCGATTCGACCTCATCTTGGATGGCTGGCAGAGCCAAAGCATTATATCAAGTTATCAACGGCAACCTGACGAACGAGAGCAGGACAGACGGACAGACAGTCGCCTTCGCAAGGAACAGACAACAACGCCAGGAATTCTGGCCCCCATGGGCCAAGCCTCCTGCAGGCGGCTGCAACGTCCACGCGCCTTTGAGGCTTGAAGGTCCTGAGACCTAGAACCTGGATCATGCAGCATGCTGGATGGACACAAGGCTCCCGGGCCCCATCAGCCTATTCGCTTGAAAGCCAACAGTGTCGAGCATAGTGATGCGATTGAGGCCAAAGTGCACTCGCGTGTCTCAAGGTGCAGACAAGACGACTACGTTGTCACATGCAATTGGTCGCAGACTCGTTCGAGAAGGCTTTGCCTGTTTGATCTCATGACATGGAGGTCACCGCGATTTCCGTGCGAGTGCCTTGCCGCAATGTGCATGAGGATTGGGCGGCAACAGGGTTGAGACTTGAGAGCGCGCGCGCCAACCACCTGGACGGTGATTGATCAGCCTTATGCATGAAGACATGCAGAAGGGGCTGTACAGTCTCGTACCTTACCAGGTACTAATGAAGAAAAGTGCACTTTTGTCAAGGAAAGAGCGAGTCCTTGCCACGGCCACCGCCCTTTGAACTGCATATACGTTCAGGCTTGATGGTCTCGTTGTTTGCCATCATCTTGCACTTCCAAGTTCCAGAGCATTCATGTTCAACACTTCAGACTATCATCCTCATCTCAACTCACAGGCCGGCAATCCCTCGCCAGTCGTAGCTCGCTAACTTCACCCGGAACAACTATGAGTGCTGTCGAAAAACTGCAGAGCACGACGTTCGACAGTCGGTCGGTCAAGAATAACCGGTCAGCCTGTCGACTCCATTCCGATGACGATGCCGCAGTCCGTTCTCCCTCTGCGAAGCGGCAAAAGACATTGTACGAGCAACACGACGGGACAAGTGCGCTGGATCATGAGCACTACACCATCGCCTGGATATGTGCACTGCACATCGAGATGGCTGCGGCCATCGCAGTGCTGGACAAAAACCACCGGGAGCTACTCAAGCCTGCGAATGATAAAAACTCCTACGTTCTGGGCAGCATTCAGGACCACAACATTGTGATTGCGGGTTTGCCCTCCAATGAATATGGTCTAGTCAACGCTGCCCACGTCCTGGCTGACCTGGTCCGGACCTTTCCCTCTATCCGGCAAGGTCTCATGGTCGGCGTTGGCGGTGGCGTCCCCAGCAAAGAGGATGTCCGCCTGGGCGATGTTGTAGTAGGGACTAGGGTCATGAACATTGACTTGGGGAAGGCCCGAACCGGAGGCAAAATACAAAGAACGGCTGTCCCCAAGATGCCCGACTCATCTCTGTGCAAGGCCATTACGAAACTTCGAGCCTCGCATGAATCAGAACCCATCAACGTTGCTGCCGTCGCCCTAGAAAGGATGAAGAATCTCCCTGACTACCAACACCCTGGCACCCCTGATCAACTTTTCCCATCAGATTATGTTCACGTGTCTCCGGGACCCGAGTGCGACGAATGTGACCAGTCCATGCTCAAGGTGAGAGACACCCGATCCTCCCAGGCACCCAGGATTCATTACGGCGGCATTGCGTCAAGCAACCAGCTCACGACAGATGCGAAACTTCGTGACGAACTCGCGGAGGAGTTTGACATTCTCTGCTTCGAGATGGAAGCAGCAGGCTTGATGGATGTCCTCGCTTGTCTTCCTATCCGAGGCATCTGCGACTACTCTGACTCTCACAAGTCCAAAGAGTGGCAGAGGTACGCGGCTGCAAATGCGGCAGCCTACGCAAGGTACCTCTTGGAGAATTTAACAGCAATTGAGGTGAAGCCGGGGGCGCCTAACTCGGCTCATCGTCCTGTCACGGATGAGCACACGGACCACCGGCGCCAATTACTGAAATCCCTGAGGTTCCAGCAGATGAATTCACGCAAGTTCGACATTCGCGAGAACGAGGAACAGACCTGCCACTGGCTCCTGGATTCCTCCGTGTACCAGGACTGGCTTGACCATGGCAAACGGGCGAGCCATCATGGACTCTTGTGGATCCGAGGCAAGCCAGGCGCCGGGAAGTCTACTCTCATGAAGTTTCTCTACTCGACGTCAAGAAAGCGTGACCATTCTGGCGAAAGCCTGACTATTTCCTTCTTCTTCCACGCCCGGGGCGACACGCTGGAAAAAACGGTCTCCGGCATGTACCGCTCTCTGCTTCTGCAGATCCTCCAGGGCTTTCCCCATCTTCAGCACATCCTGGACAATACAGAACTAGTCCCTCGAGGCGAAGAATCTTGTCCGCCAGTGAAGGCTCTCAAAGAGCTCATCCGAGACGCTGTGGTCTCGCTCAGGGAGGAAACCCTGACTTGCTTCGTCGATGCTCTCGACGAGTGTGATGAGCAGCAGATGACGGACATGCTGGAATTTCTCGAAGATCTCACCCAAAGCTGTGTTACACGCAAGATACTCCTCTTAGTATGCTTCTCTAGCCGTCTCTACCCGTATATCGATATTCGCAATGGAATTCCGGTGAGATTAGAGAAGCAACCGGGTCACACCGCCGACTTGAACAAGTACATTGATAACCGCCTTCGGATTCAGGATCCCGCACTCAAGAACGAGTTGAAGTTGATTAGAAGTTGATTATGCTCGAAAAGGCTGCGGGCATTTTTCTCTGGGTCTTTTTGGTGGTGAGAATACTGAATAAGGAGAATGGGGGCGGACGATTGCGATCTCGCAAGAAGCTGGAGGAGGTGCCGACTGATTTGAGCGAGCTGTTCAGGAACCTTTTGACGAGGGACCAAGAGAATATGGAAGAACTGCGTCTATCTATCATGTGGCTTCTTTATACACAGAGACCATTGCGGCCCGAGGAATTCTACCACGCCATGTGGGCTGGACTGCTGTTGGAAAATAGGGGGGACCCAGAGATGCCGAACGTGAACGCCCCGGGCGCCGCGAAACGTATCAATGGATGCGTTACCAGCTACACCAAGGGGCTCGCAGAGATCACCAAGGACGAAAAGAACCCCACCGTGCAGTTTATCCACGAGTCGGTGCGAGATTTTCTGGTCCGGAACGATGGTCTTCGCTCCATATGGCCCGAGCTCGGGGCAGACTTGGAAGCTCGAAGCCATGACAGACTTAAATCGTGCTGTCTAGCATATCTTGTCCATCAGGAGGTTAGTTCTAGCTTTGAGCGGCCTACCAGGAAGTCTCTGGAGGGGGAAGATCTCGATGAGTATGCACTCGACACGTCGTGGATGTTTCCCTTCCTCATGTACGTTGTATACAATGTTTTATACCACGCCAACGCCGCGGCCGACCTGGTACCCCAGGGACCGTTTATGGATAAGTTTCCTCTCCAGTTTTATGTCTCCTACTTGACATGTCCCGCCGATACAGATCTCCTATACATCCTTGCAGCATCGGGGTATGCTGCGCTCGTCCGTGCCAGACTCAAAGATCACCCGAGCATCGCTGTCCCGGGGTGGGAGGGGGAGTTCCCGATTACGGCTGCCGCAGCCAGTGGCGACAAAGAAATTATGTCGATGCTAATAGAATCTGGAAGAGATACCTTATGGGTCAATGGACACTGGCAGAGACACCATCCCGAAACGGCCGATCCTATGTACGTGGCATGCGAGAACGGCGATTTGACAACACTCCAGTGGCTCCATGCGAAGGGAATTGTCGTCCATGAAAGATATCTGCAGCCTGCAGTTGAAAAAGGCTATGACGAGATGGCTCGCTGGTTGATTGCCACGGGTGCGGTTACCGACTATGAAGACAATTACAGCAAAAGCACGCTGCTATCCGCTTTACAAAATAATTGCCTTGCAGCTGCGCGGCTGCTGCTTGAGCATGGCGTGCGCATCGACTCGAACGTCTGCCCGAATGAGGATGGTAACCATTTACACCATGTCTCGAAGAATCGGCACCAAATCCCTCTGGCAAAACTTCTTATTGAGCGCGGTTTATCTGTTGATTCGAGAGACGATGAGGGCCGGACGTTTCTATCCCATGCCTTCCAGGGGCCTTTCGATGAGCCTTGGGTGCGCTACTTACTCGATCGCAAAGCCAGTGTTGAATCCAGGGACGATTACGGTCGGACACCGCTTTCCTGGGCGGCAGAATATGGCGATGAAGCCGGAATCCGTTTCTTGCTGAAGCTGGGGGCCAAGACCGAGTCAAGGGACAACCACGGCCATACGCCGCTGTCCTGGGCGGCAAGAGGTGGCAATGAAGTTGGAATTCGTTTGTTGCTGGACTCAGGGGTCGATATTGAGTCTACGGGCGATCGTGGCCAGAGGCCGCTTTTCTGGGCTGCGCAACAAAGGAACGCGTCTGCATTGCGTCTACTCCTTGACCGAGGGGCTGATCCAAAGGCCAGGAACAATGGAGAACAAACGGCACTCTTTGGAGCTGCCCTTTCCGGACCAGAGCTATCAGTGGTTTACTTACTTGACGCAGGGTCTGATATTGAGGCCAAGGACCGCAGGGGTTGTTCACCGCTCTCGTTGGCTTCGAGGACTGGGAACGAGTGTGTAGTACGTCTATTGCTCGAAAAGGGGGCGAACATTGAGTCGACCAATGAAGAGGGGATGTCCCCCCTTTCGCAAGCTGCACGGTATGGATATCCCCAGATTGTGTTGCTGTTGCTCAAGCATGGAGCCAATATCGAGTGGAAGAACTGCGACGGCGATACACCGCTCATGTTAGCGGTATGTGGCCAGGCACTGAGTACGGTCGCGGTACTGGTCGAAAAGAACGCATCTATCACGCACGAAAACAAAAAGGGGCGGACGCCAATGGATGAAGCAGCCATATTTCCCAGGTTCGAATTGATCAGGCGGGTACTCAGGCCACGCACAGCCGACCAAGGGTCCAGCCTGGATGAAAGGGTCATACCAAGCCGACCTTTGCACAGAGGTCCGGCAAGTCAAGACACTTGATGATGGCTATGGACAGTGGATGCTGTCACGCTTCCCTATTTCTCCAGGATACTGCTAAATTTCACGTCTGGGCTCCATCCTACCACTCCTCCAACCACGCCTTGACAAACGAGCGGATGGCCCTCTGCGCGTCCTTGACAGCCCGAGGCGGCACGCCAGGACGTGTCTCGTTGCAGAACACACCATTCTCGTCCCAGTGGTGCACCGCATCGTCAATCAAGATCAAGGGCTCACTCGGCGTCGACTCGCGCTTGTCCTGGGACAGTGCATGCACACCCGCTGCGCGCCACGGATCCCACTCGCCATCCAACCACGCGAGGCGTGGATACGAAGCGTCGAAGCCTCCAAACTTGTTGATGCGGTCCGTGTCGGCCGGCTCCGATATGTTGAAGGCCGAGCGGCAGATCTCGGTCGAGTACTCCAGGTCGACGAGGCGCGAGACCATGGGGAGGATATCGTCAGGGACGCCCGATCCCGTCTGGAGGAATCCCCACTCGGTGCACACCTGGTACGGCCAGAGACGCCACGTCTGCGAGAGATCTGCCTGGGCATAGAATAAGGAGTCGGACGTAGTCTCGTAGTCGTCCTTGGACTGGGCGGCGGCGGCAGCAGTGTTCGGACGCTGGTACCCTACAAAGTTGAGCATGCGGTCGACAAGAGGGTCCAGCTGCTCCTCGTAGCCTGCCGCCGTCAGGAGTTCCTCGACAGTGGCGCGCTTCTCCTCTAGGTCGGGGTACATGTTCTCGTCGGACGAGATGGTCTCGCAGTAGCGGAAGAAAGCATCGGTGCTGATGGCAGGGTCCCAGTTGTAGCTCTGCAGGGCGGAGATGTCTCCCGCGACCGACGCGGCGAAATCAGCATCGTTGCTGATGTGTCCCATGCCAAAGAGCTGCTTGAGAGTGTCCACGTACTCGGCATTCTCCTTGTTCATCAAGATGTTGTCGACCACGTTGATCAACTTGCCCTGCGTCTCGCCACATTCGCCGGGACCAAAGAGTCTCGCGGCCTCATAGTACTCCCAGTAGTCCCAGATGGCCGCCGGCACACCGGACGAGGAGATGGCCGCGAAGAAGACGTCCGGATAGACGATGCGCAGGAATGCCACAAAGGCACCTGCGTAGGAACCGCCGTAGGCGATCCAAGGGACTTTGTCTGGGCTGAAATCCACGTCTTCCAGACCCTCGAACTGCACGTTCTTGGCAAAATAGGCCGTGTCGGCCAGCGCCTGCTCCGTCGTCAGGAAGCGAAGATTCTCCGTCTCAAAGTCGGGCGTGGGGACACTGCTGCCGTAGTAGCGGTGCTCGAGGATGACACCGATACCGTTTGTGGCCTTGGCCACCTGGTGCACTATGCCCTTTTGCAGAAAGGGGAGGCGGCCCTCGCCGCTCGTCTCGCCTGCGCCGAGGACAAAGACGGGTCCACCTGGCTTGTAGTACTGCGCATCGAACCAGTAGCGGAGGTTGAATGTGTCGTCTGAGTGTGGCTCGTACATCGACTCGTTGTGGAAATGGTCAATGGGCACGGAGAGGTTGTACTCGGGGTACGTGGCATCCGCTGCCGCCCTCGACAGCAAGCGTGCAGTAGAGGAGGATTGCTGGGCCAGTTTGCCAAAGGGAATGGGCAGTCCCTGCAGTGCGCACACTGCTGGGAGCACCAGAGAGACGGCTGCCGCTACGGTGGCACGCATGTTGCCTCTGGAGTCTGGTGATGCGACTGGACTTGCGATGTCTGGAAGTTGAGTATTTGCAGAGCAATCGCGCTCGCCTTGCGCAGAGCTCTCGGTGAGGCTCGTTATATATGTGACCTAGAGGCAAACAAAGATACCAATACTCCGCACGAGCTTGTTGAGTCCCATGTAACGTCGACGCTGGCCGGTCGTGTGATTCATGTCATTGGTTCGACGCGCCCAAGTCGCCGTTATCAACCTTCCGGTTTAGGCAAGTATCAGGACGTGCAGCCGGATCATCACAATGTTTACTTACCTAGGTTGGTGTAGGACGTCAAAAGTACCCTGAAGGGTTCATGGTGTTTTGCACGAGTGATCTCTTGGAGGATGTGGACTTGGACGGAGGACCAGCGTCGCACTGGCAGCAGACTGCCATCTTTCCACGACTACCCTGTACAAGATAGCTGCTTTTTCTCTCATTTCTTTATATAGCCACTGTAGAAATTGTGTGGCGTTTTGCAATGCATTGGAAGGCTTCTCAATTCTATACGTATTCCTAATTCACTATTTTGGGAAAACCAAGCGTCTTTATTCAACTGTTTTGGTGTTAACAGTTTTATTGCTGTGTGACCTCATGTTCATTAGAATTGAAGACTTGTTGCTGCAACTGGGATGAAATTAATACCGAGTCTCGCGCATTACCGTGTTATAAATATCATGGCAGGAGCAATACCAAAGATCAGGCAGTCTTTATCTCCCGGGTGGCTGCTCACTAGCAAGGGGTGACAGACACTAGGGTCGGGCCATGGGCGGCGTGGCAGAGGCTAAACGGGGATCCAGATTCCAGTCCCGTCGTGGACTTCTCTTGGATGAAATGAATTGTATAACGTTCTTGACAATATAGCTTTCTTACTTGGGGGAATCCTTAGAGGCTTGCAGATGATCGTCGAGCTGCTGCAAACTTCAGTGGAGGGTCGTGTTGACACGCTCCATACGACAGATGTGATGGACGGATTCCAGGACAAGCTGTACAGCGTTCACGACAAATACGTCGCAGACGTCGATCACGGCAGTTCTTTGGTGGAGGATCTCACTAAGGACCGCAAATTGCCGCCGGATACCGCCCACCAGGCTTGGTGAACGAAAGTGAACTGTACTTATTTGATCACTCCGGAGGTTGAGCGTTGATTCTGACTTCCACGGTCATGGCGGTCAGCGAGGCTTTCGATATCTCGATGGAGGATAGGAAGACAAGGCGGTAGACAGGGCAGCTGAAAGACTGGCACAGGTGGTACGTTATTCAGAGATACATCTTTCTTCATTCTTCAATACTTGTTTTAGTATAGACTAACATAGCCTTAGTAGATCAAACACTCTTCCTCTACCAGAACACTCCTGGCTACTCTTCTAGTCACCATCAACGATGTCATACGATCTCTGCCTTTGCCGGCACCATCACGAAGGCTCATCCGCCGCACCAAGCGATTCGACCGACGGTCCGACGGTACCGTCATGGCCAGAATGAGTCCATCACTACCAAGTCGGCGACAAATCGTCACCACATATCCCCCACTGCACGCCCTTCACAGGATCGGCTACGGCGGCAACTCTAAAGGCAAGATCACGAAGAAGAAGACCAATGCGGAGTGCCAACTTAAGTGATCCTGCGGTCTTGGGGCCGGATGGGGCCGATTCTACTCCACTTCGGCCTCCGTGCCGCGTAGTCCTCCGATCCGATGCCGGAGACGGGGATGCTCCTGACGCACCCCGCTTTTGCTCTGCCTGAAAGAAGGGGATCCACCTCCGACCTCGGTACAGCTGCGAGGGCAAGCTGCATAAGTGACATCACCTCGGGACAAGCTACTGAGAAGCTCTGATATTACTGGTCGCGCGATCAATTGATCCTCGCGCCTCGAGGCGGCATCGAAGTGGTACTTTGTGTATTTGTGACACGGCTGGGAAGAAATTTCCAAGGACTGGCCTTGAGCAGTTGGGCAGCAGCTGTGGATTCTCGAAACTGGCCCATTTCCTAGCGGCGCCGAAACCCGCGCGCACAGCCTGGGAAGACTGGCTGATCATTGGTTGAATGAGGAAGAATTTAGTGATGAGTGGAGACTAGCTCCAGTCCGTGACCGCGGCTGTTTATGGATATTAAAATGGGTCCTGCCGCACTGGTGCGAACGCTGTGCTCTGGCGCACAGCATCGTGACCTGGACAAGTGTTACATGACGAACACTTCTGGATGGTTACTCAAATCCCAAATGTCAGCTGCGGCACGGTCTGAGAAACATCGACTCATCATCAAAAGGTCCGAGTGCAGCACAAGTGCAGGACAAGGAGACACGCATCTGCTCATGACCTGCTCGTTTCATTCCCGAGACCCGACTGCCCGCCGCTTGAGTCTTGACTAACCTGACCAGGCACCTTGTGGGTTCGCGCTGGTCGAAATTTGTCAATTGATCGCCTCTTATAGCGCCATTTCACTGGAGTCTCCGGGGTTGAAGCCGCCGGACCGGTGGGGAAACCACAGCTAATAAATGGGAACGCTCGAGTGTCGACGCCGGATCGGATCTTTTGCGCCCTTGTAAAACTTCTTTCTCGTCTTGGACGCCTTTTAAATGCACCGGGTCCCTCCCATGGTGACGTGACTTTCGTCGAACTTGTGTTCTTGAGCCGTGCCTCTGTCTGTCTTTCTTCAGTAAACGGCTGTTGTTCTCTCGTCTCAGACGTGACATGTCTCACATCTTGGTAAAGGCGTGCCATTAGAACCATCACCATCTCTCCAGACAGACTGTACTTCTTCCCATAGACATCATGGTCGACCTCGAAAAGGCAGACTCGCGCAGCGCCGAGACCGCCCTCACCGTCTCCTCCTCCTCCGATCCCTCGAGCCCGCGTCTGCAGCCCATCCGCACCAACCAGTCGTACCGCTCGGTCCGCTCCCAGCGTCGCATTGACGGAACGGACTACCTCGAGAACCTCGAGCAAGCCCTCACCCCGGACCCGACGCTGCTGCACGCCGACCACGATGGCCAGGGCATCACCCACACCCGCACCGCCGCCAGCGCAGCGACCAGCATCGCCAGCCGACCACCCGATTTCGAGGTCATCTTCGAGGACGATGACCCCGAGAACCCGCGCCTCTGGCCCCTGTGGTACCGGGTCTGGGTACTCTTCTGCCTCGCCTACACCGGCTGGGTCGTCGTGCTCTACTCGACGAGCTACACCTCCTCCGCGCCCGGCCTCATGGCCGAGTTTGGCACCTCGACGACCGTCACCACCCTCGGCATGACGACCTATCTGCTCGGCCTCGCCTGTGGCAGCGTCGTCCTCGCGCCCATGAGCGAGCTGTTCGGTCGCCGCATCGTCTACCTCATCTGCCTCGTCGCCTGGGCCGTCCTCGTTGTGCCCTCGGGCGTCGCGCAGAACTTTGCCACCATCCTCGCCTCCCGCTTCTTCTGCGCCTTCTTTGGCGCCGTCATGATCGCCAACTCGCCCGGCACCGTCGTCGACCTCGCCCACCCGGACTACCTCGCCTTCACCCTCTCCATCTGGTCCATCGCCCCCATGAACGCGCCCAGCACCGGCGGCATCATTGGCGGATTCGTCTTCCAGAGCCTGGGCTGGCGCTGGAGCAACTGGATCATCCTCGCCGGGGGCGGCGCCGGCATCGCCATGATGGCCACCTGCAAGGAGACCTACGCGCCCACCGTCCTCAAGCGCAAGACCGCGCGCATCCGCAAGGAGACGGGCGACGACCGGTACTGGTGCCAGTTTGACCAGCGCGTGTCGACATGGCATCTCATGAAGACCAACCTGTCGCGACCTTTCATGCTCGCCGCCACCGAGCCCATCCTCTGGTTCATGAACCTCTGGATCTCGCTCGTCTACGGCATCCTCTACCTCTGCTTCGTCGCCTACCCCATCGTCTTCCGGCAGCACCGCGGCTGGTCCCCGGGCATCGCCGGCCTCGCCTTTGTCGGCATCGGCATCGGCACCCTCCTCGGTATCTTCAGCGAGCCTCTCATGCGCCGCCTCATCAACGCCCCCTGGCAGCCGCGCGACCCGCGCACCGGCAAGGTCGCCCCCGAGGCCACCGCCCTCGTCATGGCCATTGCAGCCATCCTCACCGCCGTCGGCCAGCTCGCCTTCTCCTGGACCTGCCTGCCCATCACCATCCACTGGGCCATTCCCATCGCCATGGGGATCCCCTTCGCCATTGGCAACACCCTCTGCTTCATCTACGGTGCCAACTACATCGCCGGCGCCTACGGTATCTTCTCCGCCAGCGCCCTGGCCGGCAACGCCGTCGTCCGCTCCGTCTTTGGCGGCACGCTGCCGCTCGCGGGGCCCAAGATGTACGAGGCGCTCACGCCGCAGTGGGCGGGCACGCTGCTCGGCCTGCTCGAGGTGATTATGATTCCCATCCCCTTTGTCTTCTGGCGGTATGGACACAAGATCCGCGCCAAGAGCAAGGTGATCAAGCAGTTGCGCGAGGAGCAGGAGCGCATCGACGCCAAGAGGGCGCGCTGGGCGATCAAGCTGGAGAATAGGGCGCAACAGCAGCGGCAGCAACAGGAGGATTTGTCTGAGAAGACTGTTGGAGAGAGTGAGGCGGTGGCTGCTGTTGGCAGCAAGGAGGACTGAGCTTCGCGTGCGCGCACGCATATGCATAGCATGGCGTTTGGGGGTTTGGATACCATTGAATTCGGCTGTCGGCGCAACGATTGTTAGATCATTTCTTGCCTGTAAAGATTAACTTTAATAATAATAAAGTCATTATCATGAAGCAGACGCGTTGCGTAGTATGTCCATTATGCTCGTGACGCTGTCCTCTGTCGAATTGTCCAGAATCACCGTCTTCTCCTTGGACTTGAGTCCGCGGCGGAGATGGAGACGTGCCTTGGGTACCCCGAGCACATCGCTGAGCAGTTGGATGACAGCCTTGTTGGCTTCGCCGTCCTTGGGCTGAGCCGCAATGGCAAGATGGATAGCAGATGGCGTGATGCTGACGATACCCTCGCGCGCGGCGCTGGCGTTGGGCTTGACGAAGAGCTGAAGACTGATACTTCCGAGCGCAGAGCTTTTCGAGCTGATGAAGCGGACTGCTGCGGTGGACATGACGTTGTGTTTGTTGGTCAGATGTGAGGTGAGCTGGCGAAAGCTCGGGGTTGTGGGATGGCAGGTCCCGGGTAGGCAAATCACTACTGACGTCGGGAAGTGGATCCCCAACTTTTCCTTTGACGCGCGATCAATGTCCATCCATCTCGTCGCCTCACCTTCCATTCAGCCTGACCACCAGGCACCACTGGCCACTCTCGCTCGTCTCACCATGTCAGTCGCTCCTACATGATCCCCAGAACATCTCGACGACCCATCCTTCGGTCTTTTCCAGCGTCCACCACCACAATGGCGTCCGCATACGCCGTGCTCAACGGGCCGACGTCCTCCCACGCCAACGCCGCCTCTACGAATCAGCAACAACAAGAGCCAGCTCCATTCACACGCACAGGACTCTCGCGCTGGTCAGTCTTACCGCCGTCACAGACCCTCCCGCCCGTCTCCCAGATCAAGTCCCTCCACGTCTACGACTTCGACAACACCCTCTTCAAGACCCCCCTCCCCAACCCGTCCCTCTGGCAGGGTCCCACGATTGGCATCCTCACCAGCCAAGACACACTCGCCAACGGCGGCTGGTGGCATGACGCCCGCATCCTCACCGCCACCGGCGAAGGCATTGAGAAGGAGGAGCCCCGCGCATGGGAAGGGTGGTGGAACGACAAAATCGTCGACCTCGTCCGGCTGAGCATGAAGCAGCCCGACGCCCTCACGGTGCTCCTCACCGGCCGCGCCGAGAGCGGCTTTGCCGAGCTGGTCAAGCGCTTCGTCAAGGCGAAAGGGTTGGAGTTTGACATGATTGGCCTCAAACCCGTCGTCAGCCCGGATAGCCTCCGCTTCGTCTCGACCATGCACTTCAAACAGCTCTTCCTCAACGCCCTCATGGAGACCTACAGCCAGGCCCTCGACATTCGCATCTACGAGGATCGACCCAAACACACAAAGGGCTTTCGCGACTTTCTCGCCGAGTACAACCGTCGCCAGGCCGAGACGCCCACCCGCGGACCCATTGCCGCCGAGGTCATCCAGGTCGCCGACACGAATCGCTCGCTCGACCCCGTCGTCGAGATCGCCGAGGTCCAGCACATGATCAACGCGCACAACGCCATCGCGCAGCGCGACCCGGGCCGCAAGCGCTACGTCATCAAAAAGACCGTCTTCTTCACGAGCTACATCATTGCCCAGGAGGACTCAGATCGCCTCCTCCGCCTGGCCAACATCCCCGCCAGCCGGGGCGACGGCACTATGCTCTTCCACGGCAACAATATCCTCATCTGCCCACGGCCCAACACACCCGCCCATCTCGTCCAAAAGGCGGGTGGCATGGGCGCCAAGATGAAATGGCAGCTCACCGGCTTCGGTACCTACCACGACAGGATCTGGGCCGCCTCGCTGCAGCCCGTGCCGCACGACGCGTCCTACCACACCGACCACCACGTGCCCATGGTCGTGCTCGCGCTCAAAAAGGGCGCCAAGCCCGCCGAGGCAAGTAAGATTGACCGCTGGACGCCCGTGTCCGTCGAGGACGCCATCGTCTTCGAGACCACCGTGGGCGAGAAGGTATCGCTACGTATCGAGGCGGAGGGCGGGGCTGATCACGGACACCGCGGTTCGAAGCGCAAACAGCGGGAGGAAGAGTCCAGCCCTGGTGAGTGGCCACGACAGGGTCCTGGTCACAATGCGAGGGGCCATCACACATCTGGTCGCGGAGGTGGTGGCAAAGCGGGTGGCCGGGGACATCAGAACCGCGGTGGCGGCGCCAATAAGGGCGGCAACCAGCGTGGTGGCCGGGGACGAGGACGCGGCGCGGGTGGGGGGTTCAACTACCGATCGCTGGATGATGTAGGCCGCCACGGGAATGATGGTTATGCGCAGAGGAGAGGCGGAGGAGGCAACGGGGGCGGTCGTGGTCGTGGGCATGGCCATGGGCGAGGCGGCGGTGGTGGACAAGCCGGGGGCCAAGATGTGGGAAGCTATTACTGATGGCTTGTCCTTTGTCGTTAGGAACCCGAGGGCTCTCTCTTTGACTGGCGCGGAACTCTTTTTTGGAACAGGACCTGGCTATAGTAGTGCTTTTGGCATAGATCGGTGCCGGTGTAGGCTTATACCCCAAGGCGTCACGGTAAAAAAAGGGGGGCAAGGCGGCGTTAACAGCATATACCGGAAGTAGATTTTGATATTCCCTCTAAATCGGTAGATGGTTTGTTTTATCTTATTATTCTATGTTTTTTTGTTGTCCCTTCTTAATCTTCCTCCTCCTCGCTGCTCTCTTCCTCATCTGCATTCTCCAGCCACTCCACCAACACGCGACACTTCTCCTTCAACCCTTTCAGTCCTTCGCTCTCCTCTGCCCGCTCGTCCGCCCACCAGCCGAGGATACCTTCCTCCTCGAGGACGTCCTCTGCATACAGCTGCTGCAGCAGCGCCGCCAAGATGGTGCCCGCCCTAGGGTCCTTAACATGGAAGAGCGTGCGCTGCGTGAAGAGTATGTATTCCACCTGCTCTGCCTCTTCACCACCGATGCCAACCTCCTCGATGAACTTGGTCGCGCCCTTGCGGGTCTTGAGGGCTTTCTCGGCGGCCTTGGACGGCTCGAGCGAGCCGTACTCCGGCGTGAGCAGTTCGGCAGCGCGGCGCGCAAAGGCAGTGGCAACGGCCTTGCGCATCATCAAGTCCGACGCGTCGTTGGCGAGACGCAGGCCCATGAACTCCAGTTTGGCCGCGTCAAAGTCTCCGCTTCCGCCTCGCAGAGCGTCGAGAATACCATGCACCGCGTCGCTGTGGAAAGCACCTCCGCGGTTCGAGTCGTCGGAGGCGAAAGAGGACAGTCTCGAGCGCGAGGAGGCAGCGTCGGCAGCGAAGCCTCCTGCGTCCGAGTCCGAATCGTCGTCGATCTCTGACGAGAGCGTGGAGATGGAGGATTGTGAGAGATTTAGATCGGCAATGTTGTATAGAAGAGACTTTTGGAGACGTGACGGATCCTCGTCATCGTAGTCTTCGTCTTCGGTCTCGTAACACACGTCGACGAAACGCGCGGCGTTGGCGTTGGGGCCAAGGAGTTGCGTGTCCTTTGCCACGGGCTCGCTGGACGCATTGATGGTCGAGAGTACCGTGCCCTTGGAGAGTGTGATGTCGTCGGAGATCTGAACGCCAAACGAGAAGAGGCAGCCCTCGGTGACCGAGCAGTTCTTGCCCACCATGGACGTATCGGCCAGAATGGACTGCTTGACCACCGAGTTGGCCCCGATCGTCACGTCGTTCCAGAGATAGCAGTCCTCCAGCACTACGTTATCTCCAATCTGGCAGTCTTTGCCGATGATGCAATTGTTGATCCGGCAGCCTTTGCCAATCGTCGTACCCCTAGCCACGATGGAGCGAGTCACCACGGCGTCCGGCGCCGAGAACGCACCGTCCTCCATGCTCAGCGCGCCATCGTAAAGCGTGTATGAGCCATGAGAAGAGGTGTTCTTATGTGGCACAAATGGTGCCGTCCACCCATCAATCACGTCACTCGACACGGAGTCGTACATTTGGAGGTTGCTTGCTCGGGCAGCATAGCCCTCCTCCAGAACCTCCGCGTAGATCATCTTCCCGTTGAGTTCCCAGTCTTTGAGCACGCCATGCAAGAAGTTACGTCTTGGTAAGTCGTAGTCGAAGCTCTCCGACCATAGAGCGAGGACGTCGGGTGTGCAGATATCTACTTGCGCATCGATCAAGTCGGCCCTGACCTCAAAGTCCGTGGACAGCTCGTCCGTAATGGCAGGGTCGAGGGTCAGGTAGTGGTCGCTCTGGAGGGGTGTGATCTCTTCGTAATGCAGACACCTCTTGTTTCGTGAGTCGATTGTGAATACCGGTGTGATCGCATTCGTTTTTGTCCCGTGGCTGCCGGGCCCACCACTCCGCAGGACCATGGTCATGATGTTCGCCGCGCTCTCCTCTCGTCGTTTCCTGTGCGCAGCCAGAACCTTGTCGAGAACCAAGTTGGACACCACATCGCCGTGGACGAGGAGGAAGTCTCCATCGACGAGCGACCGCTTGTCCATGTCGCGCAGGACGTCACCGATTGAGCGCGCATCCGACACGCGCACAAATTGCACCACCGAAAAGGGACACGATCGGGACGCTGTCGACCAGCGCGAACGGCTGACGTAGTCTTCGACCTGCTCTGTATGCGCGCCACAGTAGATATAGACCTCGCTCACGCCGTTCATGGCCAGGAACTCGAATGTATACTCGATCAAGGGAGTGTTCGCTAGTGGAAGGAGACACTGCATGCATTAGCCATAAACCTTTGGAGTAGACGGATCGAGGCGAAGCGCACTCTTGGTTTCTCGATGCTAAAGGGTCGATATCGGTCTTGGAATGAGTCTGCGAGTACGACAGCTTGGAGGACGTCTTCGCTTTTGCTCTCGCCGCCGCCACCACCGGCTCGTGGTTTCCTGCCCTTGGCAGAGCTGGCACCGCTCTTGCCCTTGGACGACATGGTGTACTGTGCGGGGGCCTGAAGCTGCCTCTCTGCGTGTCGGAGTGCTCTTGGAGTCGTGCTGCTCAATTGGGTGGACGTGAGGTTAAGAATTGTCCTCGTGTGGTGTTGTGAGCTTGTGACTCAACAGCAAAAAGTCGCTGCTCGGTGTGGGTTCGGTGAGGGACACAATGCATCGCGGGGCAGGCGCGGGGCAGATTGTTGGGCTACCCTGTATCGCTCCAAGAAGTAGGTGCATGAAGCAAAGGCCGATCCTATAGTATTGGCCCTAATCATCTATCATATCGTACTGATCCGCTTGGAGGTGAGGAATATGGAGCTTATCAGAGATCTTTTGATCGTTTCTGTTGAGCTGTGCTGAAATGAAGCGTCTGCTGCAACAATTATTCCCCCATTCTCATTGCAATGCAATCAAGCCACCATTGAGGCATTCCATTTTCACGTATTCGTACAGGCATTCAAATCAATCTTGCACAAAAACTTCACAGTGAACCAGGGAAATATCCCAAGATCACATTATACAAGAATCGGTACAACTAGTCGCATCATTACGCCATAATGACCTACCACTTGGCTGATAGACCGGCGATCGCTGCAGTCCCAGGCCAATGCCGCAACGCGGATTGTGTGCCCTGGACGAGAGTTAATGAGCCTCAAAGCCAGGGCAGAAATACTCATGGTAAAGTTTTGCCCGCAAGACCATTGGAGTATCGCTTGAACGGAAAGCCTCACAAATTCCACAGCATTTGTTGGGCTACTAGGCTGATTGCCCGGCTAGATCCGAGTGACCCCAAATCCATTATCCATTCCTGGCGTGGAGCTGAGCATTCCTGTGAGCAATCCATCATTTGGTGACCAACACAGGACCTCAGTGATGAACTGCTCTCATATCTATCCAATCCAATAAATTGAACCCAGCTGAACCCTCGGATGCGCCCAGTGAAGAAACGTGAAAGATTTGTCACGAATAGTTGGTCAAGCTGAGTTGCGCTCCGGTAAATTTCGCATCTTGTTCCCTTCGCTTGCGGCTTATGGCGTGAGCCGCGTGACACTATCGATCGCGGCTTCTCCGAGCACCAAGACACCACGCTTCGCCCTGCGTACACTCCGGTCCAAGCGCAAGCTTATTTGTAAGATAGCTCAACCGAGTTTGCACATGTTCGGAACGCGTACTATCCCTTGCCATAAGCAGAAAATCAGTATTCGCGTGGTGCTGAGACAACCAGATACTAAGGTACGTACCGTAAAGCAAGTCTTACACGAACAGGCCTTTGATGATTACTATTACACGTAGTACGGATACATAGAGGTGGGAGGGTGGTAGGCGCGACGCTTAAAATACGGCGCATGGGGCTCTCTACCAACTTGGCGGCTGGCCTCGAAACCTTGTGCCACAAACCCAGCTCCTTGGATCTTCCTGGGCTGGAACTCCCCATAGAGAGCAAAGAAAAGAAAAGTCTTTCGCATCCTCCATCGGTATGGTGGCTGTGCCGCGCGCAGCCGGATAAATTGATGCGCAACCTTATCCATAGGCCTGCATCCCCCAAATGTGATTGTTGCAACGCATGTTCGTGAGAAAGGATGGCGAATTGCGTCGCAACTAGTGAAAAGTTTAGCCAACAAGCATTCGTCGTCCAACAAACACATAACGCGCCGAACCCTGTCAACTTGGGCACGGGTCTTTTTATCACGGCTTACCATGTGTTCGGGGCCGATACCTTACTCAGGTAATGGCGTGACTGGGCGTCGACCCTGACAGCAGCCGACGCGCCAACAGCAGCCACGGCGTTGGAGGGGGGGATCAAACGCAAAATACACAATTGCAATTCGCGGCGATGGAACATCGAGGACGTCAGCTCTACTGGCGTACGGTGTGATCCGGGTTACGACAAACAGTCCATGTCAGCTTCAGCTGGCGTCTGATATTGACACCTCCAGTCCAGTCGCTCTGAGAGACGCTCTTATTAGCGAGCGACTGGAGTCACTGGACCCCCACTACGGCGGTCGGCGACGGCCAGAGCGCTGACGACTCGCCAACGCGCTCAATCCCTCATTCGGTCGTTATAATACTTTTTAATTATACGACACTGTGCATGCCATCCAGAGCTACCCGCCCCACAAGGGTACGCAGCCGGCTGGCCGCTGCACGAGGTTGAGTAGATCGATGGACGGGTGGGTTCTCGGGCATCTCAATCGTGGCTTACAGGTGCCGTCGTGGCTATTCAACGCCAAAACCGGCGAGGTGAAAACTTTGGCAAACCTGCTCATGTACATGGTCACTCTGGGGTCTGGAATCATCTTGCGAATCATACGGTACCAAGGATGAGCAGTCACCGGCAAGAAAAAATTCTTTTGCTATTGCTTTTCTGATGAGTCCCTGCAGGCGAGAGCGGCGAGAAGCAGGTGCTGAAGCCATCCCACAGCACATGGCATTGCAGCTCTACAGTACTCCGTACGTACACTCGACCAGGCGACATATCTCAAACTTTCCCCCAAAAGCCTCGATGCATTCCTCAGCGGTGTCTCGTCTACAGTAGCCACCGACTCACCTAACTCGAGCCTCGGAGCGACTGACAAGTCGGAGCCTGAATTACCCACCTGCCTTACCTAAATTAACAAAAAACACTGGACCCACCTTCCGCTTCTTCCCATCATCACGGAGCAGTGTGCACACCAGCAGCAAGAGCCAAGAACCACCTCTCACATCTCCACCTTCCGCACAGTGAGCCGCCGGTGGTCTCCTCCCTGTACCATATCCAGCCCATCCGTCCAACAAACTTCGCCCGTTCACCACCAACCCAGCACTAGGCCCTGGAATTGACTTTAGTCGCAACCCATATCCAGAGTCGCGCGCGTGTGCTCAGCAACCCGTGTATATCTGTATCATCTTATCTACTACTTAATTTGGAAAGCCCCGGTGCCCACGCCTCCTTCGCTATTCTTAATACCGGCGAGTCTCGAACATCGACCTCCACCTGCGAGCATCTCGCGATCGTCCCTGGACAGGACTGTGATCGACTGCGCACGCCCGTACCACCGAATCTTGTGACGCCTCATCGCAGTCGCCTCGGAAGATCAACTCTCCGACCGGCTCTTGCAACCCGCAGCGTCTACGAATTGCTCAAGGTTCGCCTGCTTCAAAGCTTGCTCACCGACGCCAGCAATGTCTGGAAACGACGTTCCGGCAGCCCAAACGGGCGGCAGCAATGCCAGCGAATTCGTATGTTTCTCTGAACAGCCCGCACTCAATTGTTGATTTCGCTTCTAATGCGCTGTCTTGTAGGTGCGCAAACTCTACCGGTAATACGAATCCGCCGACACGACAAACCGAGAGCCAGATCGCTGACATCATCGCAGTATGCTCGAAGACCCGTCGCATCAAGATGTTGCGCGCTGGGGAAAGGATGGAGACACATTTGTTGTCGTAGAGGTGCGTATCGCTTTGCGACGTATATCCTCCACCGACTGACCTGGTGCATATAGGGCGAGAAATTCACTCGATCCATCCTGCCGAAGCACTTCAAGCACAGCAACATGTCCAGCTTCATCCGGCAACTCAACAAGTACGATTTTCACAAGGTCAAGCCGTCCAGCGACAACGAGAACTCAGGGCTGGGCAATGTCCTTGAGTTCAAGCACCCATTTTTCAAGATCGACAGTAAGGATGATCTCGACAACATCCGACGGAAGGCGCCTGCCGCACGGAAACCCCAGGTCGCCGACGACTTCACCACAAACCACCACATCAGCGTCATGTCGGAGCAACTAGCCGCTACGCAGCAGCAGGTTCAGCAATTGCAAGAGCTCTACGCTGAGGTTGCGCAGACCAACAAGGTCCTGGTCAATGAGGTTGTGATTCTGCAGAAGATTCTCAATGCCCAGAAGCAGGCCTCGCACGAGATTGTCAATTACTTGGCTCCCTACGATGGACAAGGCAACAGCACAAACGGCGCCACTGCCACTGCGAGCAACAGTAACAATACCGCCATGATGAGCCAGCCGTTGACTACAAACGGACAAACCCAGGCGAGTGATGAGCCCGCAGTCCCCGAGCTGCGCAGGGCGCGAGAGCTCCTTTCGAGCATGAACACCAATGCGATTGCTGACCGCGAACTCGAGCGTCTCCAAAACGTGTATGGCTCACCCTCGGATTCTGGCGCCATGGTCACGCCTACCTCAATGCCCATGATGAGCGATCCGATGCACGACATCAACAGGTATCCCGTGTACCCTGTGGGCCAGACGGTCGGCATAGATCCGTTCCATTCGGACCACATCCACAAGATCCCGTATGCGGTTCCAAATGACCTGGCCGCGGGCGCGCTCGCCGAGGCCCCCAAGATCCAGGTCCCCGCGCCTACCTCGACAGGCGATAAGGGACCAGGTGCGACTGAGTGGGGGCCCAAGAAGCCCGTCGTCTTGCTCGTAGAGGATGATCCAACTTGCACCAAGATTGGTGTCAAATTCCTCAAGACAATGGGCTGCGAGGTGGAGCATTCGGTGAGTGCTATCCTGAATCGGCCTACTTGAACGTCCAGCTGCTAACAAAAGACAGCCGAACGGCGCCGACGCCTACAACCGTGTGCAAACGCACCCCGACAGGGACCGCTTCGACATGATCTTTATGGACATTATCATGCCCCATCTAGATGGCGTGTCAGCAACCATGTACATCCGCCAAACTCACCCTGCGATCCCTGTCATTGCCATGACATCCAACATTCGTCCCGAGGAGGTCAACGGTTACTTTGAACATGGCATGAATGGCGTGCTGGCCAAGCCATTCACGCGAGACGGCATGTGGAAATGCGTCCGCAGCAACCTTGGCCATCTTATGAAGAACCCTCCACTGGATGCCGACATTGGTTCCGGCGGCGGTTATTACATGGGAACACCATTCCTGAACACGCCAACCGCCATCAAGTATGAGGCCCAGACGCCGCCAGCACACAGTGGCCCGGGCTGGTCCCCCGGCCACATGGGCCAACCCTCGATTGGTTCTAGCCTCGATGTCGGCTATGGATTTGTGAACGGGGGAGCCCCGTATACCATGGCCACTGGTCAACGTGGGCCATTCCAGCAGCAACTGCATTCGGCCGAGTCGAGCACCGGCCGCTTGTCTGATGTCGAGAGTCCACCCGAAAAGCGCCAGCGGCTCAACCACGCGGGCAACTTCTAGTGGTTGGCTGAGCCATTGCATTCGGACGGCGAGGCGTTTGGAGTTTTCTCGGTTTCGGTGATCGAAGTCGGCAGTGTCAATGAGTGAATGATGGGGGTTTCGATGTGTCGTCGAGAAGCCCGAGGCGTTTGTTCATTATCTATCGTGTATTTTGCCGCATTTTGAACAGCTGCTGGAGCACGGTCTGGGTTGATGGAATCTGACGGATGGAAATTTGACGACTGCATATATGTCTGATGTATACCTATTTTGCAGTAAGGATGAATCCACAATATGGCCTGTAGTCATCGCCGCAGGACTGTTTCCTCTAGAGGCGGTCTCTGGTGATGGTGAAGCTCGAGGCTATCGACCCCTTGGAGGCGTCTTGCAGAGATACCACTAATGTACCGTGAGAGAGACCTCTGGACTGACGGGACTGACGTTACGAACGCAGAAAGCAGGAGGGAGTTGAAGTGAGGGATGTGGGCGGTCATCCAGCTTTATTAGCCCATCGAGCCCCGGACCTAGAATTCATCGAGACTCCTTGGCAGACTTGGCAGCCTTTCCATGGGCGGTCTCGAACTCAAGCGATGACGTGGTGTAGGGCCCCAACTGCCCTTAATTACCGTCACGTTGCACGATTGGATCCCTGGGGACGGAATAGGCCCGCGAGGAGAGGCATTGCCCACCGTGTGGTGGTACGTATGGGACGTGGTCAACGAGAGCGCTGGGAGATCTAGAACTGTCGATGAGTGTGGGACGGCGCGTTTCAGGCTCGTGGCCTCACAAGCCTCACGAGAAGGAGTCTGGTACGTACAAGTAGAATGAGGATTCTCTCCATGATTGAGCACACACACGCCCCTCCTGCACGATTGGGCTCTTCGTGGGCGGAATGTTGGTGGTGTAGCACTTGTACGTAGGGTGGTGACACAGAGCTCGATATTGGCGAAACGCGGAGTATGCTTGCTCTGCAACGTGCCGCGTCCACACGGCAAGTGCCCTGTGTACCTCCGTGAATATGGTTCGTATTTGAATACGCCGTCGGGGTTCTTCTATGGCATATACGTAGGCTATCGTTGGGCCAGGCCGCAGGTGTCAGTCGCGCAGAAGACGTGAGGTTTGCTGCCCTGCAGCCCTGGTTGGTGCTCAGTATTAGCCCAAGATCAACAAACATTTGGCAGAACAGAGGGTCTGCAATAGCTCGAACAACAGCCTGGCGATTCTCGCTCGGCTGTTCCCGCCAGACATCTTACTTTCATCGGAGATAGCAACATTGTTTACTTGGGAAGTTGGGAGCTCCGATCCCGAGAGTGCAGTGAGTTTGAAGACCAAAGGGCTCATGACATAACACCGTGTCAGCACAGTGTGAGATGCCAAATGGACGGTCCTCCATCATGTTGACATCTCGGCTTAGTGAGTCGAGAACAGCCATTCCTACCAGCAACTCATGTCCAAAATGACAGCACCGCCGAACGAATAAGTCGCGTCTCTCGCTCACAGCTCATCATGAGCTTCCTTACGCGTTGGTTCAGGAAGGTGCCGCGTGCGCCGCTGCATCCGCCACGCCAGTTTCCCACCCATCGAGGTCCACTGCTCCCCGTCCAGCAGCTCCTCGAGGAAGAGACACTCCCCAGATACTCTGCGGAGCATTACTATCCCGCACGTATAGGCGAAGTACTGGGCTCGCGATACCAGATCGTCAGCAAGCTTGGATTCGGGTCCACGTCTACCGTGTGGCTGGCCAGGGACCTCAAGTACGCTGCCGACAACGAACAATGTGAAGCCATCGCGGCAGGCTAACCTCGACAGCTCGAACCAACATGTCGCCTTGAAGGTCTTTGTGCTATCGCAAGCTGTGGGTGGTCCGGCCTCTCAGGAACTGGGCATCCATGCGCGACTGGCAAGCAGTCCCCAAGACCATCCAGGACGGGAGGCCATTCCACACATGCTAGGCCATTTCGAGGTGCCTAGTGCAGAAGGTGACCACCAGTGCCTTGTGCATCAGCCGCTGTGGAACAACCTGCAGACGTACTTGGACGAACCCCCCAATGGGCGTTTGTCCAAGGAGGCTCTCGCCAATGTGCTCTACAATGTCTTCAAAGCACTTGATTACCTTCACACGGAATGCCAGATTGTGCACACCGACATCAAGCCGGACAACATCATGTTTGGCTTCAAAGACGACGCTGCGTTGGAAGCCGTGGAGCAGGCGGAGGTGGACAATCCAAGCCCTCGCAAGGAAATTGACGGCCGCGTGGTGTATCGGTCCAGGAGACTCCCAGAGCCTCGCAACATTGGGCCACCGGTGTTGTGTGACTTTGGCTCAGCCTTGTCAGGACCACAGCTGCGTGACATAGATGTCCAGCCAGACGAATACCGATGTCCGGAGATGATTCTGGATATTCCTTGGGATAACAAGATCGATGTCTGGAACGTGGGGTGTATGGTCAGTCGTCACACATACGGCACGGTTCCAGGAACTAACTGATGTTGATGCTGCAGATCTGGGATATTTTTGAGGGAGAGCATCTATTTCGCGGCATAGATCCCGAGTTCAAGGTCTACCGCGGACGTGCCCATCTAGCCGAGATGATTGCAGTCCTGGGCCAACCGCAGCCAGGGCTCATCGACCGCGGACGACTCAAGTCCAAGTTCTTTTCCGATACATGTACGTGATCCTGACATTGTGGGATGATAGCATTGACTTATGAACCTGACAGACGAGTGGCAAGCTGGCAATGACCTTCTGCCGCCCACAAGCTTGGAGCAATTGGAGAAGCGTCTCGAAGGAAACGACAAGGAGTTGTTTATCGACTTTATGAACAAGATGCTGCAGTGGGCCCCTGAGGACCGACAGACCCCCGAGGAATTGATGTATGACCCGTGGCTGATGAGGCATGTGCGCGGGTGAGGCTTCAGATCGTCTGCGTTTGAGCATCGAGTGGTGCCGCTCAGCCCCACGGCGTCGCCGCCAGTCGAGCCTCACGTTAGGACCATGGGCTCAGAATCTCGAATAATGCCTCCCACGTGGTCTACAGCGCTGTAGTGCTGGCTGTCTCTGCCTGGTCAATTGATTCCAATTTGATCTACGAGCAACCGCTCTCTGTGGCCTCATCTACCAGCTTCACACCCTTCTTCTTGTCCTCCATCAGCCGTGTCATGGCATCGACCAAGCTGTCGGCAGCATCCTGTGAAGTCTGGTGATGGAACACCAGCCGTCCGTTCGAGAACGTTGTGACATTGTTCTTGGCGCAATACTCCACAAAGGCCGCCCCTGGAATGTCGACAGCCTCCAGATCCAGGACTACCATGTTCGTCTGCACAGGCAGAGCAAACTTGTATCCGAGGCTCGCCAGCTGTTCGCCAACGCGTCTTGTCATGGCGTGCACAGCTGGAAGCCTGGGAATGGTATAGTTCAAGGACTGGAGTGCGGCTGCCGCCATCATTCCTGGCTGGCGGGTGCCACCACCAAACATCTTCCTGTACCACTTGGCACGCGCAATGAACTTTTTCGACCCGCAGATGATGCTGCCCATGGGTGCACCAAGTCCTTTGGCCAGGCAGATGGAGAGACTATCAAAGCAGGCTGCGTAGTCTTTCAGCGACACGCCTTCTCCAGCCACGCCATCAAACACACGAGCAGCATCGAGATGCATGGCAATGGGCGGCGTCCCTTCCGCTACTGGGTAGCTTCGCACATACTCGGAGATGGCTTGTGCGTCTGCCAACGGGAGATACGTGCCGCTCAGCGTGTTCTCAAGGGCCACAACTCGGGTGGGCGGGAAGTGGACTAGATTGTTGGTCAGCCGTGACGCGGGCGAACCAGTATGGGAAAAGGCTGACTGTTGTCATCGGCAATCATATTCGCCTTGACATCTTCTAGTGTCAGATGCACGCCATTCTTGGGGTGCACCGCCGACACAGACGCCTGGGAGAAGACTGGCAACGCCCCCGACTCCCAGCACTGCACATGCGCCCGATGGTCCAGCAACACAGAGTGGGGAGGTTGGGTGAGATGTGTCCTCAGACAGATCTGATTGCCCTGCGTGCCGGACATGACCCAAAGCGCAGCCTCCTTGCCAGTGAGCTCCATGACCCGGGCCTCGAGAGCCTTGACCGTAGGGTCGCCGACTGGGTCGTAGATGTCGTCGACAAAGGTGGCGTTGAAAATGGCCTGCATCATAGCCGTCGTAGGAACGGTCATGACATCGGAGCGAAAGTCACGAGAGGCCTTTTCCTCCGCGGCTTGCCGTTTGGCAGCCATCTCGGGCGTGAAGATGGGGTCACTGTTGCTGATGCTGCCCATGGTCGCTGACGATTCTTGGCTTGTTGCTGTTGTATGAGGGATACGTGGGATCTCTCTGTAGCTTATCGTTGATTCAGGCTAGGCTAGGTAGGTACTTATGGTTTCCGTCTCGGTGGCGGGATCGGGTTCGGACTCTTGGGGACCTGGGCGCTCGCTCCACTCGGGAGCATGAGGGGTCGGACAACTCCTTCTAGCTCGAGCTATGCAGACCAGGTGAAGCCAGAAGCCACAGATCTTGCCTTGCCTGCGGAGATACCCGCCAATGACGACCCTTTATGAGTTGCTTGACGGCCCATTTGCGTAGACTTGAGCGTGTGCCTCTGATGAATGCCGCGGGAAACCGACAGCCGAGGACAAGTCCGCGGAGAATGGCCTCTTTGCGATTCACCGGCTAAAGGAATTTCAGCATCGCAATGCTACAGATGAATTCAAATCTATCGCGAAATCGGAAGCCATAGTCCAGATATTCTATTTGCTACCTGTTGAAAGTGAGGGCGATTGTTCGGAGCTGACGGTCGATGTATCTTATCGATAAGCCAGGCCCCTTGGGGGGGCTCTGATCATGGGGATAAGGACGCGATAAGCAGGGCACTTTACGCGACTTTCGGAACGCGTCGAGACGCGTCCCACTGCGTCTGGTCTGCAGATTGCTGTTCACGCTGAAAGATCGTCACCAACTGACATCTCTTGCAAATCGTCAAGTCATATTTTCAAATCAGAGATGCCACACTCCACCGATATGCAAGCCAGCTCACCCCCACGAGCTGTGAAGGATGAGCCTATGGAGGACGAAGCGGCCATGCCTGCTCATGTCGCCAACCCAGCCGTAGACGACGATGCCGAGATGGAACAGACAGAAGAGACTGCCACAGCAACAGCTTCACAAGGCGACAAGGAAATCAAGAAAGATGTCAAACTCCAAGACCTCTTTGATGACGACGACGACTCGGATATCGAGGTGGACGACAGCATATTCACACCAACGTGCGTGCATCACCCCGACCCTTTGATCATGGAATCACCACCAGCTGACAGTGTGTAGCAATGTGGCCAATCTCAAAGCGTCCGACCCCGAAATCATGCGACAGTTCTACCAGCGTCTCTTCCCGTGGCGTCTGCTCTTCCAATGGCTGAACCACAGCCCAACGCCTACCAACGATTTTGGCAACCGAGAGTTCGCCTTTACACTCCAGAATGACGCCTACTTGCGATACCAGTCCTTTGCGACTGCGGATCTGTGCGTCTGGCGCGATCTCACCCTGCTGTGACTCAACTAACACGCCGCAGCCTCCGGAAAGACGTCCTGCGCCTCATGCCCTCCCGTTTCGAAATCGGACCCGTCTACAGCGCCAACCCGCGCGACCGCAAGCAACTCGGCAAGACATCCGCCTTCCGGCCGCTGGCCAAGGAGCTCTGCTTCGATATCGATTTGACCGACTACGACGACGTGCGCACGTGCTGCGACAAGGCAAACATCTGCAACAAGTGCTGGCAGTTTATGACCATGGCGATCAAGGTGGTCGATGCCGCACTGAGGGAGGACTATGGGTTCCAGCACATCATGTGGGTGTACTCGGGACGAAGAGGTGCTCACGCGTGGGTGTGCGACAAGAAGGTCCGGTCAATGGACGACCAGAAGAGGAGGGCCATCGCTGGATACCTGGAGGTGGTCAAGGGCGGCGCACAGAGTGGGAAGAGGGTCAACCTGTGGCGGCCGCTGCACCCTCACCTTGCGTAAGTCACTACCCACCTTGAGAGGATGGTTCGAAACTCTGGGATTTCCCGCTGACAAGTTGTAGTCGAAGTCTTGATATCCTCAAGGAGCATTTCCAGCAAGATGTGCTAGAGTCACAAGACCCCTGGGACACCACAGAACGCGCCGAACGCCTTCTTGGGCTCCTCCCCGACCAAACGCTCAGAGACTCGCTCCGTAGCAAATGGGACGCAGCACCAGGACGGTCGTCCATGTCAAAATGGGCCGACATTGACGCCATTTTCAAGAGCGGTGCCGCCAGTAAGAAGTTCGACGGAAAGGCGCTACTCGAAGCCAAGCAGGACATCGTCCTCGAGTACACATATCCTCGTCTCGATATTGAGGTCAGCAAGAAGCTGAACCATTTGCTCAAAAGTCCGTTTGTCGTGCACCCCGGCACCGGCCGCGTGTGTGTGCCGATCGACCTCAAGGCACTGGAGGATTTTGACCCGTTGGAAGTGCCCACGGTGCAAGGTCTGCTGGCGGAGATTGACGCCTACCAAGGGGCTGAGGGCGAAGAGGAGAAGAAGGGCGTCGCGGACTGGGAGAAGACGAGCCTGAAGCCGTACATTGACCAGTTCAGGTTATTCGTCAACGGCATCATGAAGGATGAAAAGGCAACGGCTGTCAAGAGGGAGAGAGAGGATGAGTCGATGGAATTCTGATCTTATGACCTTGTACGAGGACGGACAATGACATGTTGGGTAACAGGCGTAACCTGGCGTTTGATTGATAGATTATCATGCTTGAGCCTCTGGGACGGATGCTTCATCCGGAGCCTCTGCCATAGGCTCAGCGTGCTCAGGAGCATGCTCTGTTGACACACCACCGTCGTCTCTCTCTTCGTCTTCACTGTCTCTGTCATCCTCTACCTCCTCACTCTCCCCCGGCTTCCTCTTCAGCACGCCACCCTTGCGTTTGGGGATGACGGCCTCGAACGCCTTGCCCCAGTCGTCAAACTCCATCCACTTGAGCATGATCTCTACGACATGGTTCGTCGTCAGGACCTGTCGCGTCTGCATAGCCATGAACTCGCCAATAGGCAGGCGTGCCGTCCGGATGCCCTTGGCGCGGGCCCTCTTGTAGCACAACCCCTTTTCTCGATTCTTATCCACCAGTCCACCGACAATGTAGCTCTTGTGCGGTTCGAGTCTGTGTAGCGTGTACGGCGAGTCTGATGTCAGGTACACAATGTCCTTGAGCTCTTCCGCCGGCTCAGGTTCAGGATCCGGCATAGGGATGGGGTCCTTCTCGTCCCTTTCCCACTTGACTTCTTCGTCAACACTCCTCTGCAACGAGGGGCACAGCTCGCCGCCATCTTCCTTGCTCTTCATCTTCTCTTTCGCGAGGAGACTGGCGGCCACAAAGTCGCCCTCGCAAAAGCCGACACCTTTCCAGTTCTTATGGCTATTGTTCAGCACTGTCTCGAACCGCTCCACCAGTTTCCCGTTCCATCCTGCCATCCAGAGCCAGGACCGGTAGCGCGCATTGCGGTTGTCCGAGTAACATCGCGTCACCTGGCTGCTCAGCGAGATGCGTTCCTTGTCCGTCATGTACTGCTCAAAGTCGCAGTCCACGATAATTGATAGGGGGACGAGCGTCGACGGCCTCTTGCTGGGATACACGACGGATCGATCTACGCCGGAAGCCAGGAGCGCAGAACGTTCTTCGCGCTGCCGGATTTTGGTGGCTTTCCGTTTCTCCTTGCGTTTTGCGCGACGATCATCCGCGGCAGCTTCCCACTCTTGGGCTTTTCTGAGCCGCTTCTGGGCATTTTTGGAAAGAGGTGGCTGTTCTTGTGCTGGAGCTGGTGCTGGCGCTTCAGAGGTGCTGATGGTGTTCTCAGACGCCTGCGCTGCAGGTTCTGAGGAGCTCATGGTGCTCTGCTCGATCAAGTACTCGCGAAAAATGGATTCAAATTACCGTGTGCTTTTATCCATGTACAACCATCAATTCAAAACATGTGGCACTGTGGAATTCTTCAGTCACCCAAACATCTCAGTGAAGCTTTTGGTGATGCTCAAAATGGCCCACAAGCTTGAGGACCCACTATTTGCAGCTACAGCTCAGCCACCAATCAAAACCGCTCAATTGCTGACTGGTCACATGACCAGCTCGACGCCAAAGATTGTGCTCAACGACGACATGAAACCTCTCCCTCCTCCTCCTCCCCGATTCCAATTGAACTTTGGCCCTCCCTCCTCCACCACAACCACAATGTCGGATGAGACCCCGCCGCCGAGCTACGAGCGCGATAACAGTCGCAGCCCCAAGGCGCACGTTGAGGGGCACGGGGCCGGCAAGCCCTACAAGCCGCACGATGTCATCACCGAGACGACCCAGGCGGCTATTGTCAGTTTCGTCGCGGCGTCCTTCCTCGCCGGCCTGAAGAACTCCTTTTCGAAGCAGAACCTCGGCGTAACAGGTGTTCTCACGGCCCAGGCGCCCATTCTGGGGTTAGTCAGTACGTCATCGCCGTCGTCGCGAGGTGCAATGGGGGTGGGGAGCAAGAGAGCGAGGTTGCTAACGCGAGACAGCTGCCGCGCCCACGACGTACATGTTCGTACGCGGCGCGACCAACAACCTCATCGGACGTGAGGATGCGTGGGGATCTACGGCCGGTGGTTTCGCTGCCGGAGCCATCCTCGGCCTACCATGTACGTGAAAAATACCGCGACCTGGCATACACCTGCTAACCTCTACTTCGCGCAGCAAAACGCATGCCTGTCGTTTTGGGCCTGGGCGCCGCCGTCGGTCTCTCCCAGGGCTTGTTCACCCTGTTCGGTGACCGTCTTGGCTCCTTCAAGGAGGAGAACGACGAGTTCGAGCGCAAAGAGACCATCAGGCGGACGACGCGTATCCCGGTGGAGCAGACCATCCGGGAGGTCGGTGAGGGGCGAGGTATGTTTTTTCTTCTCTACTCTCTTCTCGTCCGCCTATCTCTTTTGTATCAACCGGGACTGACACGTGTAGGAATCCGCGGCCCTGGCTACGAGGAGCGCAGGCGAGAGCGCCTCAAGGAGAAGTTCGGCGTCGAGATCAACCCAGTCCGCGCCACCGTCGACGGCAGCGAGTAGAGACTTCCTCCGATCCGCTCGATCTGTACATACCTACTACTTTCCCATTGTGTTGTTGGGGCGACAAGAATTCTATACCAAGAATCGGAGTTTTCTGTTTTTTTGTTCAGCCCCGTGTGCTTTGCTCGGCTTTTGTGTGCACAATGTGCAACAGAGCAGCAATAGCCGCGTCGATCTGAAAGGTACGTTGTGACTCGTTTCTTCCTTCACTACCACGCACTTCCCCCACGTCCTATATGATGATAAATCAGAGGCTGTTTATGATTATGATGATTAAACAACATCTTATTCTATCTACAATTCTATCTTACTTTCTGATCTTGGACACACAATCACAATGGCAGTTTGGCACACACTTTCTGGAACCTATGCTAACTTCACTGTCACATCAGGCTTGTGTAGTTCATCAATCAATTGCAAATCAATGCCCAGCAAATCTAGTTCCACAGATATCGCCCCAACGCCGTGACCGTGACCAAAAATATGATACATACACCTGATCTACAATGCTTTGACCGACTGGAAGAACGGATTGGCCAACAACTTCTCATCGGCACCAACCAACTCCTTCAGCTTTGCCACTTGTTCCTCGCGACTCATGTCCGCACCGCCCGCCTCCACAGCCTCCTTCCACTGCTTCAGCACGGTCTTGAGCATGGCGCTACCTTCTTCGACGTCCGTCTTGCTGTAACTGAGGGCGTGATCCTCGTGCTTTGTCGTAAAGTCTTCCAGCTCGTCGGCCTTGCGTTTCGCCATGCGGACGACTTTATCCGGAAAGCGCACCAGCTCAGCGACGTGGATGCCAAAGCTCTGGTCGCACACGCCGGGTTCCACCTTGTACAGCAGTGTAACTTCCCGCTTGGCGTTCTCGCCGTCTCCTGACCCGCTAATGTGCGCTGTGACGTGAAGATTAGCGACTTGCGGATGCTGTTCCGCCAGGGCGGTAAGCTCGTGAAAGTGCGTCGCAAACAGGGCGAAACAGCGAATCTCCTTGACAATGTGCTCCGAGATGGCCCATGCAAGACCAAAGCCGTCATATGTCGACGTACCGCGGCCAAGCTCGTCAATAATGATCAATGACTCGGCGGTAGCTGACTTGAGAATATTCGCCGTCTCCAGCATTTCAGCCATAAAGGTGGATACGCCCTTGAGTTGGGAGTCGCTGGCGCCGACACGTGCCAGGATCGAGTCGAAGATGGTGAGCTCGGCTGAGGAGCAGGGGACGAAGCAGCCGATCTGAGCCATCAACGCGATCACGCCCACTTGTCTGATGTACGTAGACTTGCCACCCATGTTGGGTCCAGTGATGACTAGGAAGGACGACTCATCCCTTGTCAAGGTGATGTCGTTGGTGATGAACTGCACATCGTCCTGGAGCTCCATGCACGGATGGCGTGCCTCTAGGAGGACAGTCTTGCCCTCACCGCGGGGATGGATTGTCGGGCGAACGTAGGCCTCTGGCGCGTGGACTGACGCATGCGCCAGCGACACGATCACGTCAAGATGGGCTAGCACGCCAGCTAGACGCTCGAACACGGGGCAGTATGACTTGGCGACATTAACCACCTCGGCGACAAGGCTGCTCTGTGTGCGGTTGTAATTTTGCGACAGCTGGTCGTATTCTCGGCGGATGGCTTGCAGTTTCTTTGTCGTGAAGTAGACGCCGTTTTTCTGCGTGGAGCATTCTTGGTATGCTGACTTGTTGCGGATACAGCCAGCTTCCTGCCTCGTCAATCGCATGCAAACGCCGTGGACCTTGTGGTTCATCTCGAGAAAGATCTTCTTGTCGGCTTCTTGATTCAAGTCGTCAGCAGCCGCACGGAACTCGTTGCGGATGTCACGGTCGAGCTGGTCCAGCTTCTTGCGAATGATTCGAAGACTCGGGTCGTACTCAGACTTGATGATGTACTCATGGCGGTCAAGGGCGTCGAGATCAACGGTCTGCTCAACCATGTCCTGCATTTTGCCAAGACTATTGGACAATTGGCGGAGTTTGGTAGTGTAGGCAATGTCAATGGGGTCGCGGTAGGCTTCATCCATGACGCCCTCGAATGTGCCGATGAACCCTGGTAGACGGATGATGACTTGGTAGGCGCGGACAACGTCCTCCAAAGAGGCCTTGCCACGCTGGAAGCGCTTCGATAACCGGTAGAGATCGGGCACTGACCGTAGGTGCTCTTCTTGCATGGTCTGTCGCAACTCAGTGTCGTCACAAAAGGCCTGTACGAGCTGCTGGCGTTTTTCGATTTCCTCCTTTGACATGAGCGGCTGCTTCAGCCATTGAGCTAATAGCCTGCTGCCAACTGGCGTCTTGCAATGGTTGAGCACACCGTATATACTCATGGTCTTGGACCCGTCGCGCGGGCCGGGCATGAGGTTCAACGCCTTGAGCGCAGCCGCGTCAAGCTTCATGAACTGTGTGAGGTCGTGCTGGTAGAGCTGATATTGTCCAAAGTTGGACACGTCTTGCAACACGCTCAGGTATTTGATGAGTGCTGCTGCCGAGCCCATGGCCAGCTTCAGATCGGTCTGCGGGAGGAGGGCGGCGCTCCGCTCGTCCTTCAAGAGGCGCGCCAGATCTTGTTCGATATCTCGGGTTCCAAAGTCGCCTGCGGGCCGGTGCGCCACAGCCACTCCGCAGCTCGTGATGATCTGCTCCAGCTTGGCCAGCTCGGGGTCCTTGTCCCTCTCGGCTCTATCGAGCTGGATCAAACACTCACGCACGCCCAGTTGGATCAGCAATGCCTCAAAGTTGGAGTACAAGTCGTTGTCGAGGAACTCGCTGACACCAAGCTCTCGCACGCTGGCGTCGGCAAAGCAGACTCCGACGTTGCGAGCCTCTGACGCCTTGGCTGTGATCTTGACCGCCATGATCATGGGTGCCGACTCGATTTGTCCGCCCAGGTCGTCCTCCACGTCCTGGACGTTGCCCGGTGACGCCTTCTTGACGCATTTCCAATTCATGCGACCACTTGAGCTTTCCCATATTTCGACTCGCTTCCCCAGTTTCAAGAGTGCTTCGCGGAGGAACTGTCGGAAAACGGTGACTGTCATAGAGACGGATGGGAGGCCGGTGTGATCGTTTCTGCCGAGCTGTCGCACGACTGACGTAGTTTTGTAGACCTGGGAGTTTTAGAGGGAGGGAGGCTATGGTACATATTCGGGTGTCCTACCGTGTTCGCGATGAAAGTCGCATCGTCACCATGGGAGGTGTACCAGTCACCGCGGTCGAATATCCTGATGACATCGTCGTCGACAGCTGGGAGGGATTTGTAGAAGCGGATAAAGCCGCCTTCGTCTTCGAGCTTCAGCTCGGGTCTCGACGTCATGATGCGTGGTCACAAGAAAAGGAGAGAAGTTCAACGCTCAGGTCGCCGTCAGCTGCATTTGGGAGCCAGAGTGGTCGTCGACGATGGTAGGGATTGGGGTCGTAAAGTTGGACCCCACGCGCCGCAGACGCGTTTCCCATTAAACTCCACGCGCACGCGCGGCAGGCACGCGACGGCACAGGGTAGGCAAAACACGTAATTGACCGGTTGAATTTGAGCTACCCTACGCCTCCGCACGAGCAATCTCGAATTGAATGCAGTTAGGGCCATCACCATGAACCGGTGCAACGACGTTTCCGGGGACAGTACGCTAGCTCGGAAATTTGCTTACTGTAGCGTCAAACGGACATTAAAATAAATAAAAATGACGATGTGATAATTGGTATCCGTACGTCGTTCACGTTTTGCTCGCATGAACACCGACTCGAATCGTTCGTGTGGATCTGTTTAAGCATATCTGTGTGCGCACCAATCATTGTGCAGACAAGCTACAGAACTAACGAGATACGGATTGGCTGCCCGCCCAAAATATGGTTATTCCAACATGCGGGAGGGGCAGCTTCCTATGCGGGTAATACTCGATCCATCGCCAGCTGGCGGTCGAACCAACATCATCCTCAGCATCCTGCGGGACACCTTGATGTTCGGATCTTTCGTCAGCGGCACCACTTTATACAGAAGCGAACAATGAATCCTCGGGCTTGCCATGAGAATTCGTTACAAATTCTTCGCAGCAAGAGTCCACCATGCGCTGTTTAAAGACGTTGCGTCCCCTGCCTTTCTCTCCAGCTGCGTGGGGGGCTGGGCTCAGACATTGACCATCAAGGTCCTCACCACCAAAATCCCAGGATGTGCTCATAGTAACAGCATCGGCAAGGCGCCCATCAAGGTGCACTCCTCGCCCCCTTCCACTTCTTGGCAGCAAAAGTCTTACGAACGAAGAACCACGACTCGGTATTCCACGCATTGTGGCGAGCAGAGAAAAGAAGCTTACTCGGTCGTCTTCCTTGCTGCTTGCTGTATCCACATGGTTGCGCCGTAATGCACTACTGATTTATGGTTACTATTAAACTTTACTTACTCTCCGCATCGCGCAACCTTACGACGACACGACTCAGCTCGCTCGTACCCTCAGCTTCACCATATCTTTGAGTCTCAGTGGTGGTTCGACTCGTCGTCTACCGCTTTACCATTCCGATCCGACTTGCCAGTACCGTCTATCTTTGTGTGCGCCACCAAGATACCCATTGACTTTGCCGGAAAGCCGATCATTGGACCGCTCTCGCTCGGGTCTGAAAACTCATCTTAGACCCTTGAAGATGCTTCCAAGATCACTCCTGGCCTTGGGCCTATACAGTGGCCTCGCCGCCGCTCTCGAAAGTCCTCAGCCAACACAGGCGCCAGCCTACCCTCCGGTGCACAGGAGACAGAACGACGACGTGAAGTCCATCACAGACTGCCACTTGCACGGGAGCGCCTTGTACTGCATTGCCGGCAGCGCCGAGTACTCGGTATCGTACAGCGCGACCCAGACCACCGACCTGCCCTCACAGTTCACCGACTGCCACTCCCACGACAGTGACTTGTACGTCCAGTTCCTGACCTCTCCTTACTTTTGCTCACATCTTCAGCTACTGTGTTGACGAAAATGGTGACGACGTCGCGGCCACCGGCGAGGGCGGTCACGAGGAAGAGGCCGATCATACCGAAGAAGAAGAAGAGGGATCCAGCCACGAAGGCCAGGACTGTCATTTCCATGCCGGCATCGAGTGAGATTTCCCCCCTCTCGGACGCTACGAGAAGAATGGCTAACATGTTACAGACACTGCGTCGGCGACGACGAATCGGAAGAATCGACAGAAACGGAATCCGAGGATGGCGGCCAGCAGCATTGCCACTTCCACGCTGGCGTCGAGTGAGTCCTCACACAGATCACGCAGCCCAAACCCTCCGAACTGACCAAAATGTGAATAGACACTGCGTAGGAGAGGGCGAGTCAGAAAATGGAGGCGAATCAGCGGCCGCTGGAGGCAGCAGCAGCAGCAGTAGCTCCGAATGCTCAGCAACACCACGAGAGTACAACGTCGGCCTGCGTGTCGGTCTCCTCTTCGCCATTCTCGCTACCAGCGCCCTGGGTGTCTTTGGGCCGATCCTGCTGCAGCGGTACATGCCACGCAAGCTGAACCTGCTGTTCGTCCTGCTGAAGCAGTTCGGAACGGGTATCATCATCTCGACGGCATTTGTCCACGTAAGTGAAGCCGGGCGATCGCGGCTATTGTTGTCTTGGCTAATCTCCAACAGCTGTACACCCACGCGACTCTCATGTTTTCGCAGCCCTGCGTTGGCGCCCTCGGGTACGAGGGCACCACGTCCGCACTGGTCATGGCGGGTATTTTCCTCTCATTCCTCGTCGAGTGGATCGGCAACCGCGTCGTTCTTGCGAAGATCAAGTCCGAGGCTGCTCTCACCGCCAAGGAGCGATCGCGGGCCATGCTCAGCAGCGAAGTCGTCAGCGTTCTGGTCATGGAAGCTGGTATTCTCTTCCACTCCTTGCGTAAGTGCTTTGGTCGTACCGTGTCTCTATATTCTCAAGAAACTAACCCGGTCTAGTGATTGGTCTCACCCTCGTGGTCGCGGGCGATAGCTACTTCCTCACCCTCTTCATTGTCATCGTCTTCCACCAGATCTTCGAGGGCCTTGCCCTGGGCACCCGGATTGGTGCTCTGGGCACTGGCCAGCACATCCACACGCACGGGCTGCCAGATCCCGCCACCGACTCGGAAGGCAACAAGACCGCCGAGACGCTGCCCATTGCGAGCTCGTCGTCGTCGTCTTCCAGCATCGTTGCCAGTGTTTCCCTGAGGAAGAAGCTCATTCTTGCTTCGCTATTCGCCTTCATTACCCCGATCGGTATGGCGATCGGTATCGGTGTTCTCAACCAGTTCAACGGCCGCGACAAGTCGACTCTCATCGCCATTGGTACCCTTGATGCCGTCTCCGCGGGTATCCTTGTCTGGGTTGGCTGCGTGGAGATGTGGTCCGCTGACTGGATGACCGGTGCTCACGGCAAGCAGGCGGAGCTGGCCAACGCCGACTGGATTACCACTAGCGTTGCCTTCTTTGGCCTCATCGCTGGCATGGTTGTCATGAGCGTTCTCGGCAAGTGGGCATGAGCGAGCTCAGCATTCAAAAGAAAAGTCTTTCCTCAAGATACCCCAGAGTACGTCGGAGAAGTACTATACAAAAGACGGCGCGGGAAACACGCTGCAGATGAAAGGGGAGGACGACATGTATGTTTCCAAGATACCAACGTTTTGCATGAGCATTTTCGACAATCGAGCATTTGGTGCCCAGGTGAGCTGGGCCTGGTATAGAATAGGGATTTCATACATGATCAATGACTCATTCCAAATTTGGTTCCGTTAATTAGTTGCTTATCAACACGATCTCTACGACCCTTGACATGAGCAATGTGAAAGGGTTGATCCCTGCATATTCTATCGTCTCCTTGCGTCGATTTTCAAATCGCCCGGAACACATCTACTAATAGGTCCTCTTCATCAAACGTGTTGCATTGGTGGACGTGTTGGTATGCGGGAGAACCTCAAAAGGGGTACGCAGCACATCCCAGTGATCAGATATGTTCGGGTTGCCGTATGGTCGAAGTGCAGCAAAGCGCATCCTGTACACACCAGTCAGCATTATGTCACGTTATGAAAAGAACAAGAGGAGAGTTGCGTACGTGTAGTTGCCCGGCTGTATGTAGCTCCCGTTCGCGAGCTTGCCGAACCACCAGTAGCTTCCTTGGCCCCTGGGCGCCCGCGTGATGGGAAAGGCAACAGTGTCGTCCTTGTCCATGGTATTTGGGTCAAAGTACCAGTACAGTTCGGCGTCGCGGAAGCTGGTGGCCGACCCAATGTAGCCGCCGAGGCCAGGCGTCGTGGGCAGCACCCAGTTGGCCTCGTCCCAGTAGCGGGTGAAGATGTCCCATCGGAGGTGGAAGCAAGCGTACCGGAGGCGAGAGCCTAGCTCGGCATAGTCCAGAGGGTCGGACTCAATGTCAAAGGCCCATCTGGCTCTTTCGGGATCGCTGGAGAGATAGGGCACCGTGGAGAACATGGTGTCAAACTCCTTTTCTGTGTCGTACGCGGCACCTCCATAGGGGATAGAGACGCGCTCTCCATTGTCGCCATTGATGTGCACTTTGCCACCGTACATGGGAAGCAGATCGTCGTCGACGTCTGGCAGCACAAATGAGAACTCGACATCCTTGGTCTGGCCTGGACGCAGGACGACAGGCTTGGGGAGGGTGACATTGGGCACAATCGTCATGGGCTGTATCTCGAACAGCGACTTGATGCCATAGTATGTATCGAGCATTTCGAATCCTTCTTGCGGCTCTAACTCAAAGTCATAGGTTACCGTTCGGTTGCCGTTGTTCGTGATTGTCGCCGACCAGTCGGCTTGGAATGACTCCGTGTCCAGGAGTGCAAAGGGTTTGCTGGTGACCTGTGTCGCGTAGTGAAGAACCTTCCAGGCATCAACGAGACCGCTCCCGACTTGGAAAGGGGGCGCAGTCTTGTTCAGTTGGATGTCAGCCGCACTCCAGGCTACACTGCGCCCACTGGTAGCGATACGATCAACCACAGTCTTGGCGATGCCAGGGCCGTTGTAGGAACGCCCACCATGATGACCGAGATACAATGCCGCAACACCAGCAATGTAGGGGGCCGCCATGGAAGTGCCGCTCATCTCCTCGTACTGCTGGTTCGGTACGGTGCTGACCACATTGACACCAGGGGCGCCAATCTCGGGCTTGAGATGAAGCTCATTCGTCGGACCCCATGAGGTAAAGTACGCAGCGACGGGCTTGGAATCGGCAAACGTCGCATTGGGCATGCCCGTGACGTTGACCGCTGCGATGGACAGAACACCGTCCCCATTCGACCCGCTGCTTGAGTAAAAGGGACCCTCGGAGCCTTCGTTGCCGGCAGAGATGGTCACGACGACACCCTTCTCGACAAGACGAGACGCCACCACGGCCCATGGATTGTCGGTGAAGCCATTGGGGCTTCCAATGCTGGCTGTGATAACATCGGCCTGGGAGAGTCAGAACGCTCTTGTCACTTGTGGATACTGACGTACACCGGCACCATACGCATCGCAAAACGCCTGAATCAAGACTTCCTCGCTTGTGTCTACTGCATTCTGATCATGTTAACAGGTAGCCCCTCGATGCAAGTAGAACACTCACGTCTGCAAAGACCTTGTAGATCAGCAGCTCAACATCTGGAGCCACTCCAGTCAGCCAGTCGTTGTCGGCGGCGATGATACCAGCGACATGGGTTCCATGTCCATAAAAGTCCATAGGGTCGTTGTCGGGGTGTTTGGGGAACTTGTCCTCGTCCTGGTTGCTCCATTTCGTGCCCACGAGGTCGTAGCCGCCGGCAACCTTGCACCCCGGGCCAAAGCATCCCCCCAGCTGTTTAGGTTAGCTGTGTTGCTCAGAGTCGTGTTCGGGAACGTACTGCTTCATGCGTGTAATCGATACCGGTGTCGATGACTGCGACCTTGACCCCCTGACCGCGGATACCTTGTGCATGAAGCTTGTCGACGCCAGTCCACTGATGCATAGAATAGTTCGTGCCCACCGTGTCGGGGGAGACTGATCTCCTCTTGGCGATAGGCGCCAGAGGAACAGACCTCATCGGCCAGACATTGGCCACGCCGGGCATGCTGCGCAGGGTGTCTTCATTCTCAGAGTGTGTCTCGATCGAGAACCCAGAGAATATGTCGCTGCAGTCAAACTCTTTGTAGTAGCTATTGATGGGACTGGATTCGGACCTGGGATCCAACTGCTGCAGCATGACGCCTGGCCGCGTGCCCTGACAATGTCAACTCTGGCCTGGACAGTCACTGTCGTTACTCACCTTCTCGGTCTCGATGATGTACTTGCTTGTCTGGCCGTGCTCAGTGCGGTCTTCCGGCTGCTTGAGTACGCTACCGCGAGTAATATGGCTCTTTGGCACATTGCAATGCGCGCCAGCCATGAGGCTCAACACCGCCAGAAGCTGTGAAATCCGCATCTTCATGTGAGGTTAGCGACAACAAGGGTAGTGAGAAACGAGTGACACGCCAATGTTCTCTTTGAGCTCCTTTGAGAGCAACAACAGAGTAACAGGTGACAGTTGTTGTTGTCTACGCTCCGTGAGCAAATTCTGCCTTGAGGAAACGAGACGAAGAATCAGGGCCAGGAGAGCCATGCCTGCCTACGAAGTAAGGGCTAACACGTGACCCCCCATGGGTGACACAACACTGTTATTTGTGTGACCTATTTCTCAGAGCCATGTGCTTGGTCAATTTGTTGGCGGATGAGTGCGGACGTTTCGTCCAGATGTATGCGGCTGTGCGTTGGGCAAGACATGGGATGTCGGCCCCTGAGCACAACACAACACAACACAACACAACACAGCAGAGCGTGAAATGACAATAATCCAAACGCAAAGTGAGCTCGGAACCGCTATGAGAAAACTTTGAGCCGAAGAACCGCGATTCGGCTCCTGTCACACATTGTACCTCCTGCTGGCCGCTGGGACTTCACCAGCTGCACTCGCACAGTCCATCTGCCAGGTGCATATCGAGAATCGACTCGAGCACAAAGATCCACACGAATGCACGAGCCCGACGCAGGGCCGCAGAGATCTGCAAGAGGATCGACCATCTACAGCGGTTGTCCTGGACCGCAGCATCTGGGTGAACTTCAGAGGAGCCCGCCTGGACAATGGCTGTTTGTATAGCTTCACTTGGCAGCCTGACAGCGAGAGTGGCCCACGTCTCACACGGGGCCGGCGCACTCGCCTAAGGAATAGAAGCAGTAGTGACGCTTGTATAGGGTCTCCGATGCAGGGCCCGATCTCGACATCTCCAAAGTTGCGTTAGCAAGACTGTCTTGTATCGCGAGAAGCGTATGGACTTGATGTGTGCGTCCGACGGTGCACGAGAATCAGTGGTAGTAGCACTTGCATGGCCTGTCCTCCATATCGCGCTACCATGCTGCTCTCGACTGGAGAAGGCGGCCGTGTTGTATATGTAGTGGCGAGATACATTCGACTTGCTGAGCATGCTGCGTCGACAGCCTGATGGATATCGATGAAACAGAGGCCCGATGTCGCGACGCAAAGACTGGAGTTGGTTCTTAGCCCACAGCCCTTTTGGTCCCAGTCGTGCCTGGCCATCCTCACTGCGCATTCGTGCGCACAACACAATTGTCCACACGACGGAGAGAGAATTGATGCCCGCCTCGTGGCTCTCGGCCGCTACCGAGGACAGACTGATGACTGCAGACGGAACGTTGTTCGCTGAGGCTTCGAGACTCGCAGGAATGAATGCACATCAATCATGAAACACGTGGAGGGTGGGTGGTGAGTGGATAGGGAGAATTCCCGGCCCCTGTCCAGGGCCACTGGGTTGCAGGAGGGGGCTTGTAGCAGCGAATCAGCGCGCCGGGGCCCTGACAGTGGCTTCAGTTTATTGTCGTGTGCCGAATTAATGAAGCAGATGGCTCTCCATCTGCTCGAAGTAAAGTTGTAATGCTCACTGGGAGAAAGAAATCATCACCCAACGGTGTTACTTTCTTACGCAGTGCAGTTCTTACAACTCTTCCAGAAAAAAAAAAGCCGCTTCGTGCTTAACAGGACGGACGACTGACTGCTGGCCCGTCTTCAATCAATTGAACTTGACCCCTGCGTCGTGTGGCAAAGGCGCTAAAGAAACGCTTCTGCAAGGCACGACGAATCGATGATTAGCTTGGGATCCTCTGGAAAGGTGCTGAGTCGTGTCTGCTGGCCGGTTTCCCGCTGTCGATTGTCAAGTCGGAACATGTCTCGGACAGACAGATCCAGGTTTTGGATTGTCTGAGGACCAGTCGTCAGCAGAGACAATCGCGGGGGCTACTGGACGTCACGAGTCACGACGACCGTCACTCACTCGCAGATCATCCCAGCGTGACCTCAATTAATCAAAGAAGCCAAGCCGCGCATGGAAGAACCGTGTCTGTGCTCCAGCCTTCAGCTGCTGGAGAACCCGCCCCAGCCAGCCAACCAACAGCCCCTGTCCTGTCCCCTCCGCTCCATGTCTCCAGTCTGCAGTGCATGGGCTTATCGACTGTCTCGACTCGCTCGACCTGCCGCTTCCTCGTCGCTCGCTGCTCCTCTCTTCCATTCAACAGCTCAACCCCCTGTTCCCTCCTCTCGCCTCTTTGATTGATTTCTGCTGGTCGAATTATCCGTATATCCCTACCACATCGCCACGCTCTCTCTGGTAGAACCGTCTGTCCTTCATTATACCGACTGCGCGACTTTGACGAGGAACAACGACCACTCCAAGATACCCGACACCCAGCCCCTGACGACCGCGAATATCCATCCGCCTCGACACACGCGCACCAAGACACTCATTACATACATCGCCAGCGACATCAACAAGCGAGAGCCTGCGTTGATCAATTGAATTGATTGTTTGACCATATCGACACCTGCACCACGCCCAGCCACCCTGCGAGCGACACAGCACAAACCACACAAGATGCCCTCCCTCCTCGACAAGCTCCAATCCAAGCTGGAGCTCCTCCGCCTCGAGAAGCGCTACACCCGGTCCCGGCACAGGCGCTCGCACTTTGTCTCCGGCGCCGTCTACGTCGACGGCGAGTACGTCTTCCAGACGCCCAACTCCACCGGCTCCTCCAAATCATCCTCCCACACCACCGTCACCGGCACCCCCGGCGCCGACGCCCTCCACGGCGACTACTACGCCCACAGCAGCAACAACAACAAGGCCTACGCCCGCGAGCCCGCCGTCGACGTCATCGCCGAGGAGGACCGCGCCGTCGAGGAGTTTCAGCGCAAGCGGATGAACCGCTTCAGCGCCATGCCCTCCATGTCCTCCCTCCGCCGCGAGACAGAGACCCCCGAGGAGACGCACCAGAGGAAGAAGCTGAACCGCTTCAGCAGCATCGCCGGTTTCGGGCGGGACTATGACGTGAACAACAAAGCGCTGCCTGCGCGTCCAAAGGAGAGCCGAAGGTTGAGCATGCTGCGTTGAGAAGCCCATCTTGGTTGTTCTCCGTTTCTTCTACAAGTACATATATTCAGCGCCTCTTTTCTTGTGCCAGGCAGGCACGCAGGATGGGAAGAACTCCCTTGGGCGCGGCAATTCCACGACCTGGGTGGCATTTGGTTTTCTGTCACCGGCGGCTTCATTCTACACGCACCTTTCACGACAGCTTCTTTGACACACGCTCAAGGAGCTTGCATGTTCATACGCTCTCTTAGACAGTACTTCACATAGGCATCATGCATATCTCATGACTTTTCAAAATCACGCGGACAAACGTTACATCGAGCTCCACGTATCTACGACGGCGTACGTGACAAGTTCGTCTCGGCTACTCAATGCTTCAAATCTCGCAAGATGACCGGATTGCAATTTCAAACACTACAGTATCCTAAAAGCCCATGCCAATTAGTATGCCCTTAACGCCGTGCAATGCTAACACTTGTACTCCTTTTACACCATTAAACCCTCATATGCCCGATCAAACGCCCTCCCTCCCATGCCAGGTACGTTTCGCAGCTGGGCCAGGCTCTCCACCTGCCCACCGTCCTCTGCGATCATGAGATTCAAATAATCAACCAGGGCCTCGGCCTTTTTCGCGCCAATGCCGACCAGAGTGCGTATCCTCTTCACATCGCGCGAGTTGATAATGTCCAGCAGCAGCCTACCCTCTTTCGACGGCTCCTGGGCGTCAAACACAGGTTGGGCGAGGACTCTTGTTCTGGGTCGGCGCATCTTGGCTTCCTGCTTCAGCACGATGGGACTGAAGGACTCCTCGTCCACATCAGCCTCACCATCCTCATATTCCGTGTCCTCATCCACCGTCACCTTGCGGCTTCGTGGCTTCCTCGGTGAACGCTTGACGGGGGATACCCGGGCGCCCAAGCCGAGTCGTGCGCGCAGCCGATCAATTTTCCCCAGAAGCTTGGCCTGGCCAGGAAAGTAGGGGAGCGCCATCTCGTATGACCTCAAGGCGGCCGCGTCATCTCCCTTTTCTTTGGCTTGGCGAGCGGCCAGAAGAAGGCGTAGACCCTCGGACTGGTTCTCGTCGCGCCACTCATCACTCTCAATCTTGCGCTCGAGCGCCTCAAGACGCTTCTGTACTGCTTCACTCAGGTCAGGCTGGGTCTGCACCTGCGGCTGTCGATCGGCAGCTGCCCTTGCGGCAAGGACCTCGCCAACCTTCTTCTCCACCATGGCTTCAATGTCGGCAGCCGAGACGGTCACCGACCCCGTTGTCTTGGGTGTCGACATCGTTTTCGACGTGGTTGTCGTGGTTGGTCGTGCCAGCTTGCTTGGACGAGCGGCGGGCTCATGATCCGAAGGGCGCTTCCCGGCCGAGGATCGCCTCACCTGGCTGGAGTTGGCGGCAGGCTTGGTCGCCAATGCCACTGTCACAGGCTTGCTCGCCTTGTCCGTGTACACCGCGAAGGCTTTCACCGGCTTATTGGCATCTTCCTTCTTGGCACCGGCCGCAGCAACGTTGTGTGCGTTGTGAGCATTGGCCAGCGGCTGCAGCGGCTGCCGCCTCGCAGCACCCGTCAAGCTGGAGACCTGCTTAGGGACTTGCTTGTAGACGACCTCGTTCTCAATCTCACGCACTTCGATGCGTTTCGCACGCGAGCTGACGTTCAAGCTACTCAAGGTGTCGAGGTGGTAGCTCCGCATGGGCGCCAGGTTTAGTATCATCACCGTGATACCGTGGTTCTGGCCCAGAGACAGAATGCGCGTCATCTTGCTCTCCCGGTATGGGATGCGTTTGTCGCCCCGCGAGATGGCCTCGATACACTGGCTCAGCACGAAGAGACTCTTGTTGATGGCAGCAGACTCGACCAGACGCTCTTTTCCGTTGTCGGTGCGTCGGTTGTCCTCGGACCCGGCCAGATCAATGGCGGACGCCGTGCTCTCACGGACGGTGTCGCCAGTGGTCTGGATGATCTTGACGCGCAAGATCGCGTGGGAGCGACTGCTGTGGGCGTTGAGCTTCGTGGAGGCGGTGACGCGGTTCTGGTTCGCCTCAATGTAGAGTTTCTCAAAGTCCTTCAGGTCCTCGCACGCACGCTCCGACAACCCAGCGACGACGGTCCTGCCGCTGGCCTCGGCGCGTAGTGGTAGGCCCGTCGCAGTTCGCTTCTCCGGCGGCTCGAGGAGGTCGAATACTTTGTCGTTGTAGATTTCGTAGTATGACAGGGCCACCTGCACGGTGGTCTCGCCGCCCGACTCCCTGGTGATCTTCTTGCCGCGTCGGAACACGCCTGATAGCAGACGCGGGATCACGCCGCGGTCGGCCAGTTTCAGTCCACCACGCATCGTGTGCGTTTTGCCCGTGCCGGTCACGCCATATGCGAAGAGTGTGACATCGTAACCTTGGAACAGTGCCTTGAGGTGAGGAGCCACTATAGATCCAAGGTCAATGGCAAGCTTCTACGCGTCAACGGCTCCGTCCTACCTTCAGCTGTAAAGAGAGCCTCCTGTGATGTCGACTGGTCATACACGGAGTTGAAGGCAAAGGAGAAGTCCTCAGAGTCGTTCTTCGGGTTCGGGATCTTGACAATCGTGTGAGGCCGGCCATTCTCGCCACCGTCGGCGCGGACAATGGTATCCTTGTCGGCCTCTTTCTCGAGCAAAGGGCGTATCCTCGCGACCACGCGAACCGACATGGTGATGTGCTGCTGGGTTAGTGTATAAAGGAGGGGGGCCGGGTCGGATCGTCGAAAATTGCCTAGCCAGGCACTGAGTGTGTGTGCGCCAGCGGATTCTAGACCGACAAGGTGGTGTTCCCAGTTCGGTCCAGATAATATTAGTAGGTGTGGAGGTTGGAGATCCCAGGACAATCTCAAGCAGTCAAGCGTGTCAGACTGGCATGGGTGTGTTGCCCAGCAACGATGGATAGCTCGCGAGTTAGCGCCACACGCCTGCGCCACATCGAGGCGCCGTGACGTTGGACGGCTTTTCCCGTCTCGATCTCGCGAAAAGGTCAGTTTGCGTTCAATTATCCATCGCTGCACACCATAGCGACATGATGCGAGGCCAATCGCAACTGGTCCGATCGACGCAAAGACTGCGACCTCAGTCAACCTCGCACAGCGTCTGTCGACAATGCCGCGCCATTCAGATCAGCGCAGCGCCGAGCAGCGAACCACGAGCTGGCGGGGATGCCTTTGGGACGACGCTCGAAAGCTCCCGCGATGCAGCTGGTAGGTTGTCCAGCATTTTGACTGAGGAAGCCATACTGACCAAGACAGACGCTCGCTTCGAAGTCCTCGGTTCCCCCTACTCGATGCTCTCGGTCACACTCTCCGCCTCGCAGAAGCTGTACACTCGACGAGGGACTCTGGTTGGCATGGCCGGCAAACCTGAGAACGTATGTCTACGAGAAGCAATACCAAGCCCAGTCTAGCTAACATACCTAGGCTCAATCGACGCTCTCTCTACTGAACCCTCTCTCGCGAGCTCCGTTTGGCGTTCCCTTTCTCTACCAAAAGATCTCGGCCACTACCCCCATCACCGCCCTCATCTCGACGAAATCACCGACGACAACCTTCCAAATTCTCCACCTCGATGGCACCACCGACTGGATGGTGTCGCAACGCAACTCCCTCCTCGCCTGGACAGGACACACCCTGACACTGTCCTCGCGCATCCAGCACAACCTCTCCATGGCCCACTGGGGAAGCACGTTCCTGACCGGCCGTGGTGTGGCAGCTCTCTCGGCCCCGGGCCAGGTCTACCAGCTCGACTTGGCCGAGGGTGAGGAGTTCGTGGCACACCCAGGCAGCGTGGTCGCCTACTCGATATCGCGCAACGCACCACAGCCCTTCCGCTTCAAGAGCTCAAGCCTGCGGCTGCAGGTCCCCTCGTTGACGAGGTGGCTGCCCGAATGGGAGTTGATGCGCACGATCCGCCAGTCTGCCGCTTACAAAACCATGGCGCGGATGTTCTACAGTCTCCGCACGGTGACACGGAGGACTATCTGGGGCGACAGGCTCTTTCTGCAGTTCAAGGGACCGACTCGTGTGATCATGTCGAGTCGGGGCGTCAGGGTGGCGGATGTGCTTTCGGACAAGCAGGTGAACGAGATTGCTGATGCGCCTGCTGGTGTCGCGCCTGCGGCCGTGGAGTTGGCGACGAAGCCCGAGGGCGAGGTGAAGCTCCCGGCGCCACAGACCACGCAGCAGGCGCCGAGTGCGATACGGGTTGCGGAGGTGCACAAGGACGGCAAGGTGACCTTTGAGGATAAGAAGGATCTCAAGGAGTTTGTATAAAAGTATGGCGGGTGTAGATGTACTGGTGTACAACACGTTTCTCCTCTGTTGTTATTGTTCTATAAACCCCCATGCATAGATCGGCACTATGACAGGAAGTAAAGGCTAAATGACGCCCAGACCATACAGATTGCATTGTCCTCTGGTGAGAAAGGTCATGTCTAAAAGAGGCCAACTCGAATATTGAATTTGGCTTTCCTGGTTTCTTTCACATGCCGCCAACCAGTGTATCAAGCGGGATCCCGGGTAGGTGGTAGTCAATGCCTTGGACAACCTACGGACCCCACATTGGCCGGACTTGACCTTGATCGACTCGTCCATTTCAAATTGGAATTCCCATCCCCTCTACTTCTCCTCTCCACCACCAGCTTCTTTAACAAGAAATAACAACAATTACAACCGCCAGCCACCGTTGAAAAACACTCAAAATGCCGAGTACCGACGGACTACGTGAGTTGCTCTCATCCTTGTCCTCTCCAATTAAGCCTGCTGACGCCCTCACTCACAGAGCCCCCGCTCCAGCCAGCCGAGCGTGAAATCGTCAAGTCCTATGGCGGCTGGTCAAGCTTCATGCACGCCTATGGCCTCAAGCCCCACGATCTGGATGACATTGACACGGCGCACAACATTGTGAAGCAAATGGCCGCCAGGTAGTCGCGGAGGACGGCATGAAAGGCTCGGATACGCGCGCCAGTGTAGTGTACGTACATCTCGCGATACAAACTAAGTCTATTCACACTTGTGATTCAAGATCCTAGCTCGTTCTAAAATCATTCGAGAATTCAATTGCCACCGCGAAAAATGTCTGTCCGCCAAATAAACGCTCGTGAATTCATGCTGTCGTTGATTCTCCTGCGCGGTCGCTCAGGGACGTCCAGTGTAGCTAACTCGCCGCGATGACGCTGAACCGAGAAGAGCCCCCATAACAAGCCCCCCTCCCAAATCCTGCATCGTTGGGAATAGTCAAGGTTAAGTGATGATGAGATTAAGCAATACGTGCCGCAATGGCAAACGAACCCCCTAGGATTCTCTTGTGTGTTCGCATTGCCGGTATGTCACATTCGTGGGCAGTGACAAGGCAGACAAGATGTTGGGGTGTCGAGAATCGGGCGGATGGACTTTGTGATGGCGCTCAATCTCGCTCTGCAGTTGCTGACATTTGTACGACTGCATCCAATGCGTTTCATCTCTTCAGCCTTCGGGGCACCAGAGTCTCTGTCGATGCGCAGCTGCCTTCAAGTCCTTCCAAGCTGTTCACTTTTGTCATAAAGTCGGCAGTGGTTCGCTTGAGATATCAACCGACTCCTTTGTATAAGATTATGCCTTTCCCAATTTCTGATCACGACCTCTGAGCCCTGTTGCGGTCCGACAGCGTGTGGCATCTGGACGTCTCGAGTACGGAGGTGCCGGTGCTCCGTTCTGTCCGGTCTCCGCTTTTGCCGGATGCCGGAGGGGCCTCCCCGGCCGGTGACAAGGTGGGGCAGACGGCCGAGACATCGAAGCTGGACATTGACACGGAAAGCGTACTTGAGTTACTGGTATCTCAGTGGGAGACTCACTGATGCCAATCTATGAAAGAGAGACGGGCCCATCGCCGCCACACATTGGCGAGTCTAATTGGCTTGTTCACCACCTGTGTACAATCGTAAGACACATGCCTAGGGAGTAGAGACGGGGACAGCCGGCACGCCAATACAAGAATTTGCCGGTGACGAGGGTGGGACAACCCGCCCTGCTGTTGACAGAGGTCCATATTCCCATGTTGTTCAAATTGGCGACATAGTTTAAGCATGCTTCTTGTCCAGTCAAGGGACGTGCCGAGAGCAACGCGCCTATTCCGCAGTGGGGCCAGAGCTCCGTGTCGTACGCCTTGGGGATGACAGGTCCGCCCCACTTCATAGTGCAATGTCATGGCAAGGCGCATCGCGAGATTCGGACGCGCAGAACGATGAAGCCGAGGACAAGCTGGCAACTATAAAGTCGGTGGCCAGGAGGATGGGTGTGTTAGCCTTACATCAAGCCACACGACACCAGCAATCCTACCACTTGAGACTCGGACACGATCCACCAAACACTAATACGCGGCATTCACTGTCCCAACATGGCCAAGAACACAGCCTCCATCACATACAGAAGTCATCGCCCCGGCGACATTGGCTACATCACGTACCGCCACGGCCTCATCTACCTGCAAGACCGAGGCTGGGGGTTCGAGGTGGAGAAGCTCGTGGCTCGCCTAGCCGCCGAGTTCCTCGAAAACTATGACCCAACAATGGAACGCTGCTGGGTAGCCGAAAACAAAGAAGGGTATCTGGGATCGGTGATGCTCATCAAAGATCAAGAGCAAGCCAACACAGCGAGAATCCGTCTACTCTTGGTGGAACCCAAGGCGAGAGGACTGGGGCTCGGGAGAAGTCTGGTGGAGCAAGCAATTGAGTTTGCGAGATCCAAGGGGTACAGCCGTGTCGTACTAAACACACAGAGTGTCCTCAAGCCGGCACGAAAGCTCTACCACTCGTGCGGGTTCAGGTTGACGAAAGGGCTGGGCGATGGGAGCTTCACGGCAGGGTCAGAGGGCGAGATCTGGGAGATGGCGTTGGAGGGGGAATCTGTGTGATTCACGTAGGCCTAGTGGTATCGTGAATTGATTTGAATTGACTTGAATCGAATTGAAGTGAAGATAGACCTAACAACGCTTTGACGAAAGGATGTTTGCGGACATTGCGCAGAACGAGTACGTCTTTGCGAGATGGTGCCGATTCATGCCAATGGAGGTGAACTAAAGGATCACAGTCAGGTTCGCTTCTAGCTTGCCTGGAAAGCATGCGGCCCCGTGAGTAAACATGTTCGTATCACAGTGAAAGAACAAAACTGACAAGGCTCCCTAGACCCTCCAAGTCATTGCTCCCTGGAGGATGCCTTCGTTCTTCAACCGCTTCGGGTGAGCTCCATCGCCCTAAGCTATCCCGAACTCCATCTGATCATCTCGCAGCGGCCGACAGAATCTCCTCAATTTCGCTTCGGAGAACAACATCCCTGTCTCGGTAAGGACCAGCACGAGCCATGCTGCGTCACTCCATCGTGCTGACACCTAGACAGATTCATCGGCCTCAAGTCCCGAGGCTGCTACGACTCTCCTGCTCTGACCGTGCTCCACCTCGCGCACGCGGATATCGAGGGCATGACTGTCGACTCCAAGGTCAGGTCGATCATGGCCTGGATCGGCAACGAGTGGTCGCAGTGCCTGTACAACGGTATGCTTGGCCTGCGAAGACTCCTCGAACTGAGATACTAACACACGAAGTAGACATGTACTTCTCTCCTGAGCGTGAGCTTCTCGGTACGTTTCTCCCCAGGCGAAACAAACTCTTTGCTAACATCCACTCCCAGAGAACTCCATCCTCTTCAGCCAGAAGCACGTCTCCGGCAAGGTCTACATGATGGTCTACAAGGGCGAGCCTCTGACCCGGGGCGCGTAGACACGTCATGGACGGACGTAGCGAGGAGACAGGCAGTAGCTGAAAATGAGAAAGGCTCTAATCATCTTCGTCATCGTCTGCTTTCCAGATGCCTACTCACTTGACCGCAGAAAACGCATCCAGTGCATCGTGCAATCGCCCAAACGTCCCGTCATGCCAGCTCCTCAGCGCCTCCCACTCATTCCCCGGCAGCGTAGCAGCCATCATGCGCAGCCAGCCGCCGACGATACAGTCCGCAAAGCACGCCCTGGTCCCCAGCAAAAACGGTCCGCTCTCATCCCTCCTGTACAGGACCGCCAGGCCACCCAGCATGCGCTCGAACGACGCCAGCGTCCGGACCCGCGCCTCGCTCGTCAGTAAAAGATCCTCCCAGGCGCGCACGCCCGCACGCCCCGTAAACACAGCCTTGCTCGCCTCCTCGGTCGCAGGGTCAAACGGGAACCCGTCCATAGCGAGCTGCACATGTAGCGTAAACGCCGCGTCGACGTGGACGTTGAACTGCGCATAGTCCTGAAAGTCACCCGGCCGGGCCTCGGTGAGGGGAATGAGGATCTCCGCGTCGGGGGGCACCGTGAAGTCCAGCGCCGCCGTGGGCTGGGGCGGGAACAGGTCACCCGCGCCCTCGTTCGGGTAGTGTTTCTGCAGGTAGACGGCAATGTCGAAGGAGTCGCCGACATAGTCACCCGTGGCCGGGTCGTACAGCAAGGGTAAGGTGTGAAAGTCGCTACCGTCGGCGAATTTGCGCACGGGAGGCACGGCGAGGCTGGTGCGGACCCGGGTGATGTCTGTCATGGGGGTCCATGTGGTGCCGTAGCGGACGGCCTTGAAGTTGAGCGCGAGGCGGGCTTTCCAGGGGTTGGGGGCGCAGCATGTCTTCTCGGCGGGGGGTCGAGTGGTGATGTCCCAGAAGCGGAGGGATTGTTCAGCTGTCATTCTGAGGTGGGAGGGGGGAGGATATTGCGTGTTGCTAGATGGATACTTGGTTGTGTGACCGTGTGAGTGTGATGGCGAGGAGCGCCGACTGGTATCGTGAGGGGATCATGGGGTGGGGAGTCTGGGGGCGGCTCTTGAAAGTGGCCTTTTCGCGTTCCAGCCTCACTGGCACACGCTCGTCTGTCCTGCATGTTGCTGGTGCATCGTGGATGGAACGTGAATGTGCGGTGGTTGGTCTTCCAGTCTGCTTGGCAAGTTGGCCTCGAGTACGACGTTGTGAATGGACTACCCTGGATGGAGCCCGGCCACCTACCCTGGAGCTTGGCTCACAATTCACGTCCGTCGCTGTTCTAAGCAGCGGTATTTTTGCGGTCATAAAAGTCGGGTTAGAAACCCAATAATCGGCGACGTTCCCGGGGCGGGCCCGGACTTCTCCTCTGCCGGTCATGACGGCGGGCATGATTTAGTCCGCGCATCTCCACCCCGGACGGACATCAACCCGCACACTGCCGACTCACTCAAATAGCTCATACCAAGTCTCCTTTTCTCTTATTGATGTTACCCATCGCTTGAGCATCATCATATAGAATCGTCCCAAAAACTAACAATGGGCGACGTACTCCTCATTGGCGACCTCAAGTTCGTCGACCCGGAGTGGTCATCCCTCTCCTCCGAACCAGGCGTATCAGCGCTCCACGAGTACCGCACCGGCAGTCGCGATGATTTCCTCAGCAAGCTGAGTTCAGGCACATATGGCAACATCGTCGCCCTCTACCGGTCCAACGACTCTACGAAGGTCACGGGGCCTTTTGACGAGGAGCTCATCTCCAAGCTACCCTCTTCGCTCCGGTACATCTGCCACAGCGGCGCAGGCTACGATAACATTGACGTGGCCGCCGCCACCCGGCGCGGCATCCAGGTCTCCAGCACCCCGCAGGCCGTCGACAATGCTACGGCTGACACAGCTGTGCTCTGTATGCTCGGTGCGCTGCGCCTCGCCAACGTTGGCATGGACATTCTCCGAAGGGGACGATGGGGACAAGAGCCGCTACCCACGGCACACGATCCGCAGGGAAAAGTTCTCGGCATTCTGGGCATGGGGAGCATAGGACGCAACTTTGCCGCCAAGGCACGGGCCTTTGGGATGACGATCCAGTATCACAACCGTTCGCGGCTGGCCCCCGAGGCAGAGGAGGGCGCGCGGTACGTGTCGTTCGAGGAGCTGCTGCGGACAAGTGACGTGCTGAGCCTGAACCTGAACCTGAGCAAGGCCACGGAGCATATCATCGGCAAGGACCAGCTGGCCATGATGAAGAAGGGCGTCACGATTGTCAACACGGCGCGGGGCAAGCTGATGGATGAGGCGGCGCTGGTGGAGGCTCTGAACGATGGTGATCGGATATGGAGCGTGGGGCTGGATGTGTTTGAGGAGGAGCCCAAGGTGCATCCGGGGCTGATTGACAATCCGCGCGTGTTCTTGCTTCCGCATATCGGCACGTTGACGTTTGAGACACGGGTACGTTGTCTTTTTTTCCCATTGCGAAGTGAGGACGGGGCTGACTGACGTGTGTAGCGCGCGATGGAAATGCTTGTCATCGACAATATTAAGTCTGCTCTGACGACTGGGAAACTCATCACACGCGTCAAGGAGCAGGATAATATGGATGGTGCCAAGTGAGGGTGCAGGCTCTGTACAGGCAAGCAATTTGTTCTGAGCCAGCATGGGTACTATACTGTACGAAGATGTGGTTTGTATTCCAGCATCGGGGGGCTGGTGTTTGATGTCACAAGCCGAGTCGGCAGCTGGAACATCTACTTTTTTCGGGTTTTGGTGTGTCTGTGGCAAGGGATCAGGCAAAGACTTACAGATCGTAATTCATTCGCTCCAAGTCTCAATGAGCATGGCGCAAGCTGTCCTGTCCTGACGGTAGAAAACGAAGAGGTGACGAGCCGAAGCTACCCATGAAATGGTAGCGCCTGCTTTGTCTGAGATTCCTCGCTCCTTCTTCTGCCCCTCCCCTGCGCCGATCCCCCAAAAGCAGGCGCACCTTCCTCCGCCCTCACGATTCTTGTGAATGAGGAATACGTGCACTTGGTTCCTTCCCAACTTACATGCACATCCTAGAACCTCATTTTCTGCATGTCTCTCCAAGATCACAAAACCATCTTCCAAGTTGCGAGAACATCACCACGCCATGACACAATTGAGCGGCCTTTTCTCCGCGCCTGTCGGTGATACCTCCGATGGGCGATCTCCCCGTCCCGCTTTCCCCACATTATCTCCGTAAACCGGGCCCGCGGGGTCGTGCTGCGTGCACTTGTACGGAGTAACGAGGACCGAGGCAGATCAGGACAGTAGGGCAGACCAATGTTCATCATTGTCGCTTTTTAAAACCAAAACATCGCAAGAGAGCTCTTCAACTGAAAATCACCAACTCCTCCTCCAGCCCACACAGACCATGAAGATCCTCATCACCGGCGCAGCCGGTTTCGTCGGCCAACTCCTCGCCAAGACACTTCTCAACGATCCCATGGGCCAACACACCCTCGTCCTCACAGACATTGTCGAGCCCCCGATCCCCGCGGGCGTCCAGCACCCCCAGAACGCGACATGTCTCAAGGCCGACCTGCTCACGCAGTCGGACGCCGTCGTCCGCAAGGACCTCGACGCCGTCTTCATCTTCCACGGGATCATGTCGTCCGGGTCCGAGGCGGACTTTGACCTCGGCATGCGTGTCAACTTTGACGCGACGCGGAATCTGCTCGAGACACTGAGGACAGTCTGCCCCGGCGTCAAGGTCCTGTACACCTCCTCGCAGGCCGTATACGGTGGACCGGTCCCGACACCTGTGTCCGAGGCGGTGCGGGCCACGCCAGAGTCGTCGTACGGCTGCGCCAAGATGATGTGTGAATACCTCATCACCGAGTACCATCGCCGGCAGTTTGTCGACGCGCTGATCTTTAGGTTGCCGACAATCTCGGTACGACCGGGGAAGCCTACTGCCGCGGCGAGCTCGTTTCTCAGCGGTATGATCAGAGAGCCCATGCAGGGGATCGAATGTGTCATCCCCGTCAAGAACCGGTCGTACGAGCACAGGCTATGCTCGCCGGGCACGCTGGTCGGGAATCTGGTGCACTCGCTGTCTCTGCATAGGCACGTCCTGCCCGAGTTTGATAGAGTCATGACGCTGCCGGGCATCACCGTCACCGTGCAGGACATGATGGACTCGTTGGCCAGGGTGGGCGGGGAGAACAAGCTGAAGCTCTTGAGAGAGGAGGAGGACGAGGCGCTGAAGAAGATTCTGTACTCGTGGCCGGCGGAATTTGACTCGAGCAGGGCGCTCGGGCTTGGCTTCAAGGCGCCGGGGTCCATGGACGACATTGTTCGCGAGTTCAAGGCGTACCTAGCGCAGTAAATTGTCTACAAGATCTTCAATCACAGGGGTATTATCTTCGACCCATGCACATCCCGCAAGTGAACATGATCAACGCCATTTATTCTCTCATCTGCACCACTACGCCTTGCCCGCCGACCCCATCCACCGCATGAGCTTCTCCATGACCACCTGCATCGCGCTCGTCGCCTCCTCGAGCAACGTCGTGAGCGGCACCTTGTCCGCCTTCTCCCTCATGACCCGCGTAAACTCGACATTAAAGGCATCATTCACATTCGCCTTGCGCATACCATTCTTAACGCACTCGCGGTAAATCTCCTCCGTGAACGCCTCGCCGCTGGCGCCGTGCAGCACCAGGTTGACGCCGCGCTTGCTCGTGGCCGCAAAGATGGACGCCAGGCGCGGATAGTCGAGCTGCGGCCCCTTGGGCCCGTACTTGCCGTGGACGTTGCCGAACGCCGGGGCGAGCCAGTCGATGCCCAGGTCCATAAACTCTTCAGCCTGCTCGGGGGTGGTGAGGATGCCCTCGAGCTCGCCCGTGTCCATGACGCCGTCCTCGCCGCCGTTGATGCGACCCGGCTCGGCCTCGCTGATGATACCCCGCTCGTGGAGGTACCCGACCAACTCCTTGGTGAGGCGCATATTGTCCTCCTTTTCGTAGTGGCTCATGTCAACCATGATGCCGTCGAAGCCGCCCAGGTCCGCGGCGCGGCGGATGATCTCGGGGCTCTGGGCGTGGTCCATGTGCACGGCGACGGGGACGGACGCCTTGTCGGCGGCCTCGCGCGCCGCGTGGAGGAGGAGTCCGTCGGCGTACTCAATCGCCCAGGGGAATAGCTGGATGATGACGGGCGAGCGCTGCGCCTCGGCGGCCCGCACGGACGCGATGATGCCTTCGATGTTGTAGCAGCATGTGCCCATGACGGCGTAGCCGCCTGCCGCTGCGGCGTCGATGATCTCGAGGGCTCTGTTCTTGGGCATCTTGGAGGTTGCTGGGGAGTGGACGATTAATGTGAAAAGCAAAGAGATGTAAACTTGATGGAGAAAAAGAATATGAGCGAGAACTGATTATGAGAGCACTCGTGAATATGTCGTCAGTTACCCTTCGGGGAGCTTCCCCTGTACGCATTGGACCGGCTATACTCGCGCGATGGCTCCACAGGCCATGGTGGGAGCGATGGAGAGAGCCACTTTACCCGGGCGGACACTACGCCGCTCGTTGCCAGAACCGTCTCCGCACTCGGCGGTTTTGCGTGCGCGTTGTTGTTCTCGTGGAGGCGTGCGAGGGGCATAAGTGTCGTGCCACGCTGGAGTCGGTGGAGTCGCGGCAGTGACCCGTGAGGGGTAGCGGGGTGTGCAGGGTAGGCAGGTCGAAAACAAGTTTCTGGAGTAGTTAGGAGACTCGGGGCCGTGATGCTCATAGCTCAAAGCGAGAGATTTTGTTTATTTCTCTCGCGTCAAATTTGTAATGGTGCCAGATATAAACGACCAATATATACAGTGAAATCGGTGATGACACGCCTCCATGACAAGTACCCCTCACAATCCAAGCTTCGCCTTGACATTGTCGCCAAACGTCCACCCCTTGGAGCCATCCCAGTTGATCGACCAGGTCATCAACCCCTTGAGCTGGCCACCATAGTGATCCAGAGCCTGCCCGACCAACGAGGGCGCCATGTACCCACCGCCCGCGCCCTCCTGTGCGGGCAGACCAGGCACCTGCATCGCGTACGGCAGCTGAATCGTCGTCCCCTGGATGGTGAGCCCGCTGTTCAGACAGTCCGTCTGCGCGACGAAGCCCTCGACGGTGCCGCGCGCGTAGGAGTCGCCGTGGCAGCCGTACATCTCGCCGTTGTAGTACTGCATGTTCAGCCACCAGAGACGTCCGTTGTCCGTGTACTTTTTGATGATGGGCAGGTAGGCGCCCCAGATGGAACCGTACACCACGCTGCCGCCCGTCACGTACGCCGTCTCGGGGGCCATGGTGAGGCCAAAGTTGGCGGGCATGGCCGCGAGGACGCCGTCGATGATGCGGATGAGGTTGGCCTGGCTGGTGGATAGGCTGTTGATGTCGCCGCTGCCCGTCAGGCCGGACTCAATGTCAATGTCGATGCCGTCAAAGTTGTACTTTTGCAGAATCGGGACAATGGTGGAGATAAACTTGTCGGCCACGGCGGAGGAGCTGAGGTCGACAGCCGCCGTCGCGCCGCCGATGGACATGAGCAGGGACGAACCGGCTGCCTTGGCGTCGCACATCTCCTCGGGCGTAGAGACCTTGACGTCTCTGTCCATGCCATCCTCCCAGAGAACGGTGCCGTCGGGGTAGATGATGGGGAAGGCTGCCATGATCACATTGTAGCCGTGTTGCTTGATGCGAGCGTCATTGATAGGGATCCAGCCCAGACCGGGATGAACACCATTGCTTGCGCCGTCCCAGTTTTCCCAGTATCCCTGAAGGACCTTGCCTGAAGGCTTCCCTGTGAGACCGCAGGTGGCCTGCCTTGGTGTCAGTGGAGCTGCGTGTGTGGTGGCGAGCAGAGTCGACACGGCAGCGAAGAGTCCCACGCCGGTGTGCAGAAGGCCAGTCATCTTTTTTGAGCGAACGGGGTCTTTCGTCTTGTGCTGTAGAATAAGTTCTCCTGGTAGTGTCTGAGTGCCAGCTCAGAAGGAGATCGCAGAGTGATTTGTAGTCCTGATGGGCCCTTCCTCCATTCCCCATCTTGACCAAGGCATTCATTTATAGTCTTCTGATACCCATCGATATCAACTTGACCTCTCCAAGCCCGTTGATGAAGCTGCTCACACGTTGAGCGTGAATGACACGATTGGTAGGTGGTATCAGCCCAAAGCGGCAGGTGGTTACCAAAGGGGAAATGTTTCAACCGCTTTAGTGCCGTCGGGTCTACATCACGCGAGCCGGCATCCGGCCCCTGAGCACGCGTAACGTAGTCTCCTTGCATGAGGGACGGCTTCTAGGTGACAGTCGCCGGGTTCTCGACGTTACCTCGAGGCTGTCGTGGGCTGAGATATGGGCGACTCCATCCGATGTTAGCTTTCAAGGACACCGCGTAGGGTTACAGCGGCTTTTACGCCTGCTGTAGCGTGTCGTCTCTTCGTCACGAGCGAGGGTATTCCTCGCAGGGAGCGCATAATCGGGGAGCTTGTAGCTGCGCAGCATCCAACCTAGGAGCGTGGATGCCGCGGAGCGACATGGTTCTCCGCTCGCGCCAATAACCCCTCTAGATGTTGTGACGAGATAGCTGTCTTGTGCTGCGCTGTCTCGCTTTTCGCGGCCCCCCACTTGGCTGGATGTTACAGCACGTGTACACATACTTGGAGAATATTACGTTGCTATACTCGACAACGACGGACCGAAGAGATAGCCACGACTGTCTCCGTCGAGTAATACCAGGGGACCGTCGCTGGCGGGGACGAAAGGCACGAGGCTAGTGCCAAGTGAGCACGTGGGTCAACCTCTTGACCGTTGCTGATGCCTACTCATCGAGGACTGCGTCCTCCATCGCGAGAACCATTGTGTTTAACTGCAGATGGAACAGATTCGGGTCAGTCAAGTCGCCAACAACACCACCATCGCCACGCAAGTGAAGGCATAGTTTTGCTGGCCTGGAAGCGGCAGACACCTTCAGGATGCGTAATCATGATCTGAAGTTTGCTGGTGCTGCGGGCTGGAGAGGCCAAGAGCTGGTGTACCGATGTCGATGGCAACGCGAAGCGAGGAGGATTGAAATGGCCGTCGAAGCTCTTGTCCTCCTTGATGTTCCGCTCCACTGAACGCGTGGGGAATGACCGAGGACATGGAAGCAGTCATGCCTTGGGAGAGTGAAAGGGGCGGCTGACAGGCCTCATCGTGCCAACTTGAAATCCGGCTGGAGACTTGAGGATATCACGACGGCGCTAGGCCTTCATTATGTAGGAATTACATCCGCAAAGAGTGACTTCAGAATTGTCGCCAATATGAAGCGCTCACATTTTGATGCTGAGAGATCATGAGTACCAGTTGCGATCGAATGCAACGCGTACCATAATTAGGAGTCGGGCAGGAGGCAGGACTCGGGACTCGGGACCCAATTATTGACGCCGTAGGCAGCAGCCCCGTTGTTCGCATGAGTCGACCCAGTACGGTCATGTACTTTTTAGCTTCATAAGACGTATCGGCTAGTTGAATAGAACATCACAAGGCACGTCAACACGGAATGAAGTTGCGACCATCTCTCACAGACGTAAGAACACAACTGCAAACAGGCGCCTCAAATCAATGCCGGGCGATCCAGCCAAAATGAGCATTCACAGCCAGAATGAGCATTCACAGCCAAAGCATAGGGAATCAGAAACGTGGGTCACGCCAAGGCTCAGGTCGCATATTCAGGAGCACATGGATCTATAGAACCAGTCGGATTCATATTGATCGATAGGTGCCGCGATTTGTTCACACTCTCTACTCTGGATTTCCACCCAATCTCTGGAGGATACTTCTTTCATTGCCTGTCCACCGCTTACTTCATCAGGCACTTTTCAGCGGCCTCGGACACGAGCTGCTGGATGCCCTTGTCCTTGTTGTACTTGTCCGTGCAAGGCTTGAGGTCCTTGGAGTTGGGCGTGATGGTGATCTCGTACTGGTCGCCGACAGTCTTGTACTCGAAGTCGTAGCCAAAGTTCTCCTTGGCCTCCTTGATGTCAATGGCGCCGTTCGCTTCGCCGCTGGCATCGCCCTTGGAGTCGCTGTTTCCGGCGCTGCCGCTGATGCCACCGGTGAGACCGCCAGTCAAACCGCCACTGGCACCGCCGTTGGCGCCACCCTTGATGACGAGAGTAACACCCTTGCCGTTGCCACCTCCCTTGCCGGCCTGGTTGAAGCAGAGCGAGCTGCGGCTTCCGATGACGGTGCCGAAGGCGCACGCAGCCGAGTCGAAGATGTCACTGGCAAGGTCGATGCCCTGACCAAAGATGGCGGCGGGGATGCCAAAGATGCCACCAAGGCCGAACTGGCGAGTCTCCAGCTCGGGGTGCGTTAGCATACAGTCTAGTGGGAGGTGTAGGTGACATTTATGGACGTACGACAGGGACAGCCGTGGCGGAGGAGGCCAGAGCGGCGATGAGGATGGTGGTGGGCTTCATCTTGGCGGTTGAAGGTGAGTCGGACGAGAGTCTGAGAGTTTGAGATTGCTTGTGAGGGTTGCTGAAGAAGATGTTATGAGAACGGTAATCTGAGGTGACCAATTGATCCTCGGGTCGAGGGACTCGAAGTCTTTATAGACACTGAAGTGGCTTCGCGGCAGTGCAGTCCATACTCGTTCCCCTTGAACTGCCGAATGCACGGGTGATGATCTCCCGAGCAAAGCAACTCGGTGACCGCCTCCACAGTCGGCAGACTGATGGATATTCGCCGATGGACTGTCTCGGCCATCGAAAGCCTTCCCTTGGCCATTCCAAGATGGTAGAGCCTGCGGGATGCCAATGGCCAGTCACCTTCTCGCATGTTCAATCGCCGCATGTCAGAAGGGTGCACTCGCCCTGGCAACCACACTGCGGTACGCAACCTGCCTGCCAAAGCCCCATGGAATGACCCAAGATGGCGTCCCCCCCCAGTGTTCGGCATGCAGGTCTCGGGAAGAGATGTCTCACACTGGATCGTGTGTCTTGCCAAGGCCCCTGAACCCTTGACGGAGATACCCACCTAAGCCTTTGAACAATCCTCTCCGCCCACGCAATGGAATGATCCGGCTTTATTAGGAATGCCTTCCAGGATCACGAATGCTACACCACGTGCCACGGCATATCCAACGTTGCCAGGCACACATCTAGTTCCTTTCTGCCGAGACCCGCCCCCTCCCTTGGGAACCATGATTTGAAGCAAATATGGGCTTGGCAGGTCGCTAACCCTTGGAGAGAAACATACCAGTCGTCCAACTCTGGACATCATCTTCGGGGCAGAAGACTCGGCACATCACAAAGCGGACTCCAGGATATAAGTAAAGGGCAGGCATGTATGAGAGGTGTCACAACACTAGTGCAAGTGAAGCATTCGTGCTGTGTACAAAGGATGTGTGCCGCGCCCAGTCCCACTGCTGGTCGGGTGGCTAAGTCTTCCATCTCAAACCTTTGTCACATGAGGAGCGTCTACTATAGAATCAGAGACGGATATCTTGAAGCCCTCAACTGGTTGACGTGGTTGCACACTTGAAGCGGATGACGCTCACGGCGAGCAGAAGACCCCGCCTCGAGTGTATCGATGACCAGCATACTCTCTCATGGGAATGCATACTGACATGTGTGCATTTATACATCGTCTGCCGCATACAGACATGCATGCCCTGAAAAGTGAGGTTCTTTTCGGATGTTGAATGGCCCTCCCAGAAGCCAATGAACATGACAAAGCATGAGGGACGATGCTACTGATGCGTGTGTGCAGCCGTAATGTGGGACGTGTCAGACTCGTATGCATATGAACGGATCAAACTAGTGTTGCAATCGGACGGACGCCGCTTGGCTTGGGGTTGGAAGCGTCCGTTTTGACAGGGCCGATGGACTGGCGATGTTCTCTCGGACTTTGAAATGGTGAGTTATCCCAGAGAACTCGCCTCCACAATAAGAAAAGGCCCTCCCAATCTGTGGCCAAAAGAGCCGTGAACAGATGAGGCCCTTCCTTGGAGCCGGAATTGGCCTGTCTAGGTCGAATCGAAGAAACGTACTCTGGTACAGATATCATCCCGAAGGTCAATGCCAGGATGTGATCATTTGACTGGGCATGCCTACATATGTACAGTGTCGGCTACACCCGCCAATGTATGCGACAACGCCGGAATCTTATTTTCATATCGATTCCACGTAGCTAAACTAGATTGTGAGTAGACTAGAGATACTTAAGCCCACGGCCCCCGATTACGCGCGCATAGCATGACCTTTCTTCATACATCATCCCCAGAAATCCTTAGATATGGCGTTGATAGACGCCATCAATCTACTGGCCTCAAAGTCAGCCATCGGCGTCTTGGAAATCGCTACTATGCTCTTCTTTGTGGCGCGAGCCCTCAAAACGCGCGTGGATGAAGTCGAACCGCCCGTCATCAGGCCCCCTATTCCCTACGTCGGACACTTAATCCGATCCATCAGGGAACAGCCGTGGCTTTTGACGAATCTAGGGTAGGTCTCCTTGCCTCACAGCAGGAGAGTGATGTCCGCGACTTCGCTGACATTGTACCGACAGCGAGGAGTGTCGCCTGCCCATCGCAACCGTGCCGATCCTCAAGGGAAAAGTAGCAGTGGATTAGAATTGAGGTGGAGGAGGCTGGCTTGAGGAACTGACTTATACCGAAGCCATGTAAGACTCCAGTTGCTCGTGAATGACAAAGCAATCATCACTGGGGCATTAAAGAAGTATCCGACTCCAGACGTGAGGAGACTACATGTAAGGGATGACTAACTCGGACTGAGGCATGATGTTGACGACGACCTCAACACTTGAAAGGATCGCAGACAAAGCTGTCAACAGCTGCCGCATACGATCATACTTGGTGGGGAATGTTGGATCACGACATTGCAGCTGGATGTCTTTCGATATGACTGGTCGTCCATACCAGCATGTGTCTACAATTTGATGCTTGTAAGCAGGCAGATTGGACACCTCAGAAAAGAAAATTATATAAGCACGAAGCGGGGTTCATGAAACACCTACTGTTTCTAGATTGTCCGAGGCAGTAAACTGGTAGATAAATATCTCTGAACCAAGACCACTGACAAAACCAGTCCCATACCCTTTCGTCTTGGGGCGTCACTCGCAGCAATGATTAATTTGTTTGATACGTGCAACGTCTGCCAGAAACTCAAACCGGCACCCGAACAGAAGGGCACGAAATTCCACGTGTTGGGCATCAGTGAGCTCGAGAAAAGTGCTCAACTCGGGACGTGTTTCCTCTGCTCCCTCCTCTTCACCGCAATTTCCGATTATGGCTATATATCCCCGAATGACAACCAGATATTTGTCAGAACAGGCCATGACGAACCGTTCTTTCTCATGTGGATAGACGCCCAATTGCCAGTCGTCCCGCATCTTGAGATCTTTCGCCAGACAGGTTGGTTGGGCCTTGGTCCCGATGCCGCTTCATTCTCACATGGTGTTGCAGGGTCTACGAGCATAATTGAAGGTCTTGGATGGGCGAATGCTGTCCCTCGAGAGCCAAACAATCAGGCTACGAACGACCTGATTATAGATTGGGTTCGCGACTGCGAGGAGAACCATGCGGAGTGCAGAGTTGACGTGCAGGAGACACCCAAGCGGCTGTTGGATCTCGAGTGCTCCGGACCCGAGGGCATCTGCCTGGTGCAAGACTTGAAGCCCTCAAAGTACGTGGCACTGAGTCACTGCGTAAGGTCTCTCAAGGTCATATCTTCTTCGTCACATCTGACGACCGCAGTGGGGGAACGTAAGAGCGTGCACGACTACCAGTGGCAATCTCACCAGTCGCCTATCCGGCATCAAATGGGATGATCTGGCAAAGACATTTCAGGATGCTGTCACCTTGACGAGGCAGATTGGCTTTCGACATCTCTGGATCGACTCGCTGTGCATTATTCAAGATGACTCGTAAGAAAGCTTGGCTCCAGCTGTGTGGTGGAAGTCACCAAATCTTACTGACCGCTACAGGGATGACTGGAAGAAGGAGTCCGTGAAAATGGGAGACATCTATCGTGGGGCCTATCTGACAATCGCCGCCTCCTTAGCATCCGCCGATGACGAGGGCTTCCTCCACCCGTCGAAAGAAAGAGACTTCTACTCGGCAAAGTGTCTGCGCGTTCCATTTCAGGGGGGGGTCATTACGGACCTTTGGGTGCGCACGATTCACGACTCTCGCCTCCATTCGTTCCACAATATCAGCGAGCCTCTGTCCACCCGGGCCTGGACGATGCAGGAGCGAGTACTTGCACCGCGGCTTCTGAGCTACTCCTCTGCCGTTACCTTTGAGTGCACCGCCTCTGCTGTCTGCGAGTGTGGCCACAGCATGTATCCAGATCCTTACTACCCCCCTGTTCACATGCTCCAGGGCCTAGACAACAAACAAGGGTTTTTATCGATCTTACAGGGTGAGCCGCAGTCGATTGCGAGGATGTACTCCTTCTGGTCAGACATGGTATCTGTATACACGGGTCGAAAGTTGACATTCGAGACGGACAGGCAGATTGCGATTTCCGCCATTGCGAGAGCCCTGGCGAAGCAGTATGGCGATGAATACATTGCAGGGCTTTGGAAGGGGAACTTAGTTCCCGGTCTTACCTGGCATAATGATATCCGGCTGCCAGTCATCAAGAATGTTGCTGCCGGATCGGGTGTCCAGCTGCCGAATCGACCACCGTCTTGGAGCTGGCTCTCGGCAGAGAAACTCGTCAGCACGTATAGACTTCTCCCCGGCCATTGCGAAGTCATATCGACGGACGTCCAGGAGGGCGGACTCAACGACAGTGGCCCGGCTCGAGGATGTATCAAGCTCAGGGCTCAGACTGGGACTATGGTTGCGCATCTGCCAGAGAAAGGCCAGCTCGACTCGGAAACGTCAGGGGCTACGCGGTTCGCGTTACTTGGTCCCAACGACAACCCAGTGGAGGTATTCAAGATAGAAGACTTCAGAGTAGATAGACCGGTTGCAAGGAATAGTGCCCTGAACGTGTCAGCAGACATGCAAGGCGGTTCCTGGGTCCCCATGGATAGGACATTTCCTATCCGGGTGTTGTGCTTGCATCTTGGTACAACCATCATCGATGACAACAATCGAGAGTCGGAGGTCTTTCTCGCGCTCGGGCATTTGCAGGGGCGGTATTCGAGGATTGGACTTGTTCGCGCTACCATCACCAGGGATGCTCTGCGAGAGTGGGTGGGCGAGTCTCGTCGTGAGATCACGATATACTGACGAGCGGCATACTTAAAATGTTCAGCCGTCCTTGCTCTGGGTTTCGGCATTGAGTTTCCGCGCGAGCAGATGTTCCAAGAGCTGCTTGCGGAAAATAAGGGGCTTCACTTTGGGTTCTTTGAAGGGAGAGTATTTGAAATTTGATTGGGGATTGGTTCCGCATAATAGGAGCTAATGTCGTCCTAGGGTAGGCTGATACACGTCTTGAACCTGACTGACATCTACATCGCTCAGACTACCCTACACTCTCAATTTGCATCGGCCTTGGTATGAGCTACACGGGTAGAATATGCATGAATCAGTGAATAGTGCTGCCATTCAGTCTAGAGAGACGCTATACTACGCACTTGCACTGGATTCTTGGCATCAGCCCCGATACATCAGTCGGTTTGCTCATGGGCAGTCTGAAGGCGCGGGAGCACCGTGTCACGTGGTTTACCTGCTCATCGCCATCACTTCATCCTCGGTTATCTATCGTCACCTCAAGTGCTCCCATCGCCATCTTCACAACACAGCCATGTCGCAAGACATGCCGGAAGCCCCCACTGATGCATGAGCCGCGTAGAAGGGGTGCATGTGGGCAGTGCTCACGCAAGAAACGCAAAGTAAGTGACCAGCAGAGTTAGGCTCCAAGCACCGGCACCTAAGAACATCGACCAGTGTGACCACAAGCAACCGCGATGCTCGCAATGCGTCAAGCACGGCGATGCCTGCGAGGCCCGAACATTCAAGTTATCGACGCCTGCTGCGTTTGAGGAGCGCCGTGCCAACAAGGCCAAGGCTAGATCTTCACGAAGCCCTCGGTTTGTCGACGACGCTGGTCCGTCGATAGAACCAGATGGCAACGACAACATCCCCATTGCATCGCCACCTTGTGTCCAAAGCTCTGGCCTTGCGAGCGGGACGCAAAATGGCACGTTCGACCTGTTGCGCCCCCCGGATCAACGGCTACTGCCGAGCATCTTGCCAGCAGAAACCTCTCCTCGCAATGACATACGGGACCCGACGACGAGCGATCAGACACAAGCTGACGAGACCGTGAGTCTCACTCCAGTCGTGCCAGATGTACTGCCAAGCTCGGATTACAACGAACCATTCCCTTCCGTCTTCTTTCCAGGCCACGGGAGTCTAAGCCTCGACGCGTTTTCAAGTGCCAACCATCTATTGACGTCCTCAACAACCACCACCATCTCCCCCTTTCTAGCCGCACCGGAACGTCTCTACTGCCCGATGCCGTGGCCAGACGACATGCTGGCCTCGCCCGAGCGCAGGTTCCTCTGGCAGTACTTCCTGTCGGTAGCGGAAGCCGACTTTCTGTGTCTGGACTGGGAAGACGTCGGCCATCTGTACGGCTTCCAGCACCCGTACACCACAACCCTGCCACAGATGGCTCTGTCGAGCAAGGCGCTCCGAAGTGCCATCTTCTGCTTCACGGCCGGCCAGTACCAGCTGCGCCACAACAGCCGGGAGCATTTCGCCCTGACCAAGACAGCGACAAGCGCAGAGGCGGTGCGTGCCATGCGCACCCAGTTGCTGCAGACGGCAACCAGCGACGACGACCTGCTGCCGCTCATCTGCGCGGCCACATTGCTGCATTACTTTGCCACGGAGAGGCATGACTATCTACGAATCGCCTCCAACCTTGTCTCGCGGTTCATGGCACGAAAAGCGCTTCAGCAGAGCCAGACACCCCTCTCGTTACCCGAGATCCCCCTGACCGAGTTTCGATGGACAGTCATATCCACGCTGTGCTCCCTGCGGCCGCCTCAAAGTCCACTTGGCGAGGAGGCCTGTCGGATGATCGAAATGGACGACGACGAGATCAGTCGCAAGTACTCGGACGCATTCAGCGGTTGGATCAGTCATCCCATTTACACATTCTCCCCGAGGCTGGTCAATCCTCTTCTACGCATTGGGCGACTGCTGGAGGCACAGCTGCTACAACTCGACACCACGGCCACAGACCCTGACCTTCTCGCCGGCCATGATGAAGATCGCATAGCCGAAGCCGAGGAGATGCTCCTTCACGCACGCGAACGCGACGTCGATACATCCATAGCTCGCATGCAGATCAGCGATCCCGCCGCTGTCGTCGCCCTCAACGAATCCATGTACGCAGCGAGCGCCATCCTGCTATACGCGCGTCTGCACCAGACACCGTTTACGGCGCCCTTTATTCGGAAGCAAGTCCACGTTGTCACCCAAGAGATTGCCAAGATCAGCGTCGACTCCCGTGTGTCCTTCTCCGTCGTCTTCCCGCTGTTCATCGCGGGCTGCGACGCCGCAGATCTGTCGGTGCGCGACATGGTCAGGGAGAGACTGCGAGAGCCCAAGGGCATCTCTTATGATCGTGGCGACCTCGTCGGCGCGCTGGAGCACATTTGGGACATTCGCGATGCCGAGCCGGGTTTGCTCTGGCCAGACTGGGTGGCCAAGGTTGATCCAAAGTACCGAATCAGCTGTCTGATGTAACGTGTGCTGCCGCTGTTGACTACCTAATTGACAAACATAGCATCACACATCAACTCTTTCATCCTGCGCCGGGCTCCCTCACTGCCGCGCCAGCAGACGACCAACCTTCATAACTTGGGCTGCTCCGACCTGCAGCATGAACCGTTTGTCAGCTTCGACGCGGGATCCTTCCCACTCGTTACGTCAATGGCCGGATTGGCCGTGAAGAAATCGACCGGTGTGATGTGCAGCTGTAGGATCTCCACAGGCCTGCTCGGGTCAATGGACTTTTCCCATAGCAGCAAAGAGGGGGGGGGGGGTGACACGTACATGACAGGCCAATCTTCCACGCGAGGATTGTGTGTCAGGCCAAAACAGCTCCAGACGACCACGTCCTCCTGCAGCAGATCCTCGTTGCGCGCCACCATATCGGCTACGCCACCGACCTCGGCCTTGCTGGAGAGAGGGTAATGCCCCGCCGCGTACAGCTCGTGATCGCGATACTTTGTCAGCCAGAGGTGGTGCTTGGCAAACGAGCCCCTCTTGGCCTGGATACTCGCCGGGTCGGCGAGGACCTTTTGCGTCGGGGGCGGGTCGATCTTGTACCCGACCGGGTTCCCTGACACGGGGTTCCTGATGTCGAGGTTCTGGATCTTGAAGACGCGGTTCGCCTCGGGACAGGCGTCGAAGCCGGCCGACGTGAGTAGCGGCGTGTCGACGACCTCGTATCGGTTGCCGTGCGGGTTCGTGCGGGCGTCCATACGCACGGGCAGCGAGTCACTCTGCACGACCGTGTTCCTGTGCCCGTCGACGGCCGGGTCGATACGCACGCAGAAGATGTGCTGATGGTTCTGCGCGAGGGTCCCCGGGTGGACGACGTTGCCCCAGGGCGCCGTCTTGCCCGGGTCAATGTTGACGACGGAGACGATGCCGGTGGCGCGCGTCTCGACGTTGATCGCGCCCGCGAGATCCAGCTTGTAGTTGAAGACGTACTCGTAGTTGGCGAGCGTGATGATGAACTGCACCACGAGCTCGCGGCGGCGCGTCGACACGGCGCGGTTGGTCATCCAGTTGGTGTGTTTCCAGCCGATCCCGTCGTCCTGCTCGTGGAGGCAGATGACCTGCGACGCCTTCTCGGCCCGGCCGCTCGCGTCCACGAGCACACCGTCAAAGTACTTGATCACGCCTAGGCAGTCACAGCCCAGCGCGAGGTTGTTGACGGCGTGGCCGATGCCGCCGTCGCCAAAGTCAAAGGCCTGCTTGCGATGGAAGGGGGCTCTGGGATCTGCGTACGGGACGGTCTGGGGAGACACGCAGTCAGTCGTCTATCCTACAAGGGCCGGGGGACTGTGGGAACGCACCATTTCGCTGATGGACAGGCGATAGAGGACGCTGCGCCCATCATAGCAGATGTCGTGCAGGACGGCGCCCTCGCGAGGGTTGAAACTCACGCGGAAGCGCCACTTTTGCCACTCGACGAGACTCTCGTCCTTGATGGAGAAGCTGGGACCCTGCGGCTGGACCACGCTCAGGGGCTTGAGGTCCTTGCGCGTGCCACCTGGTAGCAGCTCCGGGACGTACTCGGCCGGCGCGCAGTGGTCGAGTATGGGCCCGGTCTTGGGTGTCGTGACGGCGAGAGGATCGTCGCCGCCGCCCGTCGCGAGCTCGTCGATGCGGATGATCTCGTTCTTCTCAAAGTCCATGACGGGGATGATGGGCAGGGGGTACGCGTAGTAGTTGGCGTCCGGGTTGCCACTGCGTCGGTCCATGGCAAAGCACAGGCCTTGGAAGAAGCGGCGCACGTCGCCTGGCTGGTCCATGCCGCCGTAGGGCCACGGCTCGACAATCACGTCGAAGCCGTCGGGGAGCGAGAACTGGGCTATCCTGGCCTTGAGCAGGGGAGATTCTTTGCATGTTTCCACGAGGGCGTCAAACTCCCATCTGCGCGCGTCAGTCGAGCTGGGGATGCAGCAAACACAGGGGTGGGCACGTACGTGCTCAAACCCGCCAGGAACTCCTGGCCCACGACATCTTTCGATACCACGTTCTTCTTGTTCAAGTCGACCGTTGCCTCGATCTCGTCCGCCTTGCGCTCTGCGGACTTGCCTGCTCGCACGTAATGCACGCGTGCGAGACGCGGGGGTCTGGGCGTGTCCGTCGTCAGCCTACCCGCGTGCTCGAGGTCGAGGAAGGGGACCAGCTGGGCTTTTTCAGGCTCCTGTCGATAGATCATGCGGAACTGGATGACCTCGTTTGGGGAGGAGGCCAGGACAATGTCCCTCGCGAGGCTGGTCTCCTCCACCGAGAGGGAAGAAAGGGGGTGAGGTGCGTATTCGACCATTGTGCTGGCGTTGCATTGGCGTGGCCAATTCTCGAGGCAAGAAGACGGAAAACCATCATGTTGCCAGATACCTTGCTTTAATATGTTCTGAGCTATACATGACTTCATTTCATCCGTCGCAGTATACGTGTAGATGGAGCCGGTGGTCTCGACTCGTTACGTAAGTATTCCATCGTCTCGGTCGTCCGCGGGAGCCTCGCAAAGTTCAGGCTTGGATTTCTTGCCTCCATGATGGTTACGGCTTGACTGTTTGGCAGGCAATGGGCGATCGCGTCCAAGGGCCTTTGGCATTCGGGTTAATCGGGAGGCTGCGGCAACATTTCCTATCCAGGCAAGACGCCAAGTTGCACGACAGGAGGTATGCGACGGTCGCTTGAAAGGAAAGAACCGGTCCGGTTGTGACCAGATATGACAGACCGGGCCAGACATTTGATCGAATTTTAGTTTGACGACGTTAATTTGGTTCTCCTGATGCGCGCAGAAGAAGCCCGTCTTGGCCAACACCACGGAGCGCCACTATGCCTACCCTATACATAACGCTGTGGGCGCCAGATGGGCATTCAATGGCATCATGATCAATCAAGGACAGGTTGGCACGAAAATATTTCGATTCCTGATGCGCGGGTCTACTCTGTGAAGCTTTCGGGCCAGTCACCTCAAAGAGTTGATGGTCAGGGTGGGCAATCCATCAAAAAGACAATGGGCCATCTGACATCTTCACCAGAGACGTCAAGAGAACGCACACAATATCGGCTGTCCTGAGAATACCAAGCATGATACATTCCCCATTATCTCATCATGCTCGCTGCTGTTTTCTGACCGGCCCGGTCCTTTCTTGAATCATCACCAAGCACACTTGACATATGCTCGGCACACCTCATCATATCTCTCTGCTTAGCAATTACAACGTCAAGCCCGCATCTCCAGACCGACGTTATCGGCCGGGCAGCTCAATTGCAACTGCTCCCTCACATGCGCCAGTGGGATTTTTCCTTAGTCTGGCATAGCGTTGTCTAGCATAGCGTCGGCGGTGGAGAGAGCCGACTCCTCACGATGAGGACGTTGCGGCAATTTTGCCCTTCCTGGACGCGGCACGTACAGCATGGCTTGCGATGTCGACCTACGACACGACCAGCAATTGACGAGACAATCTCTTTGCATACGTATTACCCTTGGTCTTATCTCTCCGGTGCCCACGCACCTGCATCCCGTTATCTGGAGTCTGGGGAAATCAAGGGGGGCCCCCTCGTGGTGCCCGGGTCGCAGGACCCCTCGTGCCGGTCTCGCGACACAACCGTCTGGTATAAACTGTGTCTGCTATCGCGCGCCGTTCTGTCTCTCGGTTGGCAACTGGATTTGCTTCCCATCGGTCACAAGGAAATGACAACCACTGACACTGGCTGAACACTCGTGGCGTGTTCACCGACCAAATCTCACCCCTCCTTCACCAACCGAGACCCTGCACGCGACACCACAATACACACCTCACACCATGACCAAACCCGTCGATCCCGCCGGCACGGGCCTCGCCGAGGGCAGAATGTCCCAGAACAAGACGGACGCGCGCGACCTCGCCGCCCTGGGTCACGACGAGGCCCTGACGCGCAAATTCGACCTGGTGAGCATGCTCGCGCTCGCCTTCTGCGTGCTGGGCACCTGGGCCGTGGTCGCCCAGAATCTTGAGGCCGCGCTGACCATTGGCGGGCCCGTCAGCATCTTCTGGGGCCTGCTCCTCGTCATGGGGTGCAACCTGTGCATCGCGACGTCCCTGGGCGAACTGTGCAGCAGCATGCCTACCGCCCTCGGCCAGGCGTACTGGGTCGCCCGGCTGTGGGACACCCCCCAGGGCCGCTTCGCGTCCTACCTCACCGCGTGGATCAACACCTTTGGCTGGTGGGCTCTGACAGCGTCGCAGAATGCCTTTATGACAGAGCTCCTGCTCGGCGTCAAGGTCATGTTCGACCCGGACTGGCCGGGCGCCACGCAGGGCTGGACGCTGTTCGTGGTCTACGTCTGCATCACCGTGCTGTTTACGGGGTTCAACCTCGTCGCCTGCCGCTCCGAGAAGACCCTGCCGTGGTTCAATAACTTTGTCGGCGCCGGGTTCGTCCTGTTGTTCGTCCTCATCGGCATGGCGCTGCTGATCGCCGTCGGCGTCACGCCTGACCTGCACTATCAGCCGGCCTCCTTTGTCTTTGGCGGCTGGGTCAACCAGACGGGCTGGGGCGACGGGGTCGTGTGGTTCATTGGCCTCGTGCAGTCCGCCTACGGCCTCACCGCGTACGACGCCGTCATCCACATGGTGGAGGAGGTGCCCAACCCCAAGCGCAACGCGCCCATGGCCATGTACCTCTCCGTCGCCTTTGGGTCGCTGTCCGGCTTCGTCTTCATGATCTGCGTCGTCTTCAGCATCCAGGACATTGAGAGTGTCATCGGCTCCGCGACGGGCTTCCCCTTTGTCCAGGTCATGATCGACGCACTCGGTCTGGTGGGCGGCGTCGTCCTCACGGTCCTCTTCCTCTTCAACGGGTTCGGTCAGGGCATCAGCGTCATGACCTCCGCATCACGCCTGACCTGGGGTTTTGCGCGTGACGGCGGTCTGCCCTGGGGCTCGTACTTTGGCCACGTCGACCGCACCTGGCACGTCCCCGCGCGCGCGCTGTGGCTACAGTGCTTCATCATCTGCCTCATCGGGGTGTTGTATCTCTTCTCCAACACTGTCCTCGCAGCCGTACTGTCCGTCAGCACCATCGCCCTCACAATCTCCTACGCCATCCCGATTGCTGTGCTGTTGGCTGTCGGCCGCGACAAGATGCCTCCTCGTGAGTTCTCCCTGGGGAGGTTCGGCACGGCCTTCAACTGGGTCTCCATTATCTACTGCCTCATCACGACCGTCTTCTTCTTCTTCCCCGCCGCGCCCAACCCGGCGCCGGCCGACATGAACTGGGCCATTGGCGTGTTCGCTGTCGTGTTGGTGCTGTCTGTCCTGTTCTGGTTTGTCAGGGGTCGCGTAACATATCTTCGCACACGGGATGCGTCTGAAAGGGCCTTGCGTGCAAGACAGCTGGAGACTGCCACATACGATGGTTTGGAGGCAGACCGTGCGTCTGACGCTGGCACCACCGCTGAAACAAAGGGGGACGTACTGTGATCCGGGTCTGTTAGCACATGAGAAAGTAGAAGATATTGATGCTGTTGATCGATTGCCTGAGCTGTTGGGTGCGCCCTGCAGGCTGCAGCTCCAGACTGCGTGGCCCCTTTTCGCTGTAGTCAACAAACCCACCCACCAGCCACGGTCACAGCCACGGTCACAGCCACCAGAACAGCTCGCTCGCGGTAGAAGAGGAGAGTCAAGCCACACAAGAACCGGGGGCCCTCCAAGACCCCGTACAGTCAGTCAAGCCTCGCCGTCATGTCTGTGGCTTATCGGCGCGAAATGCAACCCCCTCAATGCCCCATCTTTTCGTACCCAATCGCCCCCTCGACCAAGCCACAGGCGGTGTGTGTGTGGCTGACACGCGATGTGGCAAAGATGCACAAGATCGGCAGTCCCAACGTTCGTACTGGACTCACCTCACCCGGGGCGCCCAATAACACTCTTAAGTTAAGGGGGAAACACGGGGCGCAATTCCCGGCACCTGCCATTGGTGCATTGTCCATGCTGCATTGATGCACAATGGACGACGACGCGTGTCGCCCGTCCTGGGGGGTGAGGAAAATGGGACTGGATCAACAAATGACACGCAGGTTGGGTGACGGCAGGCAGCAGAGATGGACAGCGGCTGTGGAGCGAAAAGGCCCTTTTGGCTCAACTTTTCTTTCCCTTTCCCATCTTCTTCACTCGTCTCTGCCGTCTCTCAAAGTTCCCGTGGATTGGACCATCCCGAAATCGATCGCCATAGCGCCCCAAAAGAAAGAAAGGCAGAGAAAGAGAAAAAAGGACTCCCACGGTCCAGAATCAGATCGCTTGTAATAAAGTTTTCCCCCTGTTCGCTGTACCCCCGCTAGCCTCTGGGTCTCCGGCTTCCCCACCGGGCTTTTCGTCCGCATCAGTCCCACTGTTATTCCCGGCAGCCTCGGCGACTTCCGCCGGTGGGAGGGGCCAGAATTTAGAATCAAACCAGCCGCAAGCGAAGACGTTTGTGTCATGATCGCCAGTGAGAGAGGCGCAGTCGTCAGTGACGTCCGTCAGGATGAATGTTTGCACCGCTAGCCATCCATCCATAGATCTGCGTACGCACGAGCGGTCACGTTGCAGTTGCACAGCTGAGCACCTGCTTCCTGCAGGGTCCAGATAGGCCGCTCTTGCCCAACCCACCTCCAAAGGTAGCCTAGGCCGCCCAAGGCGCATACATGCTGCCATGAAGAAATCCATTCCATCGCACAGCTCGCGTTGTCCCATACTAGTTTGTCCAACGTACTCGACTCAACCCCAGCGGCCCAGCGCTCAAAAGTACCCGCCGCTCTCTACGTGCGCGCGAGTACGTTCGGTTCCTACAGGAGGTACCGCCGCAGGGCTTGCAACGTCCCGCCACCCGCCCCTCAAGCCACACTAGCGTCGGACGCTAGCTCGAATTTCGTGGCTCCAGTCCAGTCACTCGCCACACTTACGCCGTGCGGTGGTAATTCGGGAGGGCACTTCACATGCCAAAACGGGCAAGACAAAGGGGTCCACCCCCGCCGAAGTCCGCGCACCTCCAGTCTTGATTGACTCTTCTCGACGACACGTGCGCTTTGTGTTCCTCAATGTAAAGCATATTGAGCCTCGAGGACCAAGTGAACTAGACAGAACTTGTGACCCTAATAGACGCATCAGCTGATTCACCACAGCACAATAAATGTGCCGAAACGACCGCCCTTTTACATCCACCTACTGCCGCGAAACGCGAGGCTAATTAATTACCGTGGCCAGGCCCGTGGGCTCCAGTCCCCCGGCGGAGAGAGAGCCTACTAATTATATCCGTGCAGCGCGCGCAAGCCACTGTGGCGACCGGTCGACTCTTCCCCCCTGCAATTACGTACAGATCTAGACACACGCCCCCCTCCTTCAGCCTCAATTTCTCCAACGTCCCCAGTCTCGTCCTCTATTATTATCTTGTCAAGTGACTGGACCGGCAACGTGGTGGTCCATTCAGCGGCGGTGCGCAAACTCGACAACAGTCACGGAACCGAAACGGCAAAAACTGACAAAGCATCGCCATCGCGATCAGTTTCTTTCTTTCGCTGCCGAGGGAGGCGGGGCACATCGGCAATCACTGAGCACTGATGAGCAGACTGCTCGACGGCGCTGCATGTCGGTTTCACCAGTGACCTGTCCCCCCCTCCTCCCGCAATCTTACCATGCAATGCCTGCCTTGCATCCTTTTCCTCGGAGATCGGTCCCCGACGGCACCCTAGACCAAGACAGCAACAACAACAGCAAACACCTCAAATGTATCGTTGCGGTCCTTCATAGGTACGGTATGTTTGTGTCGCATCGTGACTGGTCACTAGACTAGGACCACTGATTAAGGATGCCCTCGTGCGACACGCGCTAGTAACCCAAGTGATAGACCGCTTGGTCAGAGAATCATCACAAGATATCCCATGCCTAGTGACAATTAGCCATCTCACGAGGCAGGGGCCACGGCTGCATGTCAAATCAAAAACAGTGACGAGCGGTAATTATGATCAAAGCTGGTTTGGATTATTGAGACGCTGCAGGTCCTCGCCCTCCAGCGCCCCGGAGGGACCAGTAGATTAGATACACAATGATTAGATACGCAGGTCTCTGCCATCTCGTATGTAGAGCGTGCGTCCCAGTGAAGAGATAAAAAAGAATACGTAATTGCCCCTTCCCTACCAAAGCCAAGGCTTCCCAGTGAGCGCGGGGGTATATTGGAAGCAACCAGAAATCAAATGACAGCCGTCAACGCCTTTGCCCTCCCAGCCTCGTTTTTCCCTGGGGGGCACCCATCCATTCGTCCTGTTATACGGCCGTTTCATATATGTGTCCGTCATCGTTGATATCCTTGCTAGTACAAGGGAAAAGAAATCTATCATGCCCATTCGTGTCGAAGAAGAAAGATCGCTCGGTCGGTCCGTGGTATCAAACATGGTAAGGAAAGAGTAGATGTATCGAATCAGAATGCCACACGAAGGACAAGCTTGGGCGCCGGTGCTTGTGTCGTCGTCGTGGTCGTCTCGTCTGCCAAAGGTTCGTCCACGGCCATGTCCCATTCGCGCTTGACAGATGCTGGTGCGGTGTCGATATCGAGGGTCATGTCTTGTCCCTCCCTCAAATTCAGGACGACATCGTCGTCTACCACCACCTCAAGACCACTCTGGAGGACGTGGATGGTCTGTTCGATCCTGCTGGCGTCGACGCCAAACTTGTGGGCCACTCGACGATTAAACTCGGCCAAGCTGCGCTCGTACAAGTACACGGCGTGGTGGAGCTGTCCAGCCGCTGGGGGAGCCTCCTTATTCTCGCGTCGCAGCATGTAAAAGCATGCGGACGGTTTGGGTGTTTGCTCGGGGGGTGGTCGGTAGCTTGGGTCAACTCCAAGTGCCTCGATCCAGCCACTCAGTTTGCCCTCTTCGTCCGTCTTTTGAATCTTGATGGGCGACTGATCGGGGCCTTTTTGCGTCGATTCGCCGGTCGAGATACCGTCCAAGTTCTGCCATTTGTGTCCCTGAGCCACGCCTGAGCTCTGCGATGGGATGGATAGTGAGCTGGGTGCTGGCGACACCATGGATGCAGTGTTCGACTCCTGCGCGCCGCGGGCCTGCCAATTAGTTCCGTCTCGTGGCATCGCCTCGGCCTTTGCTTCAGCCTCTTCGCCTGCCATGACAACGGGGTGCGCATCGGGGTCGTCGTGCTCCTCGCCGCGGAGATATAAGACACTGACTGGCCTTGGGCTCGAGAACATGTCCTGCAGTGTCCGTAGCTTGACATGTAAGTCGTCCTCCATGTGACTCCGCGCGCCCTGGCCACCGTGACCGCCGTCGGCTGAGCTGGCCGAGGACATGGACCATGTCCGTTTGTGCTTCTGAACTTTGCCCGGGCGCTGCATCTCCATCTTGGGCTTCCCAGGGAAGCCGCCGCCGCCTCTCTTCCTCTTGCTGAAGTCCTTCATTCCGCTCTCGACTTGCGATATGGTGTGCTTGACCTTGTCGATCGACTTCTTGACGTGGGCGACATCGTTAGAGAGCTTGCGCTCGGCGCCATGGTCGCGGAAGAGCTTCACCTTGCAGTAGCAGACCTCGGCCGGGGAGCTTGTCGGACTTTGTTGTGCGGGATCCGGACCTAATGCAGTGGTCTTGGAGCAGAGCCGTACTGGGATGCCCTTGACGCCTTTCGAGTGGCTGAAGTCGGTGGAGAGAAAGTTGAAACGGACAGCAATGTTGACGTCGGCTTGTCCATGGGCTCCAGGCGTCCAGACCACAGAGAATCCGTCGAAGGATGCTGACTCGAGCTCCACCTTGGTCCTTTTATCGTCGCCCTCGCCTGGTTGTCCCGCTTCCACGTACTCCACCGCTTGTAATCTCCCTCCTCTTTGATGAGCTTCGTTGGCCCCGCGCCCCTCCTTCCACAAACTCCAGCAAACTCCGGGCTTCTGTCGTTGTTCATCATCCTCGAACGAGACGCGCACAAAGGTGCGGAATTTCGTTCCAGGGGCCAGGGGAAGCGAGGCGCGCGTGTCGATGATCGACAGCTGATATGCCTGCCCCTTGTTCAGGTACGTCACGGGGATTTCGTCGGCTTGTTTGATCATGGCTGTCGGTGCGTTCAGGGTTGAGTGGAAGCGGAAGTTCTCGGCCGACATGGGCAAGGCAACGGCGCCAAAGTGTGCGGCAGAGGGCATGTGTCCTTGCTGAAAGGCCATCATGGGAGTCTGCTCCTGGAAAGCCGAGTCGATGGACGGCATGCGCTCATCTGAGGGATTCGTCCGTATCGGGGAGTCATCAGCGTCCATCGTCTCGTAACCTGTGTCCTGGTGAACAAAAGACGAAGGGGCAAAGCTCTGAGGAGGAGGCGCCGTCACGAAGGGGTTGAAGTGGTGCATCTGGTGAGGCTGGAGCGGCTGGAAACCCCCAATATCCATGACACCCGGTACGGTGTTCATGGCACCAGCAGCCGACATAGACAGGGGGGTTTCTAGGCCAGGCGCTGTCATGCCGACTGGAGTCTGTAAGTCACGTTGCTGCGTAAAGAAGAGCGTGTTGGTACCTCCTGGAGTAGGCGTGTAGTAGCCCGGTTGTGCGTTTGCAAAGGTGTTGAAGGAGAACGAGTTGGGGTCCATGAGGGAGGGCGTGAACCTCCAGGGCTCATTGCTCGCTCGAGGCGTCGGGTCGTGGTCATGGAAAGGAGCATTGTTCATGTGAGGGGCCCTGGTACTTGTCAGCTACTCTGTCTTCATCATGAAACCGCAGTAGCTTACCCTTCTTCTTGAGGCTCGCCCAATGTCGCGTCGTTGTTGTTATCCGCCGCAACATGGTCAGTTTGTGCCCCACCGGCAACACCCAGTTCTGGGAATTGCTGGCGAAAGTTGGCCAGCAGCGCATCTGCTGGTTTCTGAGAGCTTCTTCTGGATGGCAGTCAGCACGAGGCGCCCACAGCGGAAAAGGGGCGGCGCTTGACTCACCTTTGTCGAAACATGACGGAACTGACGGCCTCGGCCGTAGAAGAGAGAAGATCTCTTAAGACTTGACAGAGCCTATACAGAACCGATATGCTCTATCCGAAACGTGGGGTGTCCCCAATTCCTCGCCCAATTCAAAGACTGGAACAAGGCCGAGAGGCGTTACATGTGAGAGCGAACAAATACAGCTCACGTCCTGCAGCAAGCGCAATGAAACGTCAGCGATTGTTTTCAAAGAGATCTGAGTTCTCAAAGCGAAGATGAAGTTGAATTAGCCGCAGGGCGGCTAGGAGGAATCTGAAACGATCGAGTGGATGCGCCACGCATGAGTCCAGAAGCGTGAGATCGAGAGTGAATGGCTGGCGATCCACGAGCATTGTGGAAGAAGAATGAAGCAGGTGTATAGGATGACAATGGGCAGAGGCTGAGCAATGCGCTCTAGCTGTGTCCAAGGCCGTTATACGAGAGCTGGAGGGGTGGATTCGCGATAATGAGATGAATTCGACTTACCTGTCTTTGATGATGACAAGATTCAAGCTTGACACTGTAGGCGCGAGTGAGGTTACTTTGAAAATGCACACACAAAGGCCGTTGGGGGTACACTGTAGTTCGGTCTGTCTGAACAGGCTGTGGACGAGGCTGATGCGCCAGCAAGCGATGCCAAAACTTTTGAAGGAATAATAGTCGAGCGACGGACACAGGCGTGGAAAGGGCGAAGCTTTTGTGTGATCGAAGCAAGAGACGACGTAATAACAGACGCGAAGTATGGAATGATATTATAGCCAGGGTCGTCGGTACTCGTCGAAAATGGTAGAACTCCCGGTGTCGTCTGGTCGTAGTATGAGAGCTGGTGAGGGGGGGAAAGTGGCTGAGGCAGCGAGCGAGGGCAAGCGAGCAGCAGGACAGAAGGGTAAAGTACTTGGGAAGGTGAATGCGGTAAGGCAGAGGGATCGGGAGCCGGGGGAGTTCTCTTAGTTGGGTACTAGTCGTCTTGACAGTGAGTGTGCCATTACGGATACGTGAGCATAATAAGCCGATTTGGGGGTTTGTGAGTAATGCTGGGTAGGTGTGTGATCAGCGAAGCCCGCCGAAGAATGATGAATGATGTGCAGGCACTGCAACAAACGGGACGGGATGGATAAATGGGCACAGACTCGGGCAGTAGTAGCTGGGACCCAGGTGGACAACGATCGAGCAAGAGCGAACGAGCAAAAACCTACTGAAAGCTGCAATCGAGGTCGCTCATGCCTGCGCGAGATGCTAGGGGCAGGGTGGTCAGGTACTTGCCAATTGCTCTCTGCAGTGACTTGGCGGTGGCATCATCTTGTACTCACATTACATACCATATCTGTAGCGCAGTGCAGTGCAAGAGAGCCTTCGCTCGAGACAGGGGTCCCGCTGGCCGCGGATGAATCCAGGCCTTGCCCAGCTGCCTCAGAGGCTCCTGCCCAGCAGCCTTCCCAGGACTGGGCCCTTGGTCTGGACATGAGGCTTGTTGGATTGGGCTGGAGGGGGGTCGCACTAAATGTGGCGCAACCCACGTCGCACCCCCCACAGCCAGTGCCACTGCCAGTGCGAGTGCTGGTGCCACTGGTGGCGGGCCCCGCTCTAGGCTGGTCACGGTGCTTTGATTGCAAGGGGCCTTATCCCCTCTCAAGCCTCGTGGGTGTGGCGTCCCTCTGGCTTGGCGCCAGCGCAACACCAGCCTCTAGTCTCCAAGGCCGCTGTGGCAGCAGCAGTCCTTACTCCTCAAGAACGTGCAAGTGTCAAGGGTCGTTGAAAGGCCAATGTCCGTCAGGAGACACCTTGGCCCGGGGAGCTGACCAACCACGGTCCAGAAACGCCTCAAGACCTCTCTCCTGCAGCAGATGCAGATGCTGGCATCGTTTGCTGTCGTGGCGCACCGGGTCCAGCCAGTCGTTTCGCGTCCCAGCACCCAATCATCGGTCGATTCTGCTCCAGGAGTCCAGGACCAGTCGCGCGGGTACAGGCCGACGTGGCGTGGCACCCCTATAGCACCGAGGCTCTATTATATTATAGTAGTACGGTATACCGAGCTCTCCAGCGGTGTGATATCAACCACTGCCTGCTCGACCCTCCGCAGGCCGCATATAACTCGGGACTGTCGACCGATACGGTAAGTTTGTGTCCTGACGGCTCAACATCGCCCAGAAACGCACAGAAGCGACCAAATGAATGGGATGAATCGGCAGATAGGTCAATCGTGAATTGTTGATGAGCATCAAATTCGGCCCTAATCCCCAACGTTGTCCGGCAGAGTGGATGCACGCGGCCGAGCAGAGTTCAGTGCTAAGAATTCAAGCCACACCATGGGCTGGCTGGGCCCTGGGGCATCCCACAACCAACTGACTTCTTGAACCTCAACCTCCAGTGGCCGACACGGAAACTCTCCTGCGCGAGACGCGGACAGGACTGGAACATGACGAAAGGATGGTGAAGTCTATGCGCTGTTGGACAACAGTTATTCACTCGTCGCTTTTTCCCCATTCACAATGAAAGAATGTATATTCGACGGAGGTCGCACGAGCACTTGTGGTTCCGCGCCCACGCTAAACTAGCCACGAGAAGACCATCTCCAATTCCAAGCGCGCTTCCCCACGTTGGTGTTCTTCGCGATTGTGAAAGGCGGCCGCCATCATTGGCCAGCCCGGCTCATAGTCAGGGTGCCAAACGAGCACTTTGACAGTCTCACGTTGTTCGAGCCACACGCCAATGGAACGTGCCACATGACCTTTCCAGCATGTCTAAACACCAACAGAGCAGACTTGGTTTGACGCAGAGTGCAGCCATATCCAATGCTACCCTTGACCATGTTCCTCGTCAGAGCGAGAATTCTAGTTTCACGGATACTGTCATCATGATGACCCTTTTTTTTTTCCTTTTTTTTTCACAGCTTGTTAGGGCTTGTCTTGAAAAGAAGAAGGCAGGGTCCGGGCTCGACAATGGCCCATGCGGCAGCCACAGTTTGAGATTACTAGCTCCAAAGGGGTATGCACTTCTCTGCTAAGGTTCTTTGTCTCCATCTCGGAGGCGTCGCTACAATCACCGGCTTGGAGCCAAGAAATGCTTGTGTCTGTCTTGACCTCCGGCAGAGGCGGCTGTAGCCCGTCTGGCCTGGTCTAGTCGCTGTGGCGCAAACTCAGGGGGGTGCGCATAAGATGATGTGGCGCAGCTTTCTGTGGCTTGCCTCCCCTCACTTGTGGCGATTTTGCTGACGACGCCACAGTCTCAATGGCGTCTGGACCTCTGTGATCTGCGGCTTTTCGTAGAGATCAGCGCTGCTTGATAATTTTATCGGCGAATCAACCTAGAGCTGGACGTGGGTCTACACCTCGTGTAAGTGCTATGCATTGGCTTTCTCGATCCTTTCGCGAAAGAGGGCCCACGACAGAGAAAGAGGATTTTTCAGTGTTGAGATTGATACGCGCGTCCTCCCAGGACGGCCGCAACCCTTCATCTCATATTGCGGAATATGTGCGTACGCATTGAATCATTTGCAGTTGGTTCATTGATCAGGCAAGCACCGCCAGGAGATACTGCTCCGGCCTTGTGGCTCCAGGATCCATTGCCCAGAGCTCCTCTGCCCAATCCGTGTTGCTTGATACGTGGGTATGGGGGCAGCGGTCCCTAGATCAATTTCAAACCCCAGCAGGCCTTGGCTCTTTTGAGCCCGTTGAAACAACACAGCGAACCTAATTCACAATTGTGTAAGTAATCACCGAAAGTGGTCAACGGACGTGACAAAGGTCTCTGCTTTCCTCTTTAGATCGCGATAATGAGCGCATCGTGACGTAGCCTTGAAACAATCGCGTCCAGCGCTTGACGAAAGTCGCGGAAAAGAACCACGACCCACGGGAAGGAAGCGAGGGTGCTGCATTTCAATTTGCACTTTCCCCATGGAAGCTCCCGCCTATCCGGTGTGCCGGTCGCCGCCTCAATTTAATCGAAGGAGCACGCAGTCGCACACGAAGCCACAGCCTGCTAGTAGTCAATTACAGGGGTACGTAGTAATTACATACTGCTGACTCCGAGTGCGTGGTTTTCGGCAACTTCTCGTCAAATGTCATCCCGCGCCAGCAAATCGCGATTGAGGTTTTCTTTGCGAAAGGACATGAGATGTGACGCTCAAGAAGCCATTCGCCTGCCAAATTCTATCTAGCCGAATACTCATTGGTACGTGCTTAGCTTGGTTGTCCCAGGGCACCAGTGTCTCCAGGTGTCGGGCCTGTGGTCGAATTGAGCTAGCACTTGGCGCTGGCTAGCAAGGGCTTCGCGTTTGGCTCCTCCTGTAATTTAGCTAGTATTTGTGTTAGCATTATCTTTCTTATTAATCTCAGAGGACCAGACGAGCAATTCTTTGCGTAGGCGAGATTACGCGCGGTCTTGAGTCTTATACGCAGCGCAGCACTCAGCCTTATCATGTGGCGCGCTCCTGCAGGCTGTAGCTGAACAGCCTAACGTTAGTACGGGGTAATAGTCTGTAGACTACCTTACCTTACCTACTCCGTCTTGCTACTGCTGCGTTACCAGCGCAATCCACAAATACGCGACAAATACTCGCAACCTTTCTAGCTATGTCGCTCTCACCTTCATCGCGGCCTCTGTCCGGTACATGAATAGGCTCTTCGTCAGAGTCCTACGTAGACGAGGTCGCGCCCCTGTTCCCAGGTTGACCAGGGGGCTTCCGTAGCCCATCGGCCATCGCCCCATTCAATTCAATACTTGCTCGGATCCGTAGTCTCCACTGTGATAAAGTGCTCGGATTAATTAATTTACTGGTGCTTTCTATTTCGCTGCTGAGCCTCTTTTGACGCTTTCGACTTCTCTATCAGAGTTACGTAGTAGGTACTTATCCATTGCTAATCAAGATCCCACACGTCGCGCCCGAGTACCTACTTTGGTGAAGAGGATGGAGAGGACGTTACCCTCCAGTTCCATCGTGGCTGACGCCAGCTTGACTGTTGAACTCGACGAGTGGCACAAGATGAATAATAAT